ATTGGCCCGGTTGCCAGGTTGTCATTTTTTAAGTCTTACCTATGACCTCTGTGTAAGTCCGATCATCAAGCATCGGCAAGGAATAAGATTTGACATCAGTTCCCAAAGCAGAACATGTTGGCAACAATAACACTGCTGCGGTGAAAGATTATTTTATCACTGGAATCAGTAGTATGTTCTTAAAACAATTCGGAAGCTTAGCTTAAAATAGTTTATATGCACTTCCCATCCCTTGCCTTGGTGTACAATGCACATGAAATCATTCTCTAAAGAGAGGTTTGTAAGACATGCGACATATTTTCTGTCGCATGCATCAGTATCATTCCTCATAATTATAAGATGCTTTTAACTAAGTATGTATGACTCTTCTTCCTCCACATGTTTCATGTAAGTCCGATTTAAGGATCGGCAAGGATCAAGATGGTATTTCTGTCCTCTTAAAGTCATGTGAATTTCTCTGATGTTCGTTTACAATGTGTGAGTTGTACACGGTTTTAAAGGCACCTGTCATTTTCAGCGCCTGCACTTTCTGTGCATTACAGCAATGCATAAAATAGAGTAGGCCTAGACATTGTAAATATGGGTAGAATCCTTAGGTTTCCATTGTGCCATTAATCACGGCAGGTTACAGGACTGGTTAGCCTTAGACATAATTATTAGATCCATTGGAATGATTCAATTCAGTAATCTATAGCTGGGCTAGGCCCAGTCTTTTCGTTCCTCTGTTCACTTAGGAAATATCTGCAGCTTTCGTCAAAGAAAGAGGCTGAAGATGAAGCTCCCCCCCAACCTCATCGCAGACGCTCTAGGAACCGGAAGCAAGGAGGATGAACTGATGACCCTGCTTGATAAGCTTCCCATTTCTGAATCTTCAGGTCAGTTTTCTTTAAAAGGCGGATAACGGGTAAGTAATTTAAAGAGAATCAATTCGGCGATCAAGTACTTCTCTGATGTTGATAGGCCCTATTTTGCTTTTCATACAAATAAAGTTTGTTTCCCCATTGATTTTTTTTTAAATTATCTATTTTAAATGAGGAGTGCTGACATGGGGCGTAGACTGACCTTGATATAGATGAAGAGGCTGCGGGTGGACCATGGAGTCGGAGGATGACCCTCAGTGTTTTTTGCTACCATTAGCCCTTCCTCAGACAAAACTGTGCTTAAGCGCTTGTGTGTTCCTTATCATATTTCTTAATTACTTCTTCCCGTATTTTCTACCAATGAGGACAAGCCTACTCCAAGTCATCAAAGTTGAAGCTGATGTATCATGAGCACTCGGGAGGATAACCAACAAAATGTCCGGTAAATTGTCTTCAATAATAGAGATAAGTTGCACAAGAGCACAATAACTTAAATCGCAGGGAAAATAATTGTCCAACGGCTGGCATAATAAGGAAATGGAGCAAATAGCTCCATCAGCAGTTAATTTCAACTTGAATTTTGTCAATTGTGAAACTACATATTTTCTGTCTTAGTTATGAGGGCGAAACATGCGGGCATTATAAGTAGAACAAAATAATGGCAGAGGATTTGAACTCTCCAAAGACCTTAACTAATAAGAAGATCCCACTTGACTCGTATGAGCATCCTTAAGAAATTGAAGCGTGAGAAATGTCACTAATAAACCCTAGCTAGCCTAGGTCGGGAAGTGTTTTGTCTTTTTACAGGAACTTTTGCAACTGCACTAGATGGATTCTGCACTCTGGATGTCACAACCTGAACAAGGAAGCGAATCTCAAGATATTTACTCCGGGAGGATGAAGCTTCATCACTGACAAATACCAATGAACCGGAAGCAGGTAGGACAGACAGGTGGATGGATGACCCTGCTTGCTGGACAGCTGTAATTGATTCTTAGGTAAGTTTACTTTCAAACAAGAAAGAAGATAAGTGTGGACCATGTCATCTGGCATTCCTTTACCAGTACGTTGTCCCTCCTTATTTTATTTTCCTCTTTGAGATGTTAATTCTTAAGTTTACTTGCATTCTTTGTGATGTTCAGAAGATGAGAACCACCAAGCCTGGATGAAACTGAGTGAAGGAGGAAGAGGTTGCTCTATAAGGACAAGGATGCGCCCCCACCACCATTGGAAACTCAGGAACTCGAAGCAGGATGGATGACAGACAGATGTCTTAAAATTTTCCGATTTTAAATGATTTTTTCTCTCTTGAATAACTGACAACCCAAGGGAATACTTGGCTATGTAAAATGTAGTCTTATATAGCGCACGTATCTACCAACAATCAGGTACTCAAGGCGCTGGACATTATGTCTATTATTAAAGAAAGGTAAATAAAGTTGATGAGAAATATGAGACCCATTATGTAGCACCTTATAATGGTTTACAATGTAAAAGTGAACAACACAAATTTTTAAACTTTGAAAATATGGAGAACTATTGGAAATTATACACAGACATTTTCAGGCAAGTTGAAACCTATCTCCCCCCCCCCCCCCTCCCCAATTTAATTCATGTGCCTTATTGAGACACGTTTTTTACATTAAAACATTTGAAGAGATCACTTTCATTAAGAGAGCTCCTTAATGATTGAAACAAGTTACTGGCATTCAAATTACAGTGTTTATCCTTTTATATTTTTAATTGCACGTTTTTACTAATTTTTTTATTTCATATGATTTCAGTTTGCACTTTTAAGTTTTTGGTGTTTGTGTATGTCTTTTTCATGCATGTTATTAAATATAATTAACACAACAAAAGGATAAACACAATGCATACCGAGTGTTGAAGTTAACCTTGTACCAAAATGTGTATTCACAAAGAAAAGCAGTGCTTAAAATATTCGAAACCTAAACTGTCATAAATATCTTCTTCTTTTTGGGGGGGGGTGGTTCTTATCCCCTCGCTTTCATCTTCTTCTTTTTTTAGTCATTTCATTTATTCACACAAAAAAAGTGAAATACAAGGAGGCCAGGTTCTCCCTGTAGTTGTTGGTGTGCCAAGCGTTTCTGAACCCTGGTGCTATTTATGCAAATTCAGTTTTCGTCTTAGACAGAATTGTTTGTATCTTCAAATCTTTATTTAAATTTCAAGCTTACTTGCTTCCAAACAAATAAAAAAAAAATTGTGTAAGATGCTTCTATGTTTGACCTCCACAGACTACATGTATCATGTTAAAAATAATTTCAGATAATCATTTAGGATTTTGTATCGGTTTTTTGTTATATTAAAAGTTTTTGTGTGTCAATCGATGTAAAGATTTTTTTTGAAAGTGAAAGAAATGAGACCTTTGATATCATTGGTGGATTGTCACATGTCTGTGTTTTGTTTGTCAGTGGTTGGGGGATGTACAAGAGTAAAAAAAAAAAAACTGAAATCTTGGGGGGGGGGGGGGTTATAATGGCGATGGTGGACGGGGTGAGCACATGCCGTGATTGGCCAGAACTTGGGTTTTTGTAAGGGTGATATTATAATGGCTCTAAAAACGGGAAAAACTAATCCCCAAGTCTTGTCCAATACCTATCGCAAAGGGCAGAATTTTGATATAACAGTGCATGCAAACTGGCAAATACCAACCGATGGGGGCAGTATATCAAGTTAACGGTGCTTGCAAAATGGCCCGTTCCTAGAAATGAGGGCAGTACGTAAAGTTAACGGTGAATGAAAAGTGACAAATGCCTGATAATTTATGCAGTATGCCAAGTTAACTGTTAAGCTCAAAGGGGGGGGGGAGGGAGGCTGCCACTTGTTTTATCAAGTTATAAGGTGCATGAAAACTGGCAAACCCACGACATTGAGGGCAGTATATATCAAGTTAACGGTGCATCAAGTACGTAGCATATACCTAGCAATGCGCAGTACCTAAAAGTTAACGGTGCATGAAAGTGACAAACCTGATAAGTTAACCTGGCATACTGCATAAATTAAGTTCACGAGGGCCGGGGGGGGGAGGGTACCACTTTTGTTTATCATGTGTTAACGGTGCATGAAAACTGGCAAACCCACGACAATGAGGGCAGTATATCAAGTTAACGGTGCTTGCAAAGTGGCATGTACCTACCGATGAGGGCAGTATATCAAATTAACGGTACATGATTAGGGCAGTAAGCCAATTTAAAGAGGTTGTGGAATGCTCGAAGACATTTCCGTCATTTTTCGGGTACAAGTAGCCCAAGGTGTGATGAAATAAAAACAACTATTGTGTCTGTCTTGAAATGAGTACAAAAGGTACTTTTGAGAGCTGTTTTTCAGGTCCTGTTTCGACCCGAACGTGCAATTTGTGTAAAAGTCGTCGTTGGGGACAGCAAACAAAACACAGTAAATCGTGACGTAATAAACAGGACTCCCGATGCAGCGTAGTATTTATAAACGAGTCACCTGTTTATTACGTCACGATTTTCTATGTTTTGTTTGCTGCCCCCAACGACGACTTTTACAAATTGCACGTTCGGGTCGAAACAGGACCTGAAAAACAGCTCTCAAAAGTTGTACTTATTTCATGACAAGACACAATAGTCGTTTTTATTTCATCACACCTTAGGCTACATATGACCGAAAAATGACGGAAATATCTTCGAGCATTCCACAACCTCTTTAACCGTTCAGTTGGGGGGAGGGGAGTGCCAACTTTGCTAGACGTACGTTATTTGTAGTTTAAATTCATTGATCCCAATTTAAAAATTACATGTTTAAATTCAATAAACTGCCCTCGTCGTCCGTTATTGGTCAGTCGGCCTACACCGTTAATTTGATATACTGCCCTCATCGGTGGGTACATGCCACTTTTTAAGCACCGTTAACTTGATATACTGCCCTCATTGTCGGGTGTTTGCCATTTTTATGCACCGTTCACTTGATATACTGCCCTCATTGTTAAATATTGGCAAGTCTGCATGATGCTGCCGTTATCAGTAGATATTTGCCATTTATTTGTAGTTCAAATTCAATGAACTCCATACGTTGCTCTTTAGAATGACTGCTTGCTTGGTTCATATTTATTTACAATTTACATCAAAAACAAAAATACACTTCAAACAAATATCTCATTTGTAATATTTTATTCACTTATCAATTTTAGTTTGAAAACAATCAATTCAAAGGATTGTAGCAGCCAACCGGCCTTTCGTAAAAGTGGCTTTTTTGACAAATATCAAAATCGCACAACTAAGAAAATAAATAACTGCCAAAATTTTTTTCAATATACAAAGTGGAAAAAATGTTCTTTAAGCATATGATGAATGATGAAACATTTGGTATATTCTGGCACAGCACTAGATTTTTTTGTTAAGATCAGACAGCACAGCTAGCTACAATCCTGGCCAAATCTCGCTGGGCCCCTAACCCCCCGGCCCCCACTCAATGTTGTCTCTCATTGCGCGGTGTGTGCTTCATCAGCTGCAGAGAACAAAAATTGAGCGGGGGAGTTGGTGACCGTTGGAGGCTAAGGTTATTTCCAAGTGTCCCAACCATTTTGGCCGGGATTGTAGGTAAATATTTGGAAAGTTTAGGGATGAGATTGTCAATTAAACAAAACACCTGAAAATTGGATGAAAGGTCTGAAAGATGCATTTCTTTCTGAAGTCTTGCTCTCAGATTCAAAAAGTCCGAAAAACCTCATGCCTCCAAGTCTGAGTAATACCCATTGATTGGTTTCAGCGCGGATCAAGGAAGGCTCCTATACAAAATGCCACATCAGGAAAATTCCCAACGTCCACAGAATTCCACATTTCAGACCACGACATTTCATAAAACCAGTACAGTTCCAACACTCCATTGCATGTTTAGTACGTTTCAATAGTTTGGTGAGCTTAGATTAGAACAAGACAGAGTCAGTAATTGGTAATAACTACATCTGTCCAGACTCCAGAGGAAGTACTGGCAATGGAAGTTCCATCTTAGGCATCTTAACCTCAGGACATGTATTCTTCTGGAACCACATGGACAGCTAGCCAAAAGAAACCCCAAACTCCTTTGCATGTTATCTTGCTGTCACAATGAACCATGATTCTGGCTGGTTTTGGGGAGTCCGTTATCCATTTTCATCACATCATCCATGTTGGTGAGTTGGACGCCTCCACATCATTGTTCATGTCCATCTCCACCTGCATGAGAAGTGAAAAAAAAGCAATGTAAAGGCAGGGAGTATAATACCATCCAAGTATCTTGGATACATTTCCAAGAGCCCAGAGATGAAGAACTCCCAGACTTAGGCATAAAATCTTGTGCAAAATTTAAGAGTCATTTGTAGAAATGATTAAGGAACACGCAAGCCTTTTCACACAATACTGGCTGGGGAAATATTTTGCAAAACATGCCTGTGCATTTGAGTATTTTTAAATCCACTAAGGATGACCCAAAGTGGACAACTGACTCTTGATAGATGCCCCTCAAAACTTATCAGACGCTCTTGAATAACACATTCCATTTCTGGAATCCCATTAGTTTCTTGTGTTTAATCCAAGAAAAATCTTCCACTTAAAAAGGATGGACTACTGGACTTTCAGGAGAAAGTCGGATCTGGTGACCAGTCTTCAACCTACATCATCGGGTGAGTCCTGGTCATAGTCTGTCACCTCCAGGTCATCAGGTTCATCTGATTCCTCCTCGGACTCAATCTCATCTTCGTCTTCCTCCTCATCTTCATCGTAGTCTCCATAAGGCTGAAAAACAAAACATGAAAACTAATTTCACCTACAAGTTAATTTTCCCCCTTCCCTTGTTCCGAGGTTATTTAATGAGTCTTGGAGCCATCAAATTCCTCACAGACATTGAAAAGAATACAACTGCTTACTAAGAATACATTTGGAAAAGAACACAACTGAACTGTATTTTATTGTGAGAAACACCACACAGAATTCAGTCAATAACCAAGACTAAAATACCTCTGCAGTTGTCTTTCCTATCGGGATGACATCCTTGTTCTTTTCTTCAATACTTTTCAGCTGTATTCAAAAGAAAAAAATAATAATAAACTCAAATAGTTCCATTAGATCACTAGTTGAGGCAACATCAATCCATTAAAATATGATCTGTTTATGTTTTGTGTTCCAATTTTAAGAAAAGTTTTAAGGCAGGGGGATCTCTCATGCTCTTTTCATGTTCAAGCTCGGTAATTACCCAGTTTTGATGTTCTCTCTCTTCTTCTGCTAACTGGCTCTCATCCTCAAATGGTTTATCAATGTCAAACCATAAAGGATCGGATAATTTGGGAAATAACGAAGGAAAATTGGTTGACATCGTTGAAGTCAGTTCAAGTTTTAGCAAGTCCAAATCACCAGACTATTTAAATTTTCTGTACGATATAAGCACCGTGTTAGAGTAGTCGGGGAACCAGTCAATCTTTGGCATGAGAAACATAACCTCTGACCTACTGCATATGCATTACTTGATATGAATAATTCAATAAACAGACTGGCCGATGAGGGCAGGTATGCACGATTAACGGATCCGTTCATAAACATGGCGACTACCAGGAGTGCTGCAAAACGTGCGGCTGAAGAAACGAAACAGGAACGAAGGGGCGATATTCAACAGGACGAAGAAGAGGAGAATGTCAAGGAAAGCGAACAACCATTGCAGCAACCTGAAGATGAAAGCAAGCCCAAGCTTTTACCGGTCATGCCAAGGAGTTTCATGAGGGAGTTACTTTCGGAATCCATACTTGGTAAGATTTGTCAACAGAGGGCGCTGTGCATATGTATTTTATTATTCCCAGCCCACCCCATCCCATCCCACCCCACCCCATCCCATCCCACCCCATCCCATCCCACTTTTTTTTCTGATTATCAATAAATAAAGGGGTGCCACCCATGTCCCCACGCATAACTGATTAGTCTTTCTTTGGTTAAGGGAAATCTCTCCATACTAGATTTTTCCAGCCCCTTTTTTAAATTTTATTTAACGTTACAGTACATTGTCTTCAGTTAAGGCTTCATCATTAATGCTCGACCCATGCACTGAAATATATTCAGAATGAAATATGCATTTCACATGTAGCATGCTGATGGAATTGCCCAAATTTGTCTTTAGTAAAAATGACACCTTTGGTTGCTGATTACAACGTGTAACACTGAATTGTTACAAGCGTGCCAAATGTTTCGAGGATGAGTCATTGTTTATATTGGACTTTGATCATGAATTCAGATCCTTTGTTGACCCGAGGCCCTTCTTTATGAAGCAGATTGGCTGCATGTATAACCTCTGTGCTTTTCTGTACATAGACTTGATCCAAGTCTTATGGAATCCTTTTCCTCAATCGCCATCACTTTTCTAATGGAAAAACCAAACGTTCATTTTGATGTTGTTACATAATATATTTTGTTTTAATATACCAATTCAGAAATTCTCCCGAAAATTCTTTGCACTTCAGTACAAGCAAAAAAAAAACCCACTGACTTTTTCCAATGCTGTATTTAATAGTCTGTAAAAATACGAACCAGTCTTCGTCAAAGAAAATTGACCAAGGGCTAAACACATTCATTGATGCTCTATCACATAAACAAGATGTCTATTATAATATAAAGGTTTCCCAATTTGTTGGTATTTTTTCCATTGGGAGTTATTGAAATGAACTTATTATTTTGACAATTTTACTTTCCAGGGTTCATATTCTGGTCTGTCTTCCACGGCCTGGCTCCGATGGTCTGGTTCTACCCTATGAACGAGCTTCAGGTTACTGGTTACGAAGCTTTAGGCCTGATCTGGATGATGCCGGTAGTCTGCGGCATCGGAGCCATCCGGGATGCCGTACAGACACGCTGGGGGTTGTTCATCCTGCGGGTTGTTATGGTCACCAGCGTTGGGTCGTTCCAGGCTTCGACGACGCTGCAGAGGCTAGTGGTGCTGTCAGTTGGGAACGGGGCTGCAACATTGTTATTGTGCGGAATGCTGTGGAACAAATCTCTACACCAAAGGTGATTCAGGCTTTTGAACTTTGCCAATGCGTGTGCAGTGTCACAAGACTTTGCAGCTGTTTAGAGCTGTTTAGGAATCTAGAGGCTTTCAGATTCAGGTAGCTATTGTGGCTGTTATTGTGGCTGCTAATGTAGATGCAATGCATACAGTCAGTCGTTTCACACTTTCCTCTTGGTTTTGTTTTTTCCCTTCTTAGATCTGCATCCTTCTGGGGCCTTATGATAGGATTTTTTGTGCTACTAGCGGCAAGGATATGCTATGTTTCCCTCAACCCAACGTGGACTGATGAAAAGAGCAATTCATTCGTTATAGCCCTGGGAGTCGTTGCTACAATTGATCGGTTCCTATCAGGTAAAAAAAAAATTGGAATTCTATTAAAAGACGGATTCCATTCATTCATTTACCTTTGGTCTTAGTCCAGCTGGAAAGCCTTTATTTGTATTACTGTATAGTTGTTATCCTTGGAGTTGACTAAGCTCATCTCATGTGCCATTTATTTCCTACACCGTTATAGTATTAAAGAAATCAACACAGACTACATTGTAACACAATGTAATACAAGTGCTAATGGGTTAAGTGTATGTTTGTCTGTTATAGCGGAGTACCCAGAGCCCCAGGCAGAGCCAGTCCCTGCAATGGCCGCTTCGTGGAGGCGGACAGCCATGGGCTTCGGCAGTCTTCTCTTCCTGACCCACTGGCTGTTTGGTGAGGTGTCGGTGGTGTGCCGATGGACAGTGAAGGGGTTCCCTTTCCCTGGGCCTTCCCCGTTTCCTGGAGGGTAAGTCAAGAGAATTTGGGGATCCTCAACAATGCTTACTCGGTGGGACTTGAACCCACAACCTCCCGTTTACTGGTGCAGATGTCTCACCACTTGACCGCCGAGTTTGCTGGGGTGTAAATATGTTATAGTAGCGGATGCCATTCTCCTTATTCATCACGTCCACATTTTGAATTTGTTTCTCAGCAAGTTTTCTCTTCTTTTTTTTCTTTCTTTCTTTGTCTCCATCCTCATCAGCGCTGCCATCTTTGTGGAGCTCCTTACCGGTTTCCTGATGTCCTCCAAGAAGGGCCTACCAAACAACTTCCTCTGGTCCTGGTTTGTCGGCCTGCACTGCTTCGTTGGCCTGTACTACCTGAATGCCTACTTGGGATTCTTCTGCGGCCTGATGCTGGCCATGTACACCATGTCCATCTGGCCAGAGATGGTGGATCGAGTGACCAGCTGCCCTCCGGCCAGGACGCTGACCGCCGCCATGGCCGTTTACCTCTTCTCAATGCTGTTCTCTGTCTGGACGACGGCGTACAATTTTGTGCCGGGCGGGGTGTATTCAAGGTCAGTGTAAACTGCAACATTTTTCCACACCAGATCTTCCAGGCCTTGAGATGGATGTTGAGTTTGTGCAGCTGGCCGCAACTCGGAACAATCAGAGAATTGCTAGAATTTCCAACTAGGATTACGGCCATTTCAAAATCGGGAACGCCTGTGATTTTTAGTGAGAAAACCTTCTGAGAGCACTCTGTTCCCATATGAAACACAAACTTTTCCTCCCAAAGACAATGATGGAATACAAGGTGTTGACATACTTGGATTATTTTGTCAATGTACTGAATTTTTTGCATTTCTAGTTGGGGCTTTGGACATCTCTAAACTACTTCTTCAGACTTCAGAAGTTAAGAACTTGTTTAACTTTATTAACTGGATGTTTAGTCTCAGTCCCTGGCTAAACAAAACCATTCAAAGCCTTTCCCAACTTCCTTCATCTCATTCAGCTTAAAATTTAATCCCATTAATATTTGTTTGAAGCCAACAATCACTTACTTCTTTGTTTTTCAAGACTTGTTATTAAATATCTTTGTTTATGTATTAATTTTTCTCCAGAGAGCAGTCCCTGCTGCTGGGGGCCTTCCTCATGTTCAACATCTTGCGAGCGTTGCTGTCAGGTGAGTCTAGAGACCACCAGGACCCACTCAGCAAGCACATCGCCTTCCCCAACCTGGACGGAACAGGCACCTATCAGATATTTGCCGATGCCAAAATGTGTAAGTTGTCACAAGACTATGACTTTTCCTGACTAAATTTCACTGGTGTTTTTCTCTTCCGTGACAGTGAAAGCTTTGAGAAATTCGGACCAGTGAACCAGCAGCCACCAAGTCTAAACGGTTGCCTTCATGTGTGTTGCAAGTTTCTGAAAAACCCAAATCTCGGACAGGAGTTCCAAGAAAATAAGGTTGTATCTCTAAACCTGTGATGTCCCTACCAAGTACAGCCTGTAAACACTGATATCAAGAGGTCCGCCTATTTTTTTACTTACAAGGAAACCACCCACAAAGAAACAACTGTTTGTTCTGGATGGAATTGGGCCTGTCCAAATGTTGCGACTCACTGACACCTCTTGTCTTGAAATATCTCTTGAAAGCACTCCTGATGAAATGTTTGAAAGCCAACTATGATCATTCCTCTTTCTTTCTTCATGTCCTTAAGATCTGGTCCTCATCCTCGTCATCGGTAGTGGCGGCTTCTTCACCCGTTTCCACCCTGAGAGGTACCACCACCCACCCAAGGCCAACCCCAGAGAGTTCACCGGCATGGTGTGGACCGCTCACTTCATGTATGACAACAGAGGCTGGCCGAGCTTTGAGAGGGCTGCCAAGATGATGGAAGACTCGGGTAAGGAAGGAAAAACCTTAACTTCCAAGACGGATCTATTAATGTTGTAAAAGTTAACCTGACATTTCATCACCCAATCAATCAGATAATACCACAAGTATCATCATCATCATCTAGTAGTCGCAACCGAGATCTCGTTCACAAGGCCACGCCAGGTGTCTTTATTTCTCATTATGTACGGAAGGTCTTCAATTTCACATTGGGTGTCTCTGCCAATCACATCAATGTAGTTGAAAGGTCTTCGTCCTCTATTAGGGCATGGAAGTCTCCACGAAATACATTAGATATGACCTGGTTTACAGCACGGTAGCAGTGGCCAGCAAGTATACATAGATCCATATTACAGGAACAAGTGGTGTTAATCATTCTGCGTATATTTTCTGGGTGTTTGGGGTTCTACTAGGTGCTGACGTGATAGCCTTAATCGAAGCGGATGCCTCCAAGCCTTACCTTGGACTCAACGACATCAGCATGTGGTTGGGGGAGAGACTGGGCATGTATGATGACTTTGGACCCACCACAAAATCCCACACCTGGGGGTGAGTTTCTCAATTGGATGTTTTTTATCAGTTTGTTTAGTCCCACTCGTTAAGAGACCATGTCATACTCCATCTTGTTTACTCAGGCCTAGGACTCAGACATGAAAAAAAAGCACAGGACACCTCACTTGTAACTCAAGCTCAATATTGTGGACTCAAGACTTAGACGTAATCTTTGTGCCTTTAGACGAGTGGAGTCAACACTGAAGACTGTGACTTGGAAGCAAGAACTGGGACTCAATTTGGACCTTTACGACTCATGAAACTGATATGTGTTGATATTCTGTAAAATAAACTTGGACCTGACCAGTTCAGTGGGAGACTTTTGAGACGTTGGTGGCAGCAAACACACTGGTCCTTTTTCCACTGTTTGCATCGTATTGAGCATGCGCGCTTTAGCTTAAACACGACATAAACAATTGAAAAGAACCATTGTGTTCACTGCCAGCAGCATCTCAAAAAGTCTCCCAGTAGCCTACCCTGACTCTGATTTGACTTTGGGATCTTGTACTTATTACTCGTTACTCACAATAAAGACTCGACCTTTGAAACTTGGACTTTGATTTGTAAAATTTAGATTTGGACTCAAGATATAAGGTCTACATCACATCTCTTTTGTCTCTCATCTTTTCAGGAGTCTCTTCCTGTCCAAGTATCCCATTGTCTACTCAGACCACCTACTCCTCCCCTCCCCCGAGGGGGAGTTGGCCCCAGGGTTGCACATGACCGTCAACATCTCGGGCAATCTGGTGGACTTTGTCACCTCTCATATGGGCAATAGCGGGTAAGTACAATCCCTCACTGGAAGTCCAATCCATTTAAAATCTGATGTTTTTGACAAACCACAGTTTTGATGGAGTAACCAAATCGTCTGTGTAAAGTCTGACATGTAAGCGTTTAGGCATGTCGAGCGCAACTGGAACTTGCAGTAAGGCATTGGACATGTTGGGAATGGGCAGGGCTCATGGCCAAATTCAGAAGGGGGGAAGCAGCAGTATCAAGCATCATGTGATTTTACCTTGATAGACACTGAAGATACAAATTACTAAGAAAACCAACGGACTTAATCATGCGAGAGACTTTTGACCATCTGTTGCACGATGGTAGTACATGTTTCAGAGAAGAATTTATCTGAGCCGCAAATACCAGTCGCAACTTCCATTATAACCTTCCATTGGTATGGAAAAGTTTTGAAAATAATTTAATTGATTTTGTTCTGACAGGGATGATTTGGACAGAAGGATGCAGGCTGAAGTTCTCTCTAACATTACCAGGAGAAGGTACGATAATTTCCAATGTTTGGTATCGGACCCTTTTCACTATGAAGATACTGTGAATCTTTTGTATTTTGTTCACACCATTTTTATTGATGACAACCCGTTGGTAGCCTATAAACATGTGTGTTTATTATTGAAATAGTACAGCAAGAGTCAGGCTACATCCAAATTACTTAGCAACTGCCATTTTGCATAGACGTATGCGTTACTCCCAGTTGTAGCCAAGTATTTGAACGCACCTCTACAAAAAAACAGCCACTTCCCCCCATTAAATTTGTTTTTTCTTTTTAATTTGACACTAGTGATTTATGTACTGATACAAGCAGGATAACGGTTTAACTCAGCTTGTACCTAATGTCTGCTTCTGCCGATCTGTTTACAGCAAGAATCCCACTGTCTTTATGGGCTACGTCACCTCCGAGCCGGGCAGCCGAGACTATAAAAAGTTCACCACGTTTGGAAAACTCAGGGTAAGCAATGGCGTAACCCTGGAATTGTTTCAGTGGGGACACCAGTATTAATTTTCACAAGTTCAGTAAAGTGTCTTGCTTAAGGACATAACACCAATGCTTCGCAAACTGTAGTTTGCCTTGAATCCATGCGGAAAAGCAATCCAATATTGTCTTCCAGTGAAATTCTTTTCTTTTTGTCTCTATTTCAGGACATTGATCCAACAGATCAAAACAGGTTTTGTGAGTACATCTTCTATAAAGGATTAATTAGGTGAGACATTTTAAAACAAATATTCACCCAGAGCTAGGGTCGTGTTAACAAACAAGGAGGAAAACATGGCCACAATAATCAAATTGAGATATTTATTTAGGTAGGTTTTTGATTTTTTTAAGATGTTGAGTTTTAAGAAGTTTGTCTGCTGGCATATTTTTGCTGTGACTTTATATCCTTTCTTGTACTTCTTCCAAATTGCGAATTTATTTATAAGTTTTTAAGATTTTGAGTTTTTAGAATTTGTTTGTCTCTGTAAAATACTTTGTCTGTGTCTTTATATCTTTTTTGTTCTTTGCCAACTTCCTATTCCAAACTGTCTTTATTCTCAAAAAAAAAGTGTCAGTCTTCATTTTCACCCTGGCAATTTTTGCGTCCTAAATCCTGATTTTTGCGACCATTGTAACTGTCTCCAGGAAAGCCTACGGTCGTATTTCACAAGGGGGTCTGAGCGACACGGAAATCCAAATGGCCAGGTTTCTGATCCCTGATACCAAAACCTACAGAGATAACGACGCCATGACAACAAACCCTGGTGACGTGGATGAATCTGATTGGCTGCCAAAAGCGTAAGGCCTTTCCTGATTGGTTCAATTGATCCTGGGTGGAACTACAGTGCTTTTAATTTTGTTTCACATTGTAACTTGTGATGTCCGCATTCTTAAAAATGAGTGAAAAGCTGTCAAATATCTGGGTTTTTTTAAAGCCTAATCCTTTGCCCAATTCTGCCCCTGCTTGTTCTAATCCACCACTGTGTTGAATTAAATTGTTCTTAAATCTCTCTTGAAGCCAGGGACTATTTCAGCAACAATACTAGGTAATTTGCTGGAAAACAGAAGTGTCACATAGCAACTTTATGCCTAAAAATAAACTGATGCCAAAAGTAAAAACTGTTTGAATTTGAAAAATTTGCTGCTTGTTATTGTGCGTCTCTCCTCCAAATTAAACGCATCTTTCCTTAATGTCAGGCAACAATTTAATATTACTCCTAAATCCTGATTTGGTCTGTTATGTTTCAGATTTGGTTCCCATTACGTCGGAGACTGGTACCCAGAGACCCATCACTACCACATGGACACACCAAAGTACTTCTATAACAGCAAGGACCAAGAGCAGGCCGCAAAACCGGGGGAAAACGTGAAACCTGATGAGAAGACGGACAAAGAGCCAAAGAGAGGAGATGAACTCAAAGAAAAACAGTAAAATGGATGACGAGGATTTTTACAAGAAGCCTGGTATTCATGAAATTTGATGAAAAATCACCGGAAAAAAATTAACAAAAAATATGTTTGAAACCTCTGAGGTTATTGAAAGTTTTTGGTTGGGGCATAAAAGTCCAGGTTTTTCCACTGGGTTTGAAATAATTTTTACTGCCCTCAATATTCTTCCGGGAGGTCACTAAGATATATATATTTATGGTCGTCCAGACTTTGCGATGAAATCATGAAGATTCTTCCATGTGATCATTGAAGACTTTTGTTGTGAAGTTTATTGTATATGTGAGGTTTGTGAAACCTCAGTTGTTAACCTCACAGGGGTTGAAAATGGTGTAAATTGACGAAAAATTCAACTCTGAAGAATTAAATAATTATATTTTGCCAGCTTTTCGTTTGTTGTATAAAATGGAGAGTAAAAAGATGGTTTGAAATGAGAAAAAGGAGTTTTTCTATGCAGAATAATGATGGTACTCAATCACAAGAATGAGTATTATTTTTGTAACGATCCATGAAAACTAAAAATCATGTTTATTAAACAAATGTACCTGGAGTTGGGGAAAAAGTTAATGGTTTGACACGAGGTGACTGTAGAGCCTATGCCGTTTACAAAAGCATTGCTGAGAGAAAAATTTATAATTTTAGGAGGTTTTCTAAATGAGTTTATGTCCAAAAATCAAATTTTGCACATTGAATGCATGCACAAGTGATGTGATAAGGAACAGCCAACCTGATTCAAACTAGATAAAACTTGGGGGTTTTTTTTCAGTTGTAGAAAACACTGTTCTTTTATGATTAACAATGACAGACAACCAAAAAAAGGTTGCTTTGTAACATTAAGGCGATATACTTTTCACTTTTTATGTTTTCTTTCAAAATTTCAGAATCTGCCTTGTATGTTTGAGGGAGATTTTTGTATTAACATATCAACACTGAAATAGTTCTTGCAAGTATTTTTTTTCTTCATTCACTGCAACTACAATGCAGTCAACACTGTTTTTTTTCTCTATAATCTAGTGATAAGGCCAACAAAAAAAATTATTCGGTCTCTGGTCAGACCAAAGTTCCTGAATTGACGCGGGGACGCGGCTTTTTCTCTTTTTTTTTTGCTTTTTTTTTTTCTTCAAGCTTGGATTGTACAGACAAGGTGGGGTACTATTTTGCTTTTTTGGTGTCCTCATGTACATTGGTGTCCTCCATAATTTGCCTTGGTGCTCTCGATCATTTGCCTTGGTGCAGTTTCCCATTCCTTGGTGCTCTTTGGCAAAAAAATTGAGCAGGTGCGCTGTTTGAGCTACCGCGGAACATTTTGGAAAAAAAAGATTGACGCGCATGATTAAAAACGACGCGCGCGCTGACCAGAGACCGACTTTTTTTTTTTTTTTTTGGCCTAAGATGGATTTTTTTTTTTTTTTTGCGTCGGGTTGATGTAAATCAAATTATGTTTTTCCCTTCACCGACGATACGTTTATACGTCAGTGAAGGGCAAAACCTAATTTGATATCATCTGATGCTGTGTTGAAAATAATACAAATCTACCAGGGTTTGTGTTTTTTGTGCATTTAGATTCCTTACTCCCAAAGTAAGTGATTGCACAAAGTTGAAATTATTAGCAGTATTCATATTATGGGGTTTTTTTTCATTCGGAGCAATATTACCAGCAGGATATTCAGGTGCCAGAAAGTGTATGGACTGTAAAAGTTGAGCTATAATAGTAGAATGCTGGAGTTGTAGTACATGGGTGTTTGGTTCACATCTGGTTTATGCCAGATTACGAGTGATGGTTGCTAGAGAACTGAACTAGATAACCAGAGGTCTGTGGTTATGTTCCAATTGTGTAGTCTTTAAAAAAAATTGTTGGAGTTGTTCAAATGTACATGTACCAGGTTCATTTGTCTTTTCAGTCAAAATGAGAGCTTAACATAGCCCATTGCTGGAGGAATAATCTGAAGGTCTGTGGTTCACATTCCAGTAATGTCAATTTTAGAGAGTTAGTGTTACAGAGTGAAAGGGATAAAGTTCAGAGGTGTTTAATTAATGTTTTGCAAAGTTAGTTCGGAGTAATTTTTTTTTCACTGTGGTGAAAAATGTAGATGTCATAGATTAATGATCAAGTTGAGACAAAGAACAAACTTTGGTGGTTGAACGTTGCATTGTGAAATGAGAGGTTCTCAAGTCACGTTTTTTTCCCAATCAAATAAGTTGTCATAGTGGTAGAGTGCTTGCCTGGCCGTACAGAGGTCTTTAGCTGCCTTTCATGGTCATGAATTTTGCAGGTTTTAATAGTAGAGCACTGGAGTAGTTTTCCATAGGTCTCTGGTTCAGGATTCTAGTGTGTCAAATTTTGAGCAATAGTGGTAGAGCGCTGTGTAGTGAGGTTGTAGTTAAGATGTCTTAGGTTCACATACCATTCAGTTAGTTTGTGAACTTCATGCTTAAGCAGTACATGTAGTCTAGAAGTCTTAGATTATAATTCCAATGCTTCCTTATTATGCTGAAAATGATTTTGAATCACTTAGGCTGTTTGTAGGGTGTGACCACTCACCAAAGTTAAATATGAACTTCAGTTTTTTTTCACGTGAATGTCATTCCAGATGTCTGATTCATACCCTTTGGTCTAGTCAATTGTTAGCGCCCAAGATGAAGTAGTAATGCCTGGCCTGGTAAAGTGACTGAAATAATATGGTTACGGCTGTAGTCAACTCTTTAGTATGTAGCATTTTTTTCACCTCTAAAGCATGTTTGTAGAATTCTGGTACAAAAGTGGAATAGTGTCTTGTTTCTGTGAAATATTGGGTAATTGAGAATTTGCTGAAAAACACCCTTTTTTATTTCCTTGACTTCCAATGCTTTCGTTTGTAAAAGATCTTTTATTTTTTATTAGAATCAGCTAATAATTAAGTATTTCCAACTGCCGAAAAGGTCATGATCAATATGCAAGCAACAGATTCTTAATGGAATTAGTAATTTAATACTTTTCAAGTTGAAAAGATGCAAAAGTATGATTTGATTAAATAAATTCATGTTGATAAATTGATATACATGTAGTTACAGTGTGAAAAATATTAGGGACAGGACAATTAAATTGTTTTCAGTAAATGAAACTACATTTCACTCTTTTCTGTTGCAGACTTTTTCACTGTTTTATTGTTTCACGACAGACGGCAGGTAACAAAAAGTACACTCACAATTTACATACACATACAAATATTCAAAGTACGTCTTCAATGTGTTATGAACAGTTTTCATTGGGTTGATATCGAGGCAGCATTAATATGTTTACGTCACTTTGCGACTACAGTACAGCGGCGGCTTGTCATGTACAAACATACAACGTGTCACAGACTCCCACCTTGTGGTTCTGGAAGTGGAACGTACAAACTACTGCCCCGGAACCAGACTAACCCTTTCACCGTCGATCGTTAGCATTTGGGATCGTACGGGTACAATAAATATATGCATCGCAAAACTTGACTTATGAATGAACTCCCTCGCAACAATATGTCAATTGAGGGCGCACTGATGATAAAAAAAACTCAAACTAGTCAGTGACTGTTTAAATTTACATGTTAATATTTATTTATTTTTAAAACGGTTAACACCAAGTGAGTTAAACAACTGGCAATAAAAAAAATCACTTATTCAAATGAAGAGATGTCTTGTTTTCCTAACCACAGTTCCGGGCAAAAGCCATGGGACCTACACATTTAAAAAAAAATTAAACAGTGTTTAAATCTTCTGATGGTGATAGAATATTGTGGTGTTAAGGTTGCTTATTTTCACAATAAAATCAGCCCTTGTGTCTTGAGGTCTTCCCTAGGCTGCTTAACGTCCCCTGCAATTCTGGAAAATGTGGATAAATTACCCGCCTGGGTTGTCAGTTTGTCAAGGTTATGTGAGTGCGACACAAAGCATAAGCATGTTATATTCTTTTCAAAACTCCTGCCACGAGTTGTTTACCCAAATGCTTGGAAAGAAAGTACCATTGAGCGGACGCAGCAGCCATGCATAACAGGCACAGAAGTGGCTTGTCTTCCAAAGCAGTTTGACGGAGCTGTTCTCTACTCGTCCCAAATGTGCAGGGCCAAGTAGAAAGAAATTTTCTCGCCCTTATGCTGGGACAATGGTACAATTGATACATGTACAGTCATGCAAGATCCAATCATGTGGCCATACCCGACATCATCTGCCATATTAATGTCAGGAGTCTGCATCGATAAATGTTGGCATGATTTCCTATGCCACATTTTTCATCCATCAACAAAGATTAGCCGACGGATTTTGCTTTTAAGATTACTGCAGTAACGTTAATGATTATTTCTACTTGATCTTCTACTGGCTCTGCTCCGATTTAAAGAGCATTCTATTTCTATATTTCATGATTATTATTTTTTTGTTCAGGTCAGATCCTGTTAAGTAACTTTTTTTGTTTTTATGTTAACCCATTTTCCAAATTCCTACAACCTGCTATTGTTCATATTTGGAACGAAGACCAGGATTCCCTGCTACGTATCAGTACCACCGTAGCACCCAATAAAGGTGTTTTTCCTGGCATGGACAAGTCAGCAGAATACTTAAACAGGAAATTTCCAAAGAAGGCATACCGGGTACTGAAGTTAAAAAGACAGTGATTCAAAATATATCAACTGTGCTTCAATGCCAAAATACATGTCTTCAATAAGGAATTTCGATGGAAACATGTTACTTCATTTTATTGCATACACAATAAAATGCATTATTCTCAGTAACCACACAGATGGGCTACAGCCCAAAGGCCTGGTGCCCTTGATTTGCATAGGCTCCAGGAACTTGCATTCCGATCTGCTGACCAACAGACAGCATCTGCTGACCAATGGACAGCACAGGCGCATATAGCTGAGATTCCTGGTACAGGAATTTGGGCGGCAAACCTTCACTTTGGTTCAGCTGACCACAGAGTCAACATTGTTTTTTCAGTTTGCTCTTATAACGCGGTTCCTTGTGGATTATACATGCACTTCGGAAACACTCGTGGGAATTAAATTCGGAACCGCTACTTGCTTTGGGAAAAGTTTTCTTCGCCACCTGTGTGTACTTTTCGCGGCAGTTTTGATCATTTCGGCTTGAGCTTGAAAGTGGAGTACATGCGACCAGGGCCCGCGCATAGGCAAGATGCCACGGCCAAAACAACAGGTGCATCGCCCGGCCCGTCTTGACTCAACGCACACCACCAGCGGAGGAATTCAGCGGGGCCGGGGAGGTCGGTCTGCTCGGGGTAGGAAATCCCGGATGGCAACAAGAGCCACTCGAGGTCGGCCTGCCGTGGCCAGTGTTAATGTTCAGCCTGCCCATCCAGAGGTTGTACAATCCGTCGGCGGTCCAGCGGTAACATCGACATCGGGCAGGTCTCAACTCGCAACACAGGCCGGGGTTTGGCCGGCGCTTCAACAGCCAGCAGGTCACCAGGAGTTCGGCCATCACGGGAGCCCCATGGGTCAGTTTCACACGGGAGACAGATTCATTCAACAAGAGAACGCTCTCCTGGCCGGGTATGGAGGACATGACTATCCATGATGATCAAATCAGGGCGTCAAGTGGTCAAGAGTAATTAAGACTTGTTACCCTGCATGTGAGGCACGCCTCAACAATGACAATGCATGGATACCAGTGAAGACAAGAAGGTTAACAGACGAGATACTGCCTATATTTACTGGCACAGGCTGTCTGCAACGCTCTTTAAGACTGTCGTTGGAAGTCTCAAACATTAACCCACAAATTTCACTAACAAATGGTTTCTCAAAGTGTGAAGAAATAGAATAGCCCTTGCCTCTTTCAAACTGACACTGACAAGCAACTGAACTGAGGACAGATGGGTTAACCAATTCTGGGCGTCAAGTAGCTTGTTACCTTGCATAGGAGGCACGCCTAAACAATGACAACGCATGGATACCCACACGTTTAAGATGGTGCAAAGAGGAATATTGCCTAAATTCATAGGCACAGGCTGCCTTTTCCAAGAGGTGAACTCTTTGAGACAAGTTACACATCTTGGTGTGCATGAAGCTTTCACTGAGGCTGAATTTGAGGTTTAGTATGAGAAAAAGTGCTTCAACTGTGACAATCTCTGTTGAACAAGTGCTGTTGAGCAGGTAGCTATAAAGGAAAGCCTATTCAATGTGTTAAGAATAAGAAGGGCAAAAAATGTATTTTCCATATTCATGTAGGAAAAGACGGCACAATTTTCAAATTCACCTTGCACGGCAAAAAATGAAAACCTACACAATCTGAACTTTGACGTCCAATTACGATACCCAAACATCTTCGAGAAGCTGGACTTGAATTCTGTGACAGAAAATGACATATTCAAAACAGTACAGGAAATGCTCATGTAAACTTTCTGGGCTTTTCTGCATGGATGCTCTTCAAATGTCCTTGATGTTTCAAAGATATTCTCAAACATTTTACCACAAATTTTAAATGGTTTCTCAAGGTGTGCAGCAAAAAGAATTGTTCTTGTCTCTTTCTGACTGGCAGGCATATAAAAAAGCTAAACTGTATTCGAAGGCTCTAATCCAGAGGTTGATGCTGCCACAAACACCTGGACAACTTGATGAGGTTGACCAACTCGTAACAAAGCGACCTTCATATAACTTATCTGCTGGATACTTTTTCAAGTTTGTCCTTGAAGTTTCAAATATATTCTCTCAAACATTTACCCACAAATTTCACAAACAAATGGTTTCTCAAGGTGTGAAGAAAAGGAATTGTTGTTGTCTATTTCTGACTGACAATATAAGGCAGCTGAACTAATTTCAAAGCCACCTGACATGGAGGACTGAACTATTCATGAAGATACAATCAGGGTTGCAAGTGGTCAAGAGGGTTTAAGACCTGTCACCCTGCAAAGGAGGGACGCCTGAACAATGACAATGCATGGATACTCACGCGGTAAGAAGGTTCACAGAGAAGATGTTGCCTTATTCATGGGCACAGGCTGCTTGACGACAAGTCACACTTCTTTCCGGACACGAAGCAAGTAAGGAAACGGACTCACAGGTTCATGTTCTATTATTTTCTCTTCCAAAGGAATTTGTACTTCAAGACTGTCTATGAAGTCTCAATATTTTTTTCTCAAATGTTAACCACAAGTGTCACAAGCAAATGGTATCTCAATTTGTGAAAGACACAGAATTGCTATTACATTTTCCTGAGTGGCAGGTATTGGCAGCTAAACTGGAATCAAGGATTTCAATACAGAGGAATATGCTGCGGCAAATAACTGGACAAGGATAGGGAGAAATAACTCATTGCAAAGGTGGACTTGAATTGGCATCTGTCTGTATATTTTCAAACTTTTATCCAGTGTATCCACAAATGTCACAAGCGTACGGTTTCTCAATGTGTGAAGAAATGAAAAGCCCTTGCCTCTTCTAACTGGCAGGCATAGAATCAGTTGAATCCATAGGTTTATGCTGCAGTAAATACCCAGACAAGGGATGAGGCTAACCAATTCATTGCAAAGGTGGACTTGAATTGGAGACTGTCATACAACTTATCTACCCCCAAATACCTGCAGAAACTGTGAGAGAAGAGGAGGAGCTTAGTCTCCTAGAAACTGAACTTGAATTGGAGTCTGTCATTCAACTTATCTACCCCCAAATACCTGCAGAAACTGTGAGAGAAGAGGAGGAGCTTTGTCTCCTAGAAACTGAACTTGAATTGGAGTCTGTCATACAACTTATCTACCGCCAAATACCTGCAGAAACTGTGAAAGAAGAGGAGGAGCTTAGTCTCCTAGAAACTGGACTTGAATAGGAGGTTGTCACACAACTTATCTACCCGCCAAATACCTGCAGAAACTGTGAGCGAAGAGGAGGAGCTTAGTCTCCTAGAAACTGAACTTGAATTGGAGTCTGTCATACAACTTATCTACCGCCAAATACCTGCAGAAACTGTGAAAGAAGAGGAGGAGCTTAGTCTCCTAGAAACTGAACTTGAATTGGAGTCTGTCATACAACTTATCTACCCCCAAATACCTGCAGAAACTGTGAAAGAAGAGGAGGAGCTTAGTCTCCTAGAAACTGAACTTGAATTGGAGTCTGTCATACAACTTATCTACCCCCAAATACCTGCAGAAACTGTGAAAGAAGAGGAGGAGCTTAGTCTCCTAGAAACTGGACTTGAATTGGAGTCTGTTTATACAACTTATCTACCCCCAAATACCTGCAGAAACTGTGAGCAAAGAGGAGGAGCTTAGTCTCCTAGAAACTGAACTTGAATTGGAGTCTGTCATACAACTTATCTACCCCCAAATACCTGCAGAAACTGTGAGCGAAGAGGAGGAGCTTAGTCTCCTAGAAACTGGACTTGAATTGGAGTCTGTCATTCAACTTATCTACCGCCAAATACCTGCAGAAACTGTGAGTGAAGAGGAGGAGCTTAGTCTCCTAGAAACTGGACTTGAATTGGAGATTGTCATACGACTTATCTACCCCCAAATACCTGCAGAAACAGTGTTTGGGCCTAGAGCCACTAGGCATGGATGACAGGACTATCCATGACGATTGAATCATGGCGTCAAGAAGTCAAGAGCATTTCAGACATCTGGGAATACCTTGCATAGAAGGCAGGCCTGAACAATGGCAATGCATGGAGACCCATGCGGTTAAGAAGGTTTAAAGACCAGATATTGCCTTTGTGCTCTTTTAAGACTGTGTTGAGGTGTCAAATAGTTTTATTCTGGAAGTTGTGCCCACAAATCTCACAAGCAAATGGTTTCTCAAATTGTGAAGAAAAAGAACTTTTATTTTGCCAAATTACAGCTGCTCAAACTGTAAAGACTGAAAGAACTACAAGTGCTCAGCCTATGAATCTGTTTCTCAGGTCCCTGTACCATGTAGGGATAGCTGCCAATATAAATCTATGTAGTATTAAACAAAAGGGGAAATTCAGAAGAATACAAAAAGATTTTGCCAAAAGAAGGCATGATGAAGTTCAAAGAGTCGTACGAAGGTTTAAAAGACAGCGATTCAAAATATATATATTAACTCTGCTTCAATGAGGAAAGCACATTCCAAGAATGAATTATTATGAAAAGATTTTACAAGCAAGAGAGTTTGAGCCCAGAACCACTAGGCATGGAGGACAGGACAATCCATGATGATCAAATCAGGACGTCAAGTGGTCAAGAGGGTTTAAGGCTTGTTACCCAGCCAGTGAGGCACGCCTCAACGATGACAATGCATGGATACCCACGCGGTTAATTTACAGATGAGATACTGTCATTGAAGTCTCAAATATAAATATTCTCAAACGTTTAACCAGAAATTTCACAAACAAATGGTTTCTCAAGGTGTGAAGAAATAGAATTGCTCTTGCCTGACACTGTAACCAATTCCATTGCAACCCTGGACAAGAATTGAAGGCTATCATGCAGTATCTCCTGCCAAATATTTGCAGACACTATGAAAAAAAGGAGCTGAGTCTCCTAAAGTCTCCAGAGTCTCCTTGAATTGTAGACTGTGATGCAGCAATTTATGCATCTTTAAAATATCTTTCAACAAACGTAAAAAGCAGATGAGGAGATACAGACACCTGTAGAGGAAAGACTTGAATTGAAGATTTTGATGCAGCAATTTGTACATCTTTGAAAAATCTTTTGAGAAACTTAAAACAGCGGACAAGGAGATGCAAACACCCGAAGGAGCTGGACTTGAATTGAAGATAGTGATGCAGCAATTTGTGCATCTTTGAAAAACCTTTCAAGAAACTTAAAAAGCGATCGAGGAGAAGCAAACACCACTGGAGACTGGACTTGATTTGAAGATTGTGAAACAGCAATTTGTGCATCTTTGAAAAACCTTTCAAGGAACTTAAAAAGCAAACGAGGAGAAGCAAACACCCATGGAGGCTGGACTTGAATTTATGCATCTTTGAAAAACCTTTCAAGGAAACGAGGAGATAGAGACACATGAAGAAGCTGGACTTGAATTGAAGATTGTGATGCAGCAATTTGTGCATCTTTGCAAAACCATTCAAGGAACTTAAAAAGCAAACAAGGAGATACAGACACACGAAGAAGCTGGACATGAATTGAAGATTGTGATGCAGCAATTTATGCATTTTTGAGAAACCATTCAAGAAACTTAAAACGCAAACGAGGAGATACAGACAACCGTAGAAGCTGGACTTGAATTGAAGATTGTCATACAGCAACTTATGCCTCTTTGAAAACCTTTCAAGAAACTTAAAATGCGTATGAGGAGATGCAAACGCACGAAGAAACTGGACTTGAATGAAAGATTGTGTTGCAGCAATATATGCATCTTTGAAACCTTTCAAGGAACTTAAAAAGCAAATGAGGAGATGGAGACAAACGAAGAGGCTGGACTTGAATTGAAGATTGTGATGCAGCAATTTGTGCATCTTTGGAAACCTTTCAAGAAACTTAAAATGTGTATGAGGAGAAGCAAACGCACGAAGAAACTGGACATGAATTGAAGATTGTGATGCAGCAATTCATGCATCTTTGAAAACCTTTCAAGAAACTTAAAAGCGAACGAGAAAGGGGTAGGGCTATAAAACAGTTATAGTACCTACAGAAGCTGAACCCGAGTTCAGCATATGTGTATTGAATTGAAACAAGCTTGAGTTTCATACATTCAAATCCCAAAGCAAACTGTATGTTCCACCCCAAAAAAGACAACAAGATTTTAAGATCAGACTTTGATTTCTAATCAATCATTTCTAATCAGACACTTCAAGCTGGGCAGCTGGATCTTCAAATTCCAGCCCCTAAGATATCAGAAATATCTGATCGGGGAAGTCATGGCATTTGCTGTAAGACTGAGGCCAAGAATCGCGCGTGTTTAAGGGTCAAGAAATGCCGTCGCTTTGTTTGAAGAGTTTATGCATTGTCAAGTATCAGACAACTTCACAGTGAAACTAGGAATACGTTTTAGACGTCCAAAAAATCTGTCTTCGCAGTTTACATTTCATGTTTGAAGTCTGTTGCATGCCTTCAGTGTTGCACTCAACATTAAATCATCTTTTCTGGAATATCATTTATTCTTGAAATCTGCCGGTGTTTTCTTTCAGCATAATTGGAAACTGTGGTTAGGAAAACAATACAGCATAAAACAAGACACCAACCAAGCCCTTTTCAGCATATTGTAAACAAATTAAACTTAATGAGAAAAATAGACATACACAACACAAACAAGACTAATATCTCAATGTACATGGGGTAAACGTATGCCCAATGCTAAACAAGTACATAAGAGTCGACAATAATTTCAGTTAAATAAATACAAATGTACCAAATTGATGCTTAAAGTTCGCAAATGGACTTGAATCAGGGCCCAATTTTATGGCTCTTACCGTTAGCAACAAATCCCTGCTTCACTGTAGCAGAAAATTCCGTGCTTAAGGCAAGCGTATTTCACGGGTTAGCCAGGAATTTTGACTTCTGCGCATGCCTACATCCCGTAACTAAAGGATTCGGTGCTTACAGGGTTAGCACAGAATCGTTCTGCAATCACAGTTAGCACAAAATGGCGATCATAAGCACAGAACTGTGTGGTCTGCAGAGCCATAAAAATGGGCCCTGGTCTGTAAACAAAAAAAAATTCTAATAACTAAGCCAAAATTCCTCAAAAATGCCAAAGAAATGATTACTTTCTCAAATTTATTTGTACCCCAAAAATATGGGACAGCAACTATATTTCACTTCTTTTCATCTGAGCTGATTCCAATATTGCACTTCTTTCTCTAGATTCTGTCACACAATTCTTTATAACTTGTCAAAAATTACATCCAAAAATGTGGGGTTTTTTTGAAGAGGAGCTTGATGATAGCAATTATCAAGGCTTTGTTTTACATTCAGCACATCAACATTTGAGTGTAGCAAAGCCATTCCTAACAGGAGACTTTACACAAGAAAAAATTACTATGAATTCCTGATATAAAAAAAAATGGTTTTGAAAGTTTAACTTATTAAGTTTATTATTAATTTATCTGAACATTACAAAAAAAATTATCTTTGGTCATAACATAACTGCAACATTCAATGCTTTGCAAATGCGTGTAACAATGCCCATCCAAGAGACCCACTCAGAAAACCTATCAAGATCAGACAAAGGCAAATAAATTTCATATATTGAATACTTTTTTACATAATTTTGCAGAAATAATCAAGGCAAGCCAACCTATGCATTTAGTGGTCTACCTTGTTACATTCCTGAACTGGCATTGTCTTCAGATTGTTCCTGATCTGTCTTAGATGCGTTCCCTTCAGCATCTGCGACTCCCGCCTCCTTGCTTGCTCCATCTGTCTCCAGGGAGGTCTTGGATGCTGCTTGGTCCATCCCTTCCCCTTCTTGCTTCTCAGGCTCTTCGGAAGTTGAGCTCGCCTCAAATCCGACCTGCCGAGAGAATGTCATTTTCGACAGAGCTAGAGTTTTAGGAATGAAAACTACCAGACCACAGGGATAGTAGCTCAAGTAAAATCAACTACAAGATTAGAATGCATTTCCTATCAAAATTATAAGTTCAGGGAAACAAGACTTACCTCTTTGTGTTCTCCTGGGTTGTCCTTGGACTGATCTTCAAAGATGATGTCTTCAGGCTCTGGGGCAGCCGGCAGGAAATCCTCCCCGGGACACAGTCTCTCAAACAGCCTCTTGGCCTGAAGATGCAGGACAAGACAGATGGGAAAAAAAGGCTCACAATATCTCTCTGAATTTAAGGGAATTGATTACTGTGCCAATACCTCACTTGTGAACCTGCAACCATCTGACTGCAAGTCCAGCACTTCTAGTGCTAATATCTCACTTATCTGGATGTGAACTTCTAACCATCCTGTTGCAAGTAAGCCACGGCCAATATCTCATATATCCGAATGTGAACCTCTAACTGTCTTGTTGCAAGTAGTAAACTTTCACTGCTGATATCTCACTTATCCGGATGTGCACCTCAAACTTTAATCTTGATGCAAGTAAAAATATTCCACTGGTAATAACTCTGTTGTTACGATGTGCACTTGCATCAGTCAGATTTTCTAATATCTCACTTCTCTGGATGAGAGCCCGTAACCATCCAATTGCAAGTCCAGCACTTCTACTGCTAATATCTCACTTATCTGGATGTGAACCTGCAAGCATCAGATTAAAAGTCCTGCACTCCCAAGTCTAAAATTTATAGGAACTCAGGAAGCACTTGTCTTTCCCACTGAAAAATTACAAATTCCCTCAATCCCCACCTGTGTGACAGCGTGTTCGAATCCCACTGAGGTTCCTGGCCCAGCAGTCACCAGAACGTTACTGGGCAGGCCAGCAGCAAGGGCTGTGTCCTCACACACCGACGAGTCTACTTGGCTGAAAAACAGGGACCATAGGACTTTCGGTTTTGTGCTAACTTGGTCAGCCTCCTCTGTGGAAACAAAAAAATTACAGAATTTTTAATTATTTTGTTTAAGATGTTCGCATATTAGCCTCTGCTCAAGTTGCTAATTTAGGACATGCAGAACAGTAAGTGACCATTGCTGAAGACGCATGAAGTAAAAGTGCGCCGCGTATTCTGTTCCACGTGCACAGCTTAGGTGTGTGAAGACATCAGCGTGCGAACCAGAGTAAACCAGAACAATAACAGCTCACGTCACATTTCGGTACCCTATTGCAAATGGTTGCACTGCTAATTCGATAAGGATGATTTGGTTAGTCAAATTTTACACAGAAGTTTTGACGCGGCCCGTTATTTCATGAGTTGATTGTGATATCTGTGTTTTTTGGGGATCACTTTTTTCTTAGATCAAAACAGGAAAGCTTACCTGTGTCCAAAGGTTGGAACAAATCGTCCAATGCGTTTTGTAGATCTGCTCTTGCCTGTCCTGTCCCAGCACACGTCAGATGAACAACAACTAGAGCAAAATAAAATGCCACAAAATGTACACATTTATGTATTGAAAAGGTTCCAGGCAGAAAGGGCAAAAGATACGCTAAGGCTTTCATGGCCACTTCTAGTTAGCAACGTTCCAAAAAAACATTTGAAGAATCTTGTAAAAAGTTTGTTTGTGAGCTGATGGTTGATGCATTTAGTGGTGACAATCACGCAAAAAACTCACACATGTCTCTGGGGCAGGCACATGATCCGGCTCCCAGCTCCAATACTCTGATCGGGTTATTCTGGCCGGGTGGAGGCGGTACAGTCAACAGCGTTATCTAGGAAAAGAGAAAACAAAAACAAGATGAAGCAAGACTAGCAAAGTTTGTCCCCAAATCCACAAAATTCTATTCAATTGATTTAGAATGGCTATTCAATGGAAGTCTTTTCATGCACCTGTTTACACAATAGGTTGGATTTATCGATTCATTGGCATTAAGAGGTAATCCTATATGATAGCACTGCCCGACTCACAATTAACAGTAATTCATTGAGTCAGTGAGACACAAAGAGAACATCAGAGCAACCCTCTTTGACATCAGCACACAAAAAAATCTTGCGTCAACCACTGTCTAGGCTTCCAGCACTTGATTAAACAAAACAAAACAAAATCCCTGACTTTTCCCTGACTGGAAAAATTGAAACTTATTTTCAAGGTTTTTCCCTGATTTCCAGATTAACTGGGAACCTTGGTTGTATACTCATTGCTTGCAAGCTACAGTAGCTAACGAATTTCAAGACATCATGGTTGCCATCACCAAATGAAGATAAATACCTCTTCATTATCTGTTGGCTTCAGAGACCTGTCTGTTAGAAGGATACCTCGGGAAACAGTCCTGAGAAATGAACAGGAAAAAAAAAGTTGGAATTTTGGGTAAAGGCCAAAATATTTACTATCACAAATCTCAGATTCTGAAGCAAGTACATGTGTTTAGGTTGCACTGACAATGATATCATGAAAACATTTCAAACTTACCCTAGTGTTGTGTTTGCAGCTTGTTGGGGAGCATAGCTAGTCTCCATTATCAAGTTGCTGGTGACATGAAAATAAATGAAAATCTGTTTTTCTACAATTTTGAGGATTAACCTCAAATTCTCCAGTAATTATTCATATGATCCATCACGATTCATGATTCATCACGAAATGATCTATTTTGAATGACAAATATCCATATCTATTACCTCTAAAATTTTATCTGTAAAATGCTATAAAATCATTTCATAGACTCACTTGCATGTTAATCTTCTCCCATCGGAGTCTATGCCACCTTTGCACCTACAAAGAATCCAGAACATCGTAAAAATATATTTTATTGAATTTGCCAATTATTTCTGGATTAGCAAATTCCCTATTTCAGAAAAAAAAATGAAAGAGACAAAGGATACAAAAAGGCAAACAACACATTACACATACGTTTCACGCTAGAATGACAGTAATTGAATTAATCCATTTTACAATGTTTCTCAAATTTATGCCCTCTTCAAAACAGTCTAACAAACATCACTTGAGGAAAAAAATTAAAACAACTTGGGCAAACCATTTCAATAAAACCAGATCAGAACTTACACATTGTTTTCGTCCACAATGAGTTTCTTTAGGTTGGTTCTTAACATGTAGATACCCGCAAACACTGCACACATTCTGCAGTAAAAAAGTGAGAAAATAGAACCAGTCTCTTGAGATATTCACAAAAAGAACGAAACAAACCTTGCAACGGAAGAAATGACAAAGGAACAATTAATCCCATACCAAATGAGTTGCGATATGTTTTTCAATAATTTTTTTAAATGTACCTGCAAAAACACTGGGGTAGTTCCCCGCTGCCGTACAGCGTCCATAGAAAGGCTGTGTTGCCATAGCGACCAAGGGAACGGAGGAAGAACTGCATTGATTTGAGAGCCTGAAAAGCAGCCATTAAAAAAGAGACAAAAGTTGACTAAAGGTTGTTGAAGCTTTGTCAGTTTTGTGTTTCCAGAAAATTCCAAAGTTGGGAGAAGTTTGGTGATAAACCATGTGAAGTGACTAAATCCACAAGAGAAGTTTTTCTGAGAAGAACTAGAGCAATTGCAATTCATTTTAATGAAAATTGAATAAGGAATATTCAATGTTCACTGGGTAAAAGTAACAGCAGAAGTACAAAACAAACTGGTACTTAATTATAAAAAAAAATAGTACCTCTTCTGTTGGAGTTGATGCGGTTACCATAGCGATGGAGTGCATCACAAAGTGCTGCAGAGTTGGTGTCAGCTTCCTGGCCTTCAGAAACTCCTCAAAGGGTCTGTCCCGGAACTCTGAATTTGAAAAAAGAAATGAAAACCTTGCCACATTTCTGCTCCCCAAGGACATTTCTGCTTGGCTACATACAAGGCACATGGAATGCATGCACCAAAGGAATGTATACACCAAATAAACGCATGTATGCATACTAGTTAACGCTCACTGCACTGCGCTATTTATTTGTCATAAAAATTGAAACAGTGTCATTTTGACAAGATGAGAATTCTGTTTAAAAAAACCCATATCAAAAGAGTTTACAAGAGCCTATCGTGTAAGACCTCACCTTCAAAATCCTCTAATCTATCCTGGTAGTGAAGGCAGAACTCAATCAGACGCATCAGCATTCGTTTCTCCAACACGCTCACGTACTTGCTGCTGAACACATCCGATCTGGAACAGGGAACCTACATCGCAAAGAAAGAAAAGGGAAAAAAAAAACTATTACAAACAGAAAATTGATCAACATGCATGATAGCTCGGTGAAAATTATCAAACTAATGTAAATAATCATGATGCATATGCATATTAACAAAGTAAAAGAAAATTTATATATTATACCAGGGGTGAGCCCCAAATTCACTCCAAGAAATTCAAAGATACCAGCAAAGCCCCTGATAAGTGAATCCACCTCCAATCCCGTCTATCTTGAAGTCATTTGGAACCTTCATCTTCTAGTATTCTCCATGCGGATGGTATGTGAAATTGACATATCAAACTAACATGGCATGTCAAACCAACATGTCATCTCAAACTGACATTAGCATGTCAAACTGACATGTCAACTGACATTGGCATGTCAAAATGACTTGTCAGACTGACACAGCTATGTCAAACTGACATTATCACGTCAAAATGACATTATCATGTCAGACTGATATTACCATGTCAAAATTACTGGCAAAAACTGCACCGAGAGGACCCTCACCAAGAGTCCCGACTTACCAGCTCCAGTTTGTCCTTGATGACTGAGAGTATCCTGGTGACTGCCTTGAATTCTGCATATCTGCTGATTCTTGAAGACACCAACAGCTCAACCATGGAACCACGGCAAAACATCAGCTGCAAGCAAAAATTTAGAATCATCATTATGATCCCAAGTCTAGGTTCTATCATTATCAATTTTGATCATCCCAACGAAACACTTCCACTGTCATAAAGCAGTAGATCTTTATTGTTTGAGAGTAATTCAAAGCTTGAGTTATCCTTATATTTTGGCATGAGCTGTATTGCAAGGAATCGGAGAGTGTCAGACATGTGTACCTTCGGTGCCAAGTCAATGTTGAACTTTCTCCACAACTGGTTGATTTCTGCCCATGTCCAGTCTCGTCTCCCACGTTCAGTTCTACTTGAACTTTGACCTTCATCGACTGACCCCTGATTGCTTGCCCCTTGACCTTCAACTTCTTGTGCTGGAGACTCCTGCTCCTGTTCCCCAACAGATTCAGGTTCTTGCTCCGAGTGTTCATCTGAAGCTGGTTCACATGAGCTTTGGCCTTCTCCCTGTGAACTCTGACCCTCGACCTGTTCAGATGACGTCAGCCCGCCAGCTGCTCCATCAACAGTTTCTGATTGGTCGACTGAGATGGAGGGGGATGCGGCACTCGAGGACTCTCGGTCCTCATTGGCCGAGTTCTGGAGTGCCTCATTTTCTGGGTCTTCGCCCTCTGCTTGTGATTGGTCAGCTGCTGCATGGGTGTCATCAGTTGAGGCATCGGCCTCTGGTGCATTCTGGGAAGGGTCCTGCCCCTCTGCACCCAGTCGCTGTGGCTCTTCGTCTGAGGTTGACAAGCGAGGGGGTACTATCACCCTCTCAAGGCTGGGTAGCTCAACACCTTGTCTGGGTAACAAAATAAAGCACACAAATGTCATATAAAGATAAAAATTCACGACAGCAAATGGGACAAGTCCCTCTTTCATGAGCTTGTGAGGTCCTAAAAAGAACCAAGGTGAAACTCAACGTTGCGGACAGTATGCTCTGCCCGTCATCGGGAAATGAAAATAGGCAAACTTCTACAAGAGCTCTAATAAAAAAAATAACTAAATAACAAGACAGGCAAATCCATATTTTTTATAGTATTTTGAGGGTTTGTATATATTTGTTTCACAGGTTTTCAGTTGCCACACTATAAAACATTGCAATGATTTGGAAAGATGCAATAAATCAGAGACCTGATTATTTCTTAAATAGTACTTTGAAGGAAACAGGGGCATATCCCTATCAGAATAACAGAGGGGGCAGGCCACATTCCTGCAACTGCCCCTCTTCCCCTAATGTTTAGAGCATATCTCTTACCTCACATAGCATGTGACCTCTATCCCCCTCACTGTATTTGGATTTTGTGGAAGTTCTAGGAAGTGTTCTCCCTCCCCCAGCTGACTGGTGTCTGGGGCAACCTGATCCTCTGGCTCCTGTTCATCTAAAGAACTTGACCGTACTACATCAGATTCCTACAAAGGAGGGTATTTTATTTACGAATCACAGGTTTTGCAGGGCAATACAAAGGAAGGAAAAAGGATATTGCATTTTTTCCCCACAAATTTAGGGTTTTAGTAAGCAGGAACTAGTCATTGGCATGATTTTTTAGTTCATCAAAAAGTAGTAATAATTTATATACTGTAGGTAAATTTCTGCAAACTAAGGATAATTGGTTTTTAAGAAACATGGTAATTCAGAAACATTACAGGCATATTCATCACTGCTACAATGAAGCATTGAGCAGGAAAGGGGGATCGGATATAGCCTACAAACCTCTGGGTTTTTGTGTTTGTCTATCCATTCTTGAAGGCTCCGTAGATGGAAAGTTGCCCAGTCACCGCTATAGTAGTCATTTCTATAAGGAAGTAAAGGGGGGGGGGGCGGAATCTGAATTAGCTTTCAACAAAAACAGGAAATGCAATGATTATCAATTGCCAAATTTATTTATGCAAGTGATTTGCAGCTGTCTGTTTGTTTGTCTGTTTGTTTGTTTGTTTTTGGTTTGTTTTTCAGCTGAAGAGGCCTAAATGCGGCTTAATGAACACGACATTAATGTGTTTTGTATTGTTATATTTTCAATGCAATTCCATTTTTAATGTACCTATCGAGATGAAGAACCCTGTGTCCAATTCTTGCTAGTGCAGCTGCCAATATGCTCTCCTGTAATCCTGTCAAACAAAAGAAAGACCCCAATTTTTACAATTATCAGTTGTGGAATGAAATTCAGTTCATGACAGGGTAAAGAAAGCCAATACGTTAACAAAAGCAAAGCATAAAAAAAAAACAATTGTTCATTTATTCTACTTTTTTTTTTACCCGATTTTCAATTTTAAACCATGATCATCCTCTTGTCTAACGCGACATTGGTCACCAAACTTTCATAAGTAAACTAGCAAAGGTATGGGTTCATCCACTCGATCAAAAGCTCCAAAGAGGAAACAAAAGCAAGAAAGGTACCTCCCCAATTTTGCAATAATGTCATTGCCAAAAAAAACAAATGGATCAGTCTATAAATGTGATACCGCCCTCATTTGTTGAACTGAATGTTCTATACTCTATAAAGTATAATGCAAGACAGCCGCAGCTCGACACGGCGCAGGCATCCAATCATCATTTAAGAAATCATGAGCTTCTTTTCCTTCGAAACTGTAACACAAACATCAGTTACAATTCATCGACAAGCTGATGATTTTTTTACCTGTTCCGAGCACGATTTCGTCATATTCTGTCGGGAGATCGGGAGCAGCCATTTCCGGAAGAAAACAAAATCACGCCCACAATGGAAGTCTGGTTACCTATTGACCACTCGTCCTATAAAGTGTTTTACACATTGCTGGAACCTGACTGCTACTTCCCTTGATCACAAAAAATCAACAGAGGGCGGTATCACAGTAATGTGGAGCTGGTTCTCGGCACGAGTTTGAACAAAAAGCCAGCAGCACCGGGTACCAGCGAAGTGCTAGTGCCTAAAAGAATGATTGCACGTGAAGTTTCACTAAACAAGGGGGTCGCTGTTTCTTATACTTGATAATTTCAACTTAAAAGTATATTTGTATGTTGAGAAGTACTTTCAAACAGAGTAGGACATCTATCTCGACGAATTACTGTCTTTTTACATGAGAATAATCTTGAGAAGGAGAGAATTGCAACCTAAATATCACCAGTCTAGCAGCCGGTAGTGTTCTCGGTCTGTTTCCGAACTATACGCGGGAAAGGAAGCAGTTTCAAATGGCAGGCGCCGACGGTGACGGGGTTGGTTCGGTGGCCGACCTGCTGGCTAAGACAGCAGTCAAACAGATCAATGAAGTCTCGTTTGCTGATAAAGGCCTGAAACTCAACAAAGCGGAAGATGGTAGGATCTGTCAACGATTGTCAAATTGTCACCATTAGTCTAATCGGATATTTAGTTTACCACAAAAAATACCAGTTCTCAGCAAAACTCTGTTGCCTGGTTCCAGAAAATCATGTTTTCATTTTTACCATTATTTCCTCGGTCACGGGTCTACATGCGTAGCTGTTGTTAATGTATCTGTGTTTTGAGGGGTAAACACCAACTTTTTAATTTAATCTGCATAAACATGATAGGCTAAATAAACCAAAAGTAGCATAGGCCTACATCGTTAAAGGCCTAACATTCAGATCTCTTTTTCCTTTCTTATTTTATTTTAACCCAGCCAAAGATATAGTGCAAGCTATTGAAGACTGCAAGGACATGCAGTCTCTGAGGCTCGAAGGAAACACAGTGGGAAGTGAGGCAGCTGAAGCGATAGCAAAGGCTCTTGCAAAAAGACCAGAGTTTGAGGTAATTCCACTTTATATTCTGTTTCACATCTCTGCTTAAGCCCTGGAACCACATGATTTTTCTTCTCCAGAACATCAGGAAAAATGTTACTTGGCCTCCGGCATTTGTAACGAAACAAAAACTCGGCACCAGATGTTTTAAATTACGCATTACAAATGTCTATTTGTTGTATTTTTGTAATTTACCCTTTTTCTGATTTTTGTTCTTATCCTGCATTTTGGGACTCATTCAGTCATTTGAGGTCGCTGACACTGTGAATTATATCATGAAACAATATGCAAAATTCAAATGATTTTTTTTCTTCCAGCGAGCAAAATGGGCCGACATGTTCACAGGAAGACTTCGCTCTGAAATCCCTCCTGCTTTGGTGAGTTTTTTTCGAAGAGTTTTGTTTCCCGCCTTTAGGAAAAATATACAAAGTTGCAGACCCGAAAGAAAACTATAAACTACCATAAATTTTTACGTTGTTAAAGGAAGTTTAAAATCTTAGCTTGAGCATGTTTTGATCTATCGCAGAGGCATCTAGGAGCAGCAATCATGACGGCAGGTGCCCACCTGGTAGAGATTGATCTCAGCGACAACGCCTTCGGCCCAGATGGTGTCAAAGCTGTCCAGGAGTTGATTGAGAGCAAGGCCTGTTATACCATCAAGGAGCTTAGGTTTAACAACAACGGGCTGGGAATTGGTGGGAAGGTATGGGCATACTTGGTGGTTACCAGCCAGGGCTGAAGGGAGTCTGGTTTTGAAATAGCTTTCAAGAATGCTGCAGGTCCTAGGGTATCACGGTTTGATGTTGATCTCAGCAGCATTGCCTTCTGCTAAGAAATGCATTGCTGCACAGTTAAGGAAGGGTAAATGCAGACTTGTATTTTAACCCTAAACCTGCCAGACGCAGCCCAGTGCATCACGTGTAAAAGTCTGGAGCACTTTGATGCATTCAGCTATCAACACCAGTGCATGAACGGCCACTTCTGAGACTCTGAGAGCCTGTCCCATTGAACAATACCACAGTTGTATCCTGCTGCATTCGGTGATTACAGACTTTTGAGGCATTTTGAGACTTTTGACCTGATGGATCTTGCTTTACTGGGCAGGCATGTCATTTTGACAAGTGTTACACGTTGCTGCATTAAGCAGGGTTTCTGGCCAAAATATCCCGGAGGGTTAGGTTCATGGGGTGTATGTTGACAACAAAGCTATTTTAGGGTTGAAAAGACCTTTGTGTTTTTCATTTTTCATGTGTATCTATGCTGAGAGATTCACTAAACTTTTTTTTTTTAATTAAGAACCAAGCCTAAAATATCTGGATAAAAAGTGAGATGACTAAATGTCATCCTTGGTGTTGGTTTGAAAAGCCTTGATAGCAACAGTGTTCTTATCCTTAAGATGGTTTCAAATTTCCCAAGACTGAAGTCAGTTTCTGGACCGATTAAATTGGTGTTTTAAGATATGCCCATACATCATAAATGAATGATAGAATTATTTTTTTTAATTTTCTTGCAGCTGCTAGCGGAGTCTCTCATCAGATGTCACAAGAGCAGCTTGGCTACAGGCAGGCCGTTAGCCCTGACGGTGTTTGTAGCAGGACGCAACAGACTGGAGAACCCCGGGGCCATAGCGCTGGGCGAAGCCTTCAAGGTTGGTGCTAGAGACTTTCTGGAGATTGCAAGAAGTCGTGTCATTACAAATCTTGGATAAATTATGGACAGAATTATCTGCAGCTGGCCCATTGCATTGGGGAGTAATTACAGGATTCTGTGAACGACTTCCCCGATGTCTGCCCACGTAGATGATGTAAGCACTGTTGACAAAACTGATAACCGCATTGCAAGAAGGTTTATGGTGGTTGTTGAATCCTACCTAGCCTATTCGGGATAAACTTTATGATCCTTAACCCATTTCAGACCACTTCCAAAGGACTCTGCTGAATTCAAAAATATCTAACAGCTATCCAAGTATGATGGCTGCTGTCTGTGTTACATCCCCGTCTCATTTCTTGTACTCTTGAGAGAAGATTTCAAGGTGGAACACTGTTTGAGCTTTATGAGATACTAACGGTTTTTTTTAGCACTTAAGACCCTGCTGAATCCAAGAATATCCAACAGATATTGAAGCCAATGGGAGCCGCTAAAATGACATATTTTCACTTCTCAGTTAAACACAATCCAGCAAACATATTGGTTTCTGTTGGATCTTCTTGTATTTGGGAGGTTCAGTGTTTTTTGTATCTTGTACTGAATTGGATCTATTTCTATTGACCTTAAGTGCTGATTTGTTTTCCCCTTCCAGACGATAGGAACGTTGGAGGAGGTGGCAATGCCACAGAATGGTATCAATCATGACGGAATAACGGCCCTGGCAGAATCCTTCACACACAATAAGAGCCTCAGGGTAAGTGCCGTGGCATCGTGGTTAAGGGCATTGGATTCGTGGTCTGCGGGTAAAGCTGCAGGTTGTGGGTTCGAGTCCAGCCTGGGGTCATGGTGGCTGTGCCCTTGGGCAAGGCACTTTGTCACGCATTGCTTCTCTCCACCCAGGAGTAAAGTGATACCTGTGAGGGCAGAGATAGTTATTGTGATTGAATTAGCTTCCTTGTATCCTAACAGACAGCATCGAGCTGTATACTCCCCAGGGAGCTGAGATGGTGTTTGGAATGTTTCATGTGCCCAATGAGCAGGGGTAATAATGATGTAGCGCCTTGAGCACCAGTCCTGATGGATACGTACGCTTTATAAATACCCACTATTATTAGTAGTACTTGGTCTCCATGTTGTGTTGTATCAGTGCTGTTTCAAATCTTCAGAAGAAAGTGTCTGTACTCAATTTGTAGGAATAAGAAAATACCGTGCCAAGACTTAACCTTAAAAATTGGCATCTTCCAGTTTCTAGATGTGTTGGGGGTTTCACTGTTTCCTCATGGTAATCGCTTTGCTGAAATTTCAAGTGGATTTTTTTTTTATGGGGGGGGGGATAACTCTACGTCGTATTTTGCATGCACTTATTCAAACCAGAAAACAAGCTTTATGAAAGATTTGCTTTGAATACCAAAGACACAGTACAGGGGTAGGTGAGATGGCTTCCTTTTTATTTTCCTTTCACGTGGACTTGTTTTATTTCCTTCACAGAGTATCAATCTTCAAGACAACACGTTTACAGAAAAAGGTGCAATTTCGATGGCAAAGGTAAATCTCAATACTGGCATAAAAATTTCATTATATCCCAAGCAGAGCATTATGTTTGAAATCATAAAAGCTTTTGCAATTGGTTTGTTCCATGACTTCTGTGAGACAGCAGACAACCATTGGCTTTCTATATTATAACTTGTTGTTGTCTTTCAATGAATTATAATGTGGTGCTTAAAAACTCCTTAATACAAATGTGTAAATTTTGCAATAATTTTTGTAAGCATCTTATTTTTGCACTTTTTACAGGCTCTCAAGGATCTGGAGAAATTGGAGTCTGTCAACTTCGGTGACTGTCTGGTCAGGACAGGCGGTGCTGCGGCCCTCGCTGATACCTTCCATCACAGTCTGCCAAACTTACGGGTAAGACATTCACATTTATTTATTTATTTAAAATTTACTTCTGGTACTGAAACCAAGGATTCCCCCAATAGCGCCCCAGGCACTGTAAGCTCGCAAGCCTGAAGAAGCCTGTAGAGAGAAGACAATGAGAAGAAATTACAGTTTTAGAGGTGGGAGGAAAAATCCAGAAGAATATTCAAAGGAAAACCCACAGAATCAGACAGGGACGGAAAACCCGATCCACATATTGGCCCAGGTGGGATTTGAACCCGGGTAACAGCAGTGGATGGCAAGGAAAGTACCCCTACGCCAACCTGACATTCTGTGTTGACAATGCAAAAAGAAAATTCAAACATATCCATTATTTGGAGCATTCTATTTAAATAAGTTTGCCTGATTTGTTTCCTTTTCCTCCCGCGGTTAGGAGCTGAATCTCAGCTATGGAGAGATTCATAGGGAATCCGGCATCAAACTTGCTGAGAGTATGGAAAAGAAGGACGCGCTTAGAGTGCTGGAGCTAAATGGTAAGACTAGAGTTCCATCTGTATTTGACAAAAGTAGGATTGTATAAGGACTCTGACATGCTATCATTACTATTAACTTCCCCCTCAAGTGTTAAAATTTATAACGTGATTGTTTTTTTCTGTTGTATGCATTACCATTCGCTTAAAAAGACAAAGTATTATTTATCGAGCATGGAAACGAACTTCCATGCTCGATATTTTTTATACATTCAACTAAAAATGGGTCTCAAAGCAGATTTGCATCAGTGTACCGCTACATACATGCATCATGACAAGACATAAAGAATTTAGAGAAAATCACATTGTAACCATAATTTTCATCGATGTCAATTTTCTTTGCCCCATGCAGGAAACAGTTTTGGCGAGGAAGGGGTGGAGTTGGTCCGCGCTGTCCTAGAAGCCAACGGTCATTTGGACGCCCTCGGCTCACTCAGGTAATTTACCCACAAGGCTACCGTTACCTTCCCAGTTTAGCCACTATTGTGAAGAACCCATTGTTCACATAGTAAAATTAACAGCTAATCAGAATATAATTAATAGCTTAAATGAATACATTTTACTTTGATAGAGCTTTCATTGCAAGTTTCGGTTAGGTCATTCAGAGCTAATCTTTGTCTGCAGGAGCATGGTGTCAGATAGAACAGATTGAGCTGTGTTGTATGCAATAACTTGATGAAATGGTTTTGAGTGGTCATATTGACTTTCTATGTCAGTGGTGGTTGAAAGTCTCCAGATGACATTTGAGACCACTCCATCGAGACGTGTGGTATCACTGGTTGCAGTAACCACATGCATAATATTGTACACTGTACTACAAGAAGCCAGGACCTCCATTTTTTTGTGATGATGTTTTCATCCTTCGACCATTGGCCCACCAGCAGTACTTTATTGTACTTAAAATAAAAGATGACAGTAAAGTTTTTGTGTGGTATCCACAGTGATGATGAGGGCGACGACAGCGATGACGATTACGAAGACGTCGATGACGACGAAGACACTGAAGATGCAGAGGAAGAGCAAGAGGAGGGTGACGATGGGGAGGAAAGCCAGGACCCTGAGCTTCAGGTCCAAGGAGTAAAAGCTGTCATCTCACCAAGACCGGAGGACAACAAGGAAAATGTGGTAAGTCTTAAAATGTTTTTGCATTTTTGAAGAAGCCAAGTTGTAGGTCTCTCTAAGTGATGGCCATCTCTGTAGGAGAACTGCAAATGTGTATTTTACCCAATCAAGCACGCATTGCGCAATGTTGAAAATGTTCCAAACACGCGCTTGTTGCTCAAAATGTGTTCGAAATACGACGCAGCCGATACGCGTTATGCAAGTTGACGCTCAAGATGCTGATGCACATGGATGGTCCGTAGGAAATGACGTCATTTGAGAGAGACCTATTTGTGATATTGGGGTAGCGTTTAAGCTTGAGGGTTGGACACGCTGATGATCACATCCTCTCTGTTAAAACCCAACAAAAATACCAAACAGAAAAAGGTTTATGAATATTTACAGCAGGGCATATAACAACCACCTTAAAGATCTTAAAATCTTAAACATTTGAAGAGAGCACTCTATTAAAACATCTGTGAGATCCTCCTTTAACATCTCACAAACCTGCATTCAAGTCTTACGAAACCAACACTTTTTTCTTGATTTTTTTTCTCTCTGATCTGTCCAGAATCCTGGTGACACGGAGGATCTCACAAAGTGTTTAGGAAAGCTTAATCTTGAAGACCACTAGATGACAAACTGGAAACAAATTTTTGACTAGGCCAGAGTTAACAACTTGCAAAAAAACGAAAAAGCAGATTTTGATGACAGATATACAGGAATTAAATTCCTTTTATATATTGTAAATGGCATTAACCAAGCATACAGAGACAAATTTATATCTAATACCAGTTTTTTCAGCAGCCTATTTCTGTACATTGATGTTGGAGTCAAAGTCTAGTTTTCAGAGTTGCAATCGTCCATGTTCAGGTTAAGTATCTATTTGAATACGAAAATTTCATATTGCTGAACAAACCTCAAAAGAAATATCCACGGTACTGTTATGAAAATCTGCACACACGGAAGACTTGTAATAGCCATTTTATTTAACTTTTTATTGAACCTTTTCATTTAAGGAGTTTTAGAACAACTTGGAACTCGGTTTCCTGAAAGAATTGTCAGTTCAAAATGTATACGTTACAAAAGATAGTTTACGGTTGACAATCAATTATAGCATAAAACAAATCCCCCCAGTGCCTTTTCTAAAAAAAAAATATATGTACATACAGTATCAAAGTATGCCATGGTTGAATAATTAGATTAATTAGGTGATTTTTTTAATTACATATATTGTAGTATTGGCTTTTAAAAGGTAGTTTTATTTTGTTTTACTTTGTGTGATCTAATTTTTTTTTAATATATTGAAAAACACTGCATATCATGTGAGTTTTGTACATTTGGACAGTGTGAATATCATCTGCAATATGAACTTTATTTTCTTTTTAATACTCCAAAAATGCAAATTAAACTTTCTCAGGTGAAAACATGTGTTAAAAAAATTATTATTGGTTAAAGAAAAAAGATTTGTGTTTTTCCTTCCAGTAATTACCTATAAGTTTCTGTTTGAAGGAATTCAAAATATTCCAATGCTGTTTAGAATTCTGATCTCAATAATATCAGTTATATATTCCAATTTTTTTTTTATAAAATGTTTGAAACGTGACTTCAGTGTTTAAAAACAAATACCTAAAAATCCTATCTCGATCTTCCTCAAAATCTTAATATCTATACAAAAATCACTTCAACTTTTTCCTTTGTGTGATAGTCTTTTTATATATTTTTTTTTTTAGTGTGTGATAGTCTTTTTATTTTACAAGTATTTGTGTGAAACTTGAAAAAAAAATTGAAATAAATATTTGTACAAAGTGGTATTTAAATTCATATGTCTCTGTTACAAAATCTTTGTGAATTAATCTGAAGTGGGAAATTGTGCTGATTAGTTTTTAAATCACTTCACCTTCCTGCCAGTTAGACAAACATCAGGCAGTACGGAATGTTATGGTAGGGGTACACACATACCTCATGAATATGGGTATGAATGAGAGAGACTGTTACCCAATAGCATCAAGACATTAGTTATATAAATATTCATGAACTGTTATGGGCTCCTGTGATTGGTTGTTTACAAGGTACCAGCTACTGCTGCTGAGTTCCTGTGTTTTCCAAGTGCAAACAAGCTGTTGGGGATCGGTGAGGACAGAGGGAACCTCATCCTGAAGGAACTTGGGGTGAGATATTGTGTAGTTATTTCACTATCAAATATTTTTTTAATAGGAATATGAAAATAAATTGGAAGTACAAAAGAAAAAAAGTACAAAAATGTTTTCCTGTAGAATACATTGGTCAGATTATGTAAAATAATTTCAATTGAGATTGCAGTACATTTCTGCACAACAATCTTGTACATATTTATTTGAAACATTTCAGCAGGAGCTGCTACATGCCACTTGGTGGTCTGTTTGTCTGTTCCGAAAATTGACCAAAAGTATGGTGTTCCATATGTGCCATCGGTGTCGTATTTTTTCGGCATCGTATATTTCAGCTCTGGCAGGGATCATTTTGATTGATTTCATGCCAGACTTTTTGCAACACGGCAAGAGCTTATTGTGCACTCGCACTTGTTTTATTTCAGAATGACACTGGAGATTTGGAGAAGGTCGTCCAGGTTTTTGTCAAAGTGGCTTCTGTAATGGACAGCAAACGGGAGGCAGTGATGCAAGCTGTCTATGAGGCAACAGGTGTGACATGATTCCCTTTTTAAGTTGTAAACATTCAAATCTTAAAGAGTAGTTCTTGACCATCCTCTCATCAGAAACTTGCACATTATTTTCATGGTTTTGAAGCTCTGTATGCCATTTAATATTAGGTTTTGCCCTTCACCGACATACGTGTACTTTCATAAATACAATGTACGCTGTGTTATCCTGGGGCTGGGGGGGGGGGGGGAAATTCACACGTCAACTCAGCTGGGACTCGAACCCATGACCTCCTGCTTACTAGTGCAGACGTCTTACCACTCAACCACCAAACCTGCAGGGATCGGTTGGCTGTGCACTGGCACCCTTAATTAGTTGGCGCAAAAAAATATCAAGAAAAGAGCCTATTGTCAACATGCAAGTGACCATGTAATTCTTAGAAGACCAAAATCATCAGGTAACTTTGTTAATATCTTGATTATTCATTTTTTTACCACACAGACGTCATCCTTCGACACCTGTTCAACGGTGACAAGTGTAATCCTGAAGCAGTTGCTAACAGCATTCTGGTGCATTTGGGACTCATCAAGGTCAATATTAATACCAATTCCTTGAAAGAGATTTGAGTTGCATAAACAAACCTGCAAGAAACATTCTTATTTTCTCGACTGGTTCCCACCCTTGTTATGAGTTTAAAGTTAAGACCACTTTGGTGACATCAAAATATGTTTGCATCCACTCCCAGATATACATTTTGATAAAAATTGCACGGGAACCAGTGAAATGTTTGTAACCTTGGCAACAAGAGTGTACCACTGCCCCAGAACATGAATAGATTGAGACTGTATGCCTAGAAGCTGGACGTGATTTCATTTTTCATGTTGCGTGGCCATAAATCCTTGCTGGACCAACGAGCAGCAGCCTGTGATTGGCTGAGAAAAAGTTGATGGCCAAGAAACATGAATAAAATGGGATCACCACTTAAAAAGTTACATATGAGTCTAATTATCCATGTTGCCTGGCCTTGGCCTTGGCTTTTTTTTGCAGAGTGAAGACAAGATCAAGCCCATGCGTGACCCCAGTGGATTGCTGCTGGCCATGGCACATGTGGTCAAACAGGACTATTTCCCCAGCCACTTGGCACAGTTTTTCCTCATTTTTCTCACCAAGTAAGTCCTTTACCTTTTGTATTATATAACTCTGAGCAACCCATATCTGAAATAGAATTGATAAAAATGGATAGATGATGCACGAACAAAAATTGCTTGCGTAAGAAGACGCCTTTATTTGCGCAATTGACCAACACAAATGTTCCAATTTAAACCATGTACATTTGTACAGTGAATCCACTTCTCTGTGTAGTTTGGTGAAATGCACCAGTACACGGCATGTTTAACTGGTGTCCAGGATTATACACTGTAACTCACTGCATTGTGGGCTGGATACCAATTTGAATTTCTAAATTGCTTGCACATTTATTTAGAGATAAAGTAGAATAGAATTTTGTGTTTTTAAAAGATGCATTCTCCATGATATTGTTGAGTCTCACCTCGAAAAATGGATATTTTTTTTCGTTTTTCAAACAACAAAAACCATTAATTCGGGCGATTCACAATGCAGTGCGCCACCAAGAGTTTGCCATGGAGAGTTCATTTTTCAAGTTTACGGTCGACAAAACATGGCCCATTGAACGAGTGTCAGTAGACAACTTGAGCTAATTTGTTATAGATTGGGGCAAAGCGTTCTGCCGCCTTACAAAAAACTCCATATTGATAAAAAGAAAAGAAAAGGGCAAACATTATATTCAAATCATACTTTTACAAACTTTCTGGCCGGAAAAACTAACAATTTCAAATGTCCCGCGCTGCGAATTTGTCAACCATCTCCCACAATGCGCTGGGAAAGTGAACTCTCCGTGGCAAACTCTTGGTGGCGCACTGCATTGTGAATCGCCCGAATTGACTTTAGATATTTAATTATTTCTTCTCAAATTTGATTTATTGACTGCCAATTTCTCACAGGGAGCATTCAGATGTACGCAAAAACGAAATTCTTTTTCAGATGCCAAAAATCAGAACAACATAGTTTTTTGTTAAAACAAAACATACAAATTGAAATTTGTTGAGGAGAAAGAAATCCAGTGTTTGAAGAGCAAAGGGTATGATCTTTAATTTTAACTTCTTTTTTTTTTCAATACATGACCATAGTTACCAGTAACTTTCGTTTTTAATTCTTTTTTTTTTTTCAGGGGTCACCCAGTGATTGACCTGTGCATACAACCCAAGCATCAATTCCTTCAAGCACTCTTCACAATCTGAATACTCAAAATGCCCGACGGAGCGTTTTAAACAACACTAGGATAATCTTGTAAGCCATCCATTTCTGTGGATTCAGAAATCAGGCAATTTGACTTCCCAAAAATTTCTTGTAGCATGTGTGATACAGCATGTGTGTGCGCATATGCGATCGAGATGCAGCACGCGACCGAGATGCAGCACGCGACCAAAGTAAAATTTCAGACTGGCTTCAATGAGATTTCATGTGGGCCGGAGCCAGCTGTCAGGGATTCATGGCGCGCGCGCATTGTTCTACATGTTCTATTCGTTGTTCTATGCGCGGACACGGCATATCACACGTGTAGACAATCAGTTCCGTGCATTTTGTACACAAGCTCCAGTGAGTCGTTTATCCTTGGGTAGAGGATCCGTGATTGAACTGAACTCTGCACCGAGAATGTTAATGTCTGGTCCTACGTGATGTTCAGAAAGTCATGGGTATAAATCTAGAGTAGCCCTTGCCTTGGCTGCTCTCTCCGACTCTCAAAAATCCATTGGATGTATGTTATATATGAACCAGCATGCACCGAAAGTAGCCTCTGCTGAAAACTTCCGAAACTAAACGGAGCCGTATAATCATCCAGAATTTCCACAGGACGAGTAAAAAAAAAACAGAAACCCAAATGTCGGGACTATTGTTATAGTGAAGTTCTGCATGTAGCACTTTCAAAATCTAGGATATGAAAGCCCAATGCATCAGCTTTCTTTAAGTACAGTAATCATTCAAATCACTCATGTACTTTTCAAGTTACGAAATTTAAACACAATTACCGTTTTAAAGTGATCCACGGATCACAAAAAAGGTTGTTTTTTTTTCAGCAAAATGAAAACATTTCACACACATCCCTATGTGAATAAAATAAAATGATGGTCCCGACATTTGGGTTTCGTTGTTTTGTTACTCGCCCTGTACATCGCAAACAATTGTGAACTATTTACCTGTAAAGATTGAGGTCTTAACTTACATTTTAAGTAGTAACTGGCCTTCACCTTTGCACAAGTATGAGAACCACATGATTTAAGTCAATGAATTTGATTGCGTGCATAAAATACACATACATTGTAAAAGGAGGACGCCTTGAAGTGCTGCACCGGCATATATTAAGCGTCTTATATTATTGGTGTAGATAAACACGTAATAAAAAAAACCTCCAAAAGCTACACAATATGAAAGTTAAAAACTTTTACCTATAATTGTAGAATGATTCTCTGGTTGTTGTTTTTTTTATTTGGTTCGTAGGACCTGACTTATTTTCTTTTTGAACTGTTGGGAACTTGAAAGATTTGTGTGTTAAAATCTGGCCGAAAACGTATACATTTCATTTCAATTCATTTGCATTTATGTGTGTGTTTTATTCTTTTAATTTGATGCGAGTGTTACGTTCCTTGTTTTTATATATTTTGTGAGAAATACATTTTTGGCCAAAATAAAGTTTATCATTTTCGAATTGCTTTGTTCTATGTACTCCAAAATCAGAAAATAAGGTCTATTTTGTTTTGTTTTGCCCCCAAAAAAATCAGATTTTTTTTTATTTCTAAGAAATTGATTATACATTGCTTTGAACCCCCTATTTAAATAGAATTGTATGTGTGTATATTCCTATTGTAAATAAATTAGTATATTAGATTAAAATTAACAGCTTTGTCATTGTTTTTCTGACCTTTTGTTCAGGGCCAAAACCAGATAAATATTTTGAATATAGCAGTGGTTGCGTCACTCCAACATTGCAATTTTCCAAATGTGTGTAAACTCTAGAGTTGTTTGGGAAATTCAGTTTTTATCCAAAAAAAGAGCAACAGTTTGTAAAAACAAAAGTTTTAAGTTTGATGTCAAAAAAAGTTCCTTGTATGTCCAAAACAAATTTGCATCTACTACATAAAGAAAATCCTTGTACATGGTGGGAAATAACAAAAATGTCCCTTATACCAGGAAAGAAGCACCTAATTTCTAAACAAATATGTTCTCAGACTTGGAACCAACATGATAAGATCGAGTTGGGCATCGTCTTTAATTTGTTAATCAGAAGGTGGGGAATAAATGAAAACTGGCGTTTGAGGGCGCACTTTAAATTTTACATTTCGCGCTGAATTTATGAAACAACTAAGAGCGCATGTGCGCGGACTTAACCCTTTTTTTCATTTGGCCTTCAATCGAATAGTTATATATTACTTCCAAAAACTCCATGTGTAAGAAGAGCGTGTTGGCCTAGTGGTAGGCACTCTGACGCTCATGCCGAAGGTCGTGGGTTCGATCCCGGCAGGGGACTTTTACTGCTTTTACGTTATTTTATACTTAAAAAAAAAATAGCAAAATTTCCATTTTATTTTATTTTATTTTATCTAGTTGGGTAGACGAGCGCCACGAAACTCGGACGCGCCGCAGGTTTCGCTGCTGCCGGCAACCATGCCCTGCTCGGGATTCGAACCCGGGGCGCCCGCTTCCGCGCCGCACTCTCTACCGGGTGCGCTGACTGGGTCCCCCAGTTAAAAACGCTCGTTTTATATATTTATCTTTCGGACTTGGCTAAAGGGAATGAAAATAAAATGTACCCCACCACTGGACTCGAACTCGGATCGCGGGAGCTGAAGTTCCGCGCCTTGCCGCTAGGCCACTGGTACTTCTGAGTTTGATTTTCGAAATTAAAAACTATAAACCGACGGACAACACTTAGTACTAAAAACTAAAATTTGAGCTCTGGTGAATATTGGAAACTGCGATGTTGAAGCTCATAGCCTCCCCCCCCCAAAAAAAAAAAATTAACCGCGTGGCTGCTAACTAGTATAGTGGTTTGTACTTGGTGGTGGAAATTAAATCGGCAAACTTTAGGGCGGGGATTCAGACTGGAAACGACTGTGATCTTTAACACTAATAACACAATCTCTGGAAATGTAAGGCTTTTTTTAATGGTAAGGGGTTAACCTTACGTTTTATTTACAAAATGGCATGATAAGACCTTTCTCCAAACTCACATATGCTTTTTGATTTAAAAAATGAATAATGCTTTTCGATTAAAAAAACATTTTTATACTCTTACAGCCATTATAGGGACTATGAAAATGTTGCTAAATAAAAGCAAAAGTATTGGTGAAATTACACTTTCGGCTTGGTATAATTTTTTTTAATGTAAATTATAAAAAGGCATACGCCTGTGCGGGTGTCTGTAGGGACTTATATGGATTTACTGTACAATTTTCAAGCAAATCACGTCTCCAAAATTCTCAGTCGACATTTCTTTGGAATATAACAAGGGGTTAACCTTACATTTTCATTAAAATCTACCAAAGAACATTAGGCTACATACAATAATAGAAATACAGGATAAACAAACGAACATAATTACGGAGATTCGGGCAGTTTAAAATGCATGTACATGTAATTCATTACAGTAAGGTCACATAGTGGTTGTATTGGGAAAACTCCTTTGACACCATCGATGTTACAAATGTTACACATTTTTTGTACAAATAATGATTCAGGATTTCATTATAGTTTTGTATTTTTTTTTTAACATTCATGTAATATTTCCACGGTCTTAGCATTTGTATCTATTATTCAGGTAGGCTTCTTTGGGACAACACGACCAAACCACAAACCAACTTTCATCACAGTATCGCAAGCATTCCTGAACAATCTTCAATTTGTTTGCATTAACTTAACGTTCTATTTGAATTGTTTTATAACTTAAATAATACATTTTTATTTGTTTATTCTTTGTTCAAGAGGTGGATTTTTCTGCGATTTATAAATTCCTCTATTATTATTATTACTGTTCCAGCTTTTCCAGCTTTTTTTTCACATTAACATTTCCGGATCAATTTCAAGTCTTTAACTGACAATTTTATATACCAGTAAGTGCTCGTCATTAACAAATTTTGACAAAACAATGTAATAAATGTACATTTACAAGGAACACTGCTTCAAGGTACAAGCCCACATTCCCTGCCATCAAGCTCACAAAATATTTCTCACTTTTTACTTCAGGAAGTAATTCTTTTGTAGCTTAATTCCAGTTTGGTCTACAATAGTTTGCAACATCAATGAAAAACATATTTTATAAAATACCTTTTCATTTTTTGGTTCTATTTCACTACACCAAAATCGACAAATTGTTTATCAGCATTGTTTTGTCTTTCTGCAGTTTGAATACATTCTAGTCTTGATTTTAGCTACAAGGGGTTCACACAAAGCTGCAAAACTTTCTCAAGAAATTCTTCAGATCTATGAAGTTTTTTGCTGTTTTTCATCATAAATCATTCTCGTCAAAGAAGTCTTCCTTCTTACGACTAGACTCCATTCCAGTCCTGTTCTTGGCCATCAGCGGTTTTATGGCTGCTTGCAGGCTGTTGTAGAGTCTAGGGAACAGTAGTTCTTGAGATGCCAAGAGCTGTTTGGTACGATGTCGCTCCTAAAAATTAGTTTTAAAAAAATGACATTTAATTAATTGCTTTGGCTTTATACTAAAGATAAGGATATCAAATATCGATATTGTGCCAAATATGGACAAAGAGGGGACACAAAGAATTCGAAATGAAGGTTTTGGTATGAATGGAATCAATGTGCATACATTTAGAATAACCTGGGTGTTTTTTTGAAGAAGTTAAGATAAGTTTTGTGTGCAGTAAAAACACTTATTCGAAATATTCCTTTACAAACTTTCCATGATAAAAAATAGTTACATGTACATAAATATCTCGGTGACACGGTCAACTAAGACATCAGGACTGTTAGGTTTTTCTAAATTACAGAATTTGTCCACACGGTCAGCTTGTGACCTTTATAAACAATTGTTTACCTTTGGAGCCTCAAAGCATGCTGGACAATTTTCTGGTATCACTGGTAGTTTGGCCTGCAAAAAGAAGGGGGAAAAGTCACAGAATGCCCACTGACACTGTAAACGATCCTCTTATGATAGACTAGAGGCACAAATTATATAAACTTAAAAATGTCACTTTCCCTACCAAACTATGAATATGAATTTAGCCATTTTAACCTAATGAGCATTACACCCTTTGGATAGACTCAGACAAGTCTAAAGACCAAATTTGATAAGTGTACAATATTTCTCAAGTTATCATGCTTATAAGTGGACTCTAACTGTGACGAAATTCAACTGGTGCGTATTGAACAAATATTAAGACTTAAAAGTCCCCTTTTGGATTTGTTTTTGTTTACCTTTTCAGCGAAGTCCCTCAGATCTTTTTCCCTAGTGTAGACCAAGGGTCTGATGACTCGCAGGTCACCCTCCCTGAAAATTGAAAAAGAAAACTGAACAGTTATTGAGTCCCTTAAATGAATGAAACGAGAGCTACATACATGCATTCAATAATAGATCATTTCTGAAGGACAGACTAATAAAAATGCATTAGATTAAATGAAATGATTTCGCTCTCTTACATTACTGAATATAGAAACCAGCAATACATGATTAAAACATTGTAATCTTGCTTTGCATCATCCGAAATTATTCAATAAAATTTACATCACAATGGTTACGACTAAAAGAAGAAATACAATTACAAGAATGTACATGTAAGCCACTCAGCTGGATCAACTTACTTGACAGTGTAGTTGGCTTTCATGGTTCGCAACAACCCATTATGAAAGACAGACATCAGAAAACTGAAAACGGAAAAGAATTCACATAAAATGATCTGCCTTGCTTAAAACAAAAGAAGGCCAAGAGAAATTAACACAACAGTTGCTCTGTGTCTTTAGCCAGGGGAAGATGAGATTCAAAATTTCCAAAAAGTTGGGAAAGTTCGATTTTGGAATATTTATGGCTTTCAAATCATATTTGAGATAACTGACTACTACTTTTCTGACCCAAAAGGATCATGCATTTGTGTTTGGAAGCTGGCTCATGCATTTGTGTTTGGAAACTGGCTCACCTTTCTGCTAGGTCGTCCAGATGTTGTCCCATGGCCAGTACGTTGTACCCTTCCCTCCGCGCGCAGGCATAGAGGCGACCACGTTTCATCCGCGAGCAGAAACTGCAGATGGAGTCGCAACCACCTTCAAGCCCTGCTGCTGCGTCAATGATACCTGAAGCCAACAAATGAAAATAAGTAAATTAATTATCGGGAATTTAAATATGATCCGCTTTTCTTCAATGGTCCATCTCCCCGGCTTCATTTCAGAGCCAAAACTATGAATAGAGTTACAGATGGCTGTGAAGGTAGAAACCAGGATAACCCAATGGTGGATAAATATCATTGCCCATTTTCAGGGAAAAAATTTACACCTTCGACTGAATATCCTAACCTGGGGGGCCGGACCCTCCTAGCGAGCAACTGGCCCCCCCCCCCCCCCCCATTTGCAAAAAAAACATAAATGTATAATATTTCTCATGTCGTGCCCCCCCCCCCCTCCCGAGCTGGCACTGTTGGCCCCTCCCCCCCCCCCCCCCCCCCCCCCTGCTGGTGATGGTGCTGATCCTTACTCATATTTTCTCAACTTATTCTTTTTCTCCACTCACTCTAAACCATCTACATTTTTTTTTGAAAAGATGAAATTCAGAACTAGATCCTTACACTGTTCCTCATAGAAGTACGGCACTCCCAGGCTCGCCAAGTATGGAATGAGAGGTCGGGGGTCATAGGCCGAAGTTTGAGGGTCGACTGTCACGCCGCCAAGTTCAAAGCTGATGCCCTGAAGACACACATCAAGTTGGCAGAAATAATGTAATGTACCCAAAACACATCAGTTTTAGTTTCTAAAAATGCAATTATCACATAAGAAGTGAGCAATATAATGTCAGTATTCTTTAAAAAAAAATAATTAATTAGTCGGGTAGAATTCATACCAATCTTACTACGGTGACTATGTCTATTGCACAAAACTCCAAGTTACTTTCTATATATTTGGATTTAGCTGTGTTACCATTATTCTTTTATGCCTTCAAAATTGGACATGCAATGAGAAAAAGTCATAATTTAGGCTTTTAGATCAGAAAGGAAACTGAAGCAAAACACTTTTGAGAATCTAGTAGGCCATCAGCTGAAACTCAAAAACCGGCTGTAAAATGAGTTTCGTTCCAGCAACACTGGGTCTACTTTTTTAATGCACATATGTGGGGTTCAGTACATCACAAACACTATGTCAAAAGTTCTCCAGCAAATATGCTGCAGTTTTTTTTTTACACTTCATCAAAGTTTGCCAATGTTATGTACATGTACATGTATGTACATGTATGCTAAAAACCCACATTTTCCGGTTTGAGGCCTTGCGTTGGCACTTCCAATTTCAAAACTACGCACTTACAGCACTATAGCTTGTCACATCCTACACTCTAGAAACTCCTGGGTCAGACTCAGTCTGCTCAGTCCTTTTCCGGGTCAAAAATTGACCCCTTTTGGAGTCATAAATGACCCCTTTGGAGTAAAAAAAAGACATGTTTCTCGGTCATTTTGACTGAAATGTGTATTTTTTTTACCCAGAAAAGGACTGAGCAAATTTGGATTCAGATTCTGGGTCAATCTGACCCAGGAGATTTTAGAGTTAAAAAAAAATGTTTTATGTACATTGGCAATTGGGTCACACATGACCTTTTGTTTTCTCATCTGGTAGACATCACCACAGTCCCTCTTCCAAAAAATATTTCACTGTAATTTAACTTATTTGGCAGCATACAACAATGCAATTATTTTGAAGGTTTATAATGCAGTGGTGGAACCAGCTCATCATTAATGAAAGTGAGGGGGTGCCCAAAATGGAGGTGTCTTTACAGTAAATAAATACCGGTACATGAAACCAGCAAAAGAAACAGGAAAGCAGACAAGACATGTCCCTTTAAACAAAGCAAACTAACGCATATTAAAAAAAAAAAAATGGGTGCTATGCCCCCAAACCCTCTGGATCTGCTGTGGTGAACCAGGTACGTCACCTAAAGAACCTTCTACTTGTAAGAAAGACCACATTTTTTGGAATGAAACAGGCTTTAAATACAATTATAAATCAAAGGACCATCAGATAGAAGTCAGAGTCTGGTTTAATAATTTCAAAAATCAACCATTGTACATTTATTTGCTATCTAATCAAAACAGCCATCTTGGTTAGGAGAAAGCCTTAAGATCAGTCTTTTGTCAAAGAAAATTTCAGCTTTTCATTTATTGATACATTGATTAGCAGGGCAGGCCCAAGAAGAGGTTCAAGGACTGCATCAAATCCAACCTCCGGATGTGCGACATACATCCTAAGGACCTTGAGTCCCACGCCAGTAATAGACCACTTTGGCGATCGCTTGTGCACAAGGCCAGCTCCAGGTTCGAGGAGGCCCGTCGACAACATCTGATTGCAGCGAGGGAAAAACGCCACCAGCGAGACAACCGGCCGACAACAACGACAACGACTGACTTCCAATGCCCCCATTGCTCCAGACTCTGTCAATCCAACTTCGGATTGCGGAGCCATCTTCGAGTTCATCGAGTTGCCAAACTATGACGTCTTCTTCGGATCCGAAGGACCACCACTAGACATTGATTAGCACCGAAAAATGTTTGCATGTATATCAATAAAAAAAAAACAACACCATAACTCATGCTATTTTGTATGCTTACACATTAAAGAGAGTGATTTGGCTTGTCATATGTGGCTAGTCTCACTGTTAAAATTCACAGAATTTGCCTTTCTACTGGAACTAAATTTTAATAATTGAAAAGAATTAAAATGAATAAAACCAACACTAATGAACAGAAGGATACAATTATGTAGTTTTGAAATCTAGAGTTACTCATTATTTTCATTATAATGTCAAATGCTAACTAGTCGTGCTGATACAACTTCAAGTAAATGTTATCACTACATCAAAGTTCTCATCAAATCTTGTGCAGTAACGGCATAACAACAGGATGGAGCGTATGTCTTGCTTTCTAAGCCACAGTTTCAGTTTAGAATCCTCCTCTGTGAAGTCCCCAGAGATTCAACCACACCTCCAGCAGATAAAGTAGCGGTGTAGATGATGTCACATTTATCAAGGAAAGAGACCTTCGGATATTCTCTTCTAAGCCGATATGTCAACTTATCAGTTCTGTAAAAAAAATAAATAGTAAAATATAGACAGGTTTAGTATCTGATGATCAAAAACAATGATTACTGTGGATGTGCTTTAGAAGAAAGAAAACAACTTGTTCAATCTAGAGTTAAATTACTAGAAAGATCACGTGCCCGATCTTTTTGCCTTCCACTGTAAATATGTAAACATTGTTAGCTATTGAGAACCAACCTTTTCAGCTTCCAAAGCAATATCAAGAAGTTTTCTTTTTGAATATTCTATTAAAGTTTATTTCTGTTTGCACTCTGAATAACAATCAAAACATCTTACCGATACATGTATAAAGATCCAAGGCCAGTTCCTTCGGCTTCTAAATCATTTCATGATTCCAACAGTTCAGCAAGCTGGGACATTCTCATGAAACTAAGTTGTTGATTGGGGTTGTACAGTCAGTCGCAGAACATCTCCCTTTTCCTGACGTTCATCCTTTAGGCCTATATATATAGAATCAAATAGTAAATTCCATAAAAAGCTATTTTGCTATTTTATACAAAGGGAAAGACTACCCTCACACCTCCATAAAAGTATCCTTCAACAATGGAGAAAGAGACTGCACAACATTTTATTATGGGATTTTGTGCAGTTCCCGTTGTTCTTTGGCATCTTAACGTTAGACATTTATTTTCAGTGCCAGAGGTACTCGGTTTGAATCATGGAACTAAAAAAAAACACCCTTTTTTACTGGGTTTTTCAAATAAGATCTATTTGTCATTGAAGACATTTTTCTTCATTGACTTAAGAGAATTTTTCTAAAAGGAAAGTAAAGTCCAAGAACCATTCGGTAAACAAGTGACGTACCCAGCAGTCCAATGCCGTAGAGAAAGAAGAGGTGTTTTTTTATAGCCAGGAATCCGTTATCATTTTGAATGGTATCTTTTGCAAAAAAATAAAATTGTCCTATGCATTTTCAGTTGACGCCATCCAAATCGATGCGGTTCTGTGCATTCACGGTGCATCTTGGTGACCACCAGCTTTGTTTTCGCATTGCGTTTTTATCGTTGTGTCACCCCAGTTTCCCTCAAAGAAATTAAAACCTAACCTTACCCTTAATTCAAGACAATTAAACCCAAACATGGATTTTTTGGTTCTTTTTTGGGGGCACATAAATACACAATCGACTTCATTATAATGACATGTAGGCCTACCTTTCAACGGAAGTTCTGCTTGTTGTACTGTTGCAGCTTGTCCTTGAATTGAGGTTTTCATCGAAATCAAAATCCTGGTTGAGTTTGTGTGCAGCATGACACAGTTATGTATATAGGCAATTAAAAGAAACTTGAACTTTGCCCGGAGCTTTTTCGGTGAAGAAATCTGGGTCTCAGCTGAAGTGTCTGGTTTGCGTTTTCTTGCAGCACCGAGACGTTTACTATCTATAAAAACCGCCACGGGTGAGATCGGCCGGCCGGACTGCCTTGTTTACATGCGCCGGTAGTGCATGATGTAGTAGCAGTACTGTACAGTACGATACAGTCATAGCAGATCCACTGCTCACACATCGTGGGTATATTCGGCGATGCCATTGTGAAATTCAGCCACTCTTTGGCACAGGAAATGAACTTAGTATCACCGGACATCAGATCCTTCGCATTTCCCCCCTCAAACGTGACAGATTATGAGTGCAAACACTTCTTTTTTGCACCGGTCGATGTTTACGTTGACGCACTTTTGCCAATGGACACCGCCATGTTTGTTAAATGTCATGACCTGCGACCTCATATCTGGTGTCTAATTGGACAGTTCACATCACGTGGTACGATGCGTCATACGCGGCGGAGTTTTTTAACGTAGGCGCGGTACGTTTTTGAACATTCACAATGGACAAATAGTTCGCTTTTTCGAGTCAAATTATCAAAAAACTGCTGGACGAAATGTGGAGAACTTTTGTAGTATCATTCTTTGGTAGTGTATTTCGGTACAACTGTTAAAAAAATTTAGACCCGCGATTGCTGGAGCGAAACGAACGAATTTTCCAGTCCAGCTGACGGCCTATAGTAGTTTTTTTCATGAATTGAGCATTACTAAACTTTTTTGAATATTTAAGCAGGCTTGGGTCTATTCTTGCAAAGAAGGCGCAAGCTGAATATTTACCTTGCTTTTGGCGTAGAACTGGTACTGTTTAAGTGTGTGCAGCAGAGATAGGCTATCCTTGCCTCCTGACAGGCCAACCAGCACACGATCACCGTCCTGTATCATTGTATACTCTTCCAAAGCCTAGAAAAAACATAAAATGAAACAATAACTGTGAGAGACTAAGAGTTAACAACATACAGGCCAACTCATATACAGGGCGAGTCCAAAAAAACACGAAACCCAAATGTCGGGACCATTGTTTCAGTGAAGTTCCGCATGTAGCACTTTCAAACTCTTAGATATGAAAGCCCAATTCATAAGCTCTCTTTTTGTACAAGAATCATTGAAATCACTTCTGTATTTTTCATGTTATGGAGTTTTTAACACAACCACCGTTTTAAAGCTCTGTCCACAGATCGCAAAAAAGGTGTGTGTCCTTTCAGCAAAACGAAAACAATTCACACACATCCTTATGTGATTCATTTTCGATTTGCTGAAAGAACACTTAACTTTTTTTGTGATCCGTGGACAGAACCTTAAAACGGTGGTTGCGATTAAAACTCCGTAAGTACATAAGTGATTTCAATGATTCTTGTACTAAAAGAAAGCTTATGAATTGGGCTTTCATATCCTAGATTTTTAAAGTGCTACATGTAGAACTTCAATAAAACAACTGTCCCGACATTTGGGTTTCTTTTTTTTTACTCACCCTGTATTGGCTGGTGCATCCGTAATGACTTATTTAGTGCCATGTGTTTAATTTTCAACCAAGCATTGGAAGAGTGACAAGAAATCATGATTTTAGAGTGAGGCCAAGAACTTTCTTCTTTTCTAGCAGTGAGAGCCGCCAATCAAGAAATAATAGAAATTGTATTATTTTCTGGAAAATAGCCTAATATACATTTCTATCAAATTGATACCACATTAGGCTCTAAACAGCCAATGCTTGGAAACATTGTCTAATTTTGTATTTCTCCTAAATCTCCCATCCTCTGATTCCTAGCTTACGAATGATGAATTAACCATATTTTGTTAATTGACTTTTATTACCTGAACAGTGGGCTTGAAGATGCTCTTGGGCGGTTTTTGAAAACCAGACACACTTTTCTTCTTATTCTTGGATGGCCTGGGCTTTTTATCATCAGAAGTCTGCATCACCAAACATGAGCCAGTTTGAGAATTCATATCAGACATCGGCAAAGGTGGTCCTTGAGTTACTTGGCACATTTGCTCAGAGGACTCCAACTTATTCGTGGTCTGCTCCTCCGGACAATCATCAGTCGGTTGTTCATCACTTTTCTCTGGCACTGCTTCAGAGATATTCAAATTGGAACTTGATCCAAAATGGCTGACTTCTCTCTCGGGTGCTGACAAACTGTGTGGATCATTTGAGAGAGCTGGTGTCAGTTCTAGAGCAGAAATGCTTGTTTCCTGGGTGGAACTATCATCTGGAATTTGTTCCGCACGCACTCCAGGTTGGGTATCACTGCATTTATCCAGAACCGAAATTTTGCTAAAATTCTCTGATGGAAAACTTGACAGACCGCTCTCTGTTTCAACAGTCCCAGACTTAGGTTTTTCCCCACATACATGTACATTTTCCAATTGACTTCTTGATATAGTACATTTTCCATCAACACTAGCAGTTCTGTTGCAACCAGTTCCAACATTATTGCATACAGTTAAAGCGCTGCTGGAAGACACCAAACTCAGTTCATCATCTTTTACACTTGGTACAAAATCTGTTTTGTCATTTGAATTCTTTTCAGCATCTACACCATCTCCTCCTTCATGTTCCGTTCGACCTTTGACCCCACCCATTGGATTCAACCAACAAGAAGAGTCATTACATTCAGCTTGTTCACTTTCTTCTTTATTGCAGACTTCCTCCACAAATCCATCTTCAACAGTATTCCTGAACAGCTCAGCACAACTCAGCTCGTGATGAGCGTCACATGACTTCTTCGCCATAGCAACACAATGTAAACTTCTATCACTCCCTGCAGTATGACGGGTCAAATAGTCTGGCGCCACTTCTGTTCTCTGATTTCCTTCCATACTGCCAATCAAGAAGCTATCGCTACCCTGATGTTGTTTCACGTTTACATTCATATCCAAAGTGTCACTAGGGTCCATCTTGTGTTTGTACTTGATTGGTTCAAAGGGCAGCTTTCTGGGCAAAGCATGCTGGGAAGGCTGTGACTTGTTACCGAGGAGACCTAGTGCCTCGCTAGGGAGCATGAACCAGCGCAAGTCGGCCGCCTTGCTGTCAAATAGCAGAGTCTGGTCTGGTAACTGCACTCGGATCTAAACAGATAATCGTTTTAATAGAATAAAATATTCACGACATTTAAAATTCGAATATAAAGGCTAAATACAATTCAACAATTCTAATGCAGGTCCTCTGGAAGCAAATGAAACAAAATTATTAAAATTTAACTGACCTGAGAATTTCCAACACTTTGTTTAAACTGTTTTTGGTGATAATATCCTCTTTTTATCAAATTTCAAGCCTCCAACTCCAATTCATTTGTCAAATAAATGGCCCACTTCACAATTTTAAGAAGGAAATTTGTATTAGTTTCTACCTTTTCTGCTCTCTTGAAAATGTCTTCTGCAAGTCTGAGGCAATGCTGAGGACAAAGAAATAAAAACAAACTCATATGCAAATTAAACGCATTGTAATATTCACCAGGACTTTCGAGAATTACCATTAAGAAAAGCAACAAACATGAAACCAAATTCCACCCAGTTGAACATGACCTTAACGATTATCAATCTGATCTGATGATTTACATGGGCCTTTTTAATTTAGGCCGATTCACACCACCTCCGTTTTATTTCACATCAGATGAACGTCGAATGAGCCAACATTTTGATGCCAATAACTTGTAACTTCGTTCCCTCCAAAACAATCTGGTATTTTTTCCATTACCTCGTAGTCCTCTGGTAGTCTGCCTATAGTCTTCAGTGCCGGTGGGTCCGGGTACGTCATCCTACCCTCGGAGTAGCTGATGGACCCAAGCCATCGCCGATCCTGAAATACCTGGTGGTTTCGCTGCTTCCATTCGCCAGTTTCTGGATTGAAAATGTACTGAAGGAATAACACAAAAGATTTATTCTGGGGTTGCGGTTGATAGTATTAAAATCTCAAGAATAAGTATTTGTCGTGTGTTGGTTGCAACAATGGGCCTTATTCACGAGTCGGCCATAATGAATTGAAAGTTGGGTAAAAATCTTAAATTTTGGCAATTAAAGCAAGTTAATGTATAATAAATTCCAGTCTGCTTCAATGAATAATTTAAAATTTGTAATTAAATTAAATTAAATCAAATTCCCTGATGTTTGAAGCCAGATTAATAAAAAAAAAATACAGTAAAAAAAGGCTGCATTGTGCCTGGGCCATCCCATTCAACAATTAATGAAATACATTCACGGAACTCGACAAAAATGACCAACTCGTGAATATGGCCCATATGACAAAGAATAGCAGAAGGCATTATACATGCAAGCTCTGTCCGCTTAAATATGGCTACGCCTAACATTAACACACATGAGAAATGGCTTAATCCGCTTTCATAGACACACAAGCCATAACTCAGTAACATTGACAAAGCTTTAATTAATGTCTGTCTCCACAAAGAAAATGAAAAGTTTGAAAGTATTTGTGAGGCAAAATGTAAGATTTTCCACAACAATTTGGAAAAAAGATCCCATTTCTGTATTCCGTAAGACAAATGAAGAAGCTTTATTCATATGCGAAATATACGCATAAATTATGTCCTACACGTAAGCATAATTAGTCACCTGTGGGAGTAGCTTCCAAGCATGCTGTGCGGTTAAGCTGACTGCCTTGAGTACAAAATCTATGCACTCATCATCCATGAAGTATGGAAGGTTAAGACGGGTAAAGCCAGGTCTGTAATGGAGAGAATTTATTTTTAAATAGGCAATAATTCATGAATTAAACATAATTTCAAACCTCACACCAAATTCTATTCAAATGCAAAAAAAAAATTGCCAAATGAAACCTTTCATTAAAAATTGGCATATTTGCCAGTTTTAGTAAGGAAATGGGAAACCTCGCTTCTGAAAAAGATAGAAGTGGTATTTTTTTTCAAACTATTCTTTCTTTTTGCAATTAAAATTCTGATTAATTGTTTTTATCATATTTCTTAGACATACCTTAGGATTTCCTTCTCTGAGTACTCCGTGTAACGTCGCAGATGAACCCTGTCTAGCCGACTGTTAGAAAAAGAAAGGCAATTTCAATTGAAGTTGAGCAAGATACTTTGGAGTTACAACAATTTTGGCTCTGTCTCCAAGCTTGCAGCTTGGGATGAGGAGATTTCAGGCCCATGCACAAATATCGCCAGATCAATTTGAAAGGGGGGAGGGCTTTGACAACTTGTAGCTGATACATTACTCCGTGCTGGAAGATCACAAAGACTATGGGTAACGAGGAGGGTACAGTGAAAATATTGAATAAAGAAGCAGATTTTGGCAAACAGGGACAAAAATGGCTTTCAAATCAGCGACATCGTGAATATTTGTTTACCAATTTGACAGTGTTCAAAAATCAATTCAAATTAAAAATATGATTTATAATCCAACAAGAATCACTAATTCAACAAGACTTAATTTCCTTTGTGTATTTTCAAAGACTAACAGCAACTTTGTCTGTGTCCTTACCTGTCTTCTAGAAGCACTGCTTCGATCTCCTTAGCTAACTTCTTATCAATCCCCAGGAGATCCTGCCAAAACAAAATAGCAACAAGTTTTTAAAATATTATTTTCACTGATCAAAAATTTAGAAAATGCTTTGCAAAGATATATCCAAACAAGTCTACCAGCCTAAATATCATTATATTTATGAATCTACAGGTTGGGGGATGGTGTAAATTTTTGTTTTTCATTATTTTCTCATACTTTACTGTATTCATCTAACAGGTTTTGTTTTTAATTTTTTTTTTTTAGCATTGTACCTGTGCATAAGGTCCGGCACACGCACAGCCACCCCTGGCCTGTATGCCGAAAACATCGTTCAGAACTGCACAGACGAAGTTGTGGTGGAGAAACTGTCGCGTGGTAGGGTGCCTGATCAAGAAGGAGAAGATGGGAAGGCGGGGTACTGCCGTGTTGCCCAGGAGAACCAGACTAGGGCAACTAAGCCATCTCCCAAGAGCTCTCCTGGGGGAAAAAAAGTAAATTTGTTTGTTGAGCCATAACTTTCACATTATCAGGTTGAGAATGGGCACAACACAAACAGAAAAGTGTTCTAGAGGTCGTTGGTTTAAAACATGCTCTGTCAATCTTTTTGTTCAACCTTGTTTTGGCTTGATTTTGATTTTAGTTAATAATTTGATGCTTTGTTTTGATTTGATTTAAGTGAACTCAGTCAAGGGGATGGGCTGGGGGTTGAGGGATTGGGGTGAGGGTGAAGAGGTGGGGGAAGGAGGCGGAAGGGGATCGAGGTAGGCCTCTGGGGAACAGGATCGGGGCTTGTGGAAGACTTACTTGTGTAATGGTCGAATTAGCAAACGGACCAGATAAAAAATAGTGTGCTAAAAGGTCATCCTTCGTGGGATCAATTTCCACCTGAGTTAGTCTGTGACATTTTCTGACAAGTTTGCAGTGTCTACATCAGGGAAGGCCCCACCCAATAGAACAAAATCACCATCACCGCAATGCATGGTATTATACCCTTCTATTTCTACCTGCAGAGTTCATGTTCCCTGGACATGATGCTGTCAGCCCCCATGACGGCTTTCAGCTGGAAGACCAAGCCGGCTCGGACAGCCCCAACGATGGACGGCGTGCCTCCTTCCTCCCTCATCTCAACCTGCTTCAAGTAACGATGGTCCTCGTGGCTGACCTAAACACAGACACCAGAGACAAAGACTTAGCAAGCCTAGTAAGTTAGTCGCAAGGTGTACACAATTCTATTCAATTGATTCGGAATGGCCATTCACAGAAGTCTTTTCATCCATCTGGTCTACACAATGGGACATAATGAGCCCACTCACTGATGTTAGGAGGAGTAATACTAAACACAATAGAAACCCTGAAGACAAGTCTAGTTAACCTGGTCCCAGAATGCACAAAATTCTATTCAATTGGTTCTGAATGGCTATTCACTAGGCATTTTTTCCCATGTCTACGGTCTATGCAAGGGACTAGACTTAGCCCATTCATTGGCATCAGTGGCAGTGGCGTATCCAGAGTGGGGGTTGGGGGGGGGGGCCCCAGGGGGGCAAGGTACCCCCTGGTAGATTTTTTGAAAAATATGTTTTCAGTAACTATTTCCATAAATGGTTATAGAGTTCTGACATGACCCAAAAAAAAGGAAACCAAGCTCCAAACGTGTTACCGTGAAAATTTTCGCTTATTTTCCAGTATGCATAATAATGGTCCGTTTAGAAGAGCGCCCCATTTTGAAGATGGGTACCAACCCCCCTCCCCACCCTCTACCGCTTTTTGATTTTATGGAGGCCATGTGACCGGAGCAAAAAAAATGTCTTAATTTTACTTCGCACTTGCCTTTGCACTACAAATGAACTCTCTTCCAATCTGACCAGTGATGTCTAGAACCCTACTCAGTTATGGAGCACATATGTCTAGAACTTCCACTAGTCTCTGATATCAAGACTATTTTTACTTAAATGAGAACATGTTTTGTGTAGTGCCAGTTTTATTAAAGCACTTTTTTTCTTGTGAAATCTATTTCACAGGCCTTGAAATTCAGGTTTGTTAGAGGTGGAAACTCACAAACTACATGTACTTGAACTATGTAACTATACCAGTAACTTCCTCCAGTTTCGATATCCCAAAGATTGGATTGTATCGTACATGACCTATCAGTTTGCAATGTTTGAACAAAAATGGGTATGAAGTCCACTTTTTATATAATAGTGAAGAACCCGTTCAACAAATTGAAACCAAGTCTTGATAGGCTAGCATGCATGGTGTAGCAACACAGCATTTTATTGACTATCAAGTGAAGTACTGTAAGTTGAGAGTGACATGTAACTTTTGATGATTTTTTTTGGGGGGGGACTGTATTTAGCAAAATGTAGCTATTACTCTAATCCTAATCTTTACACATACAAAATTGTAGTTGAATTTCAACAAAATTGTTTGGTGTTACAGTTGTACTTTTGCTGATAACAAAATCGAACTTCTCTCTTTTTTTTCCAGAAGAAAATATGGCAGGTTTGAGTGAAATCAGCGCTGCAGGCGTGTTGGAGAAGATCAGCCAGGGACACCTTGAGTGTCCGATTTGCTTCTCGCGATTCACAAACCCCAAGATTCTGAAGTGCTTGCACAGCTTCTGCCAAACATGCCTGGAAAAAATGATGAAGGTCATCCTCAGCGGCGCGAGATTGCCTGCCCAGTCTGCAGGCAGCAAACCGCCCTATCAGAAGCAGGAATTGGGGGGATTGCCAACAATTTTTCTCTTATGGCACTGGTGGATGAGGTCACCCAACAGGAAGAGCTGGTAAAAAGTCTCAAGTCAAAGATCATTTGCGAGGAATGCGAGGAACAAGAAGAGACAATTGTAAGGTGTTTGGAGTGTAGAGTGTTTCTCTGTGAGACATGTCACCGCGCCCACAGTCGAAACAAGAAAACCAAGAATCATGAGACGGCATCAATCGACGACCTGCGCTCAGGAAAGGCACCGTACCAAAGTCGCCTTTGGAATGAGGTTCCTAAATGCCCGAAGCATCCTTCCCAGGATCTCTACTTCTTCTGTGAGACTTGTAAGACCCTGATATGTGCTGTATGCACTGCTCTTGATCATAAAGCACCAGGCCATAAATTCATTGATATTTCTGCTGCAGTTGCCTCATGCAAAGAGAAAGTGACTGAACACATCACAGAGGTCAAACAACGTTTGAATAAGTTTGAGAAAGCAAAAGATAAAGCTCTACAGTCAAAGTTAGACCACAACAATATGAAAGTAGAGATGAATGAACACATTACTAAAAACGCAGATGAAGCAGTGGCCAAAATTCGTGAGAATGAACGCCTGCTGAAAGAAAAAGTCACTGAGGTTTTCCAACAAAAGGACCCATGCTTTGACCAAGTTCTGGAATGCTGTGAAGAAAATAATGAAAAGGCAGAAAAAACATTAGAGAGAGTGAAAACTGTGATGGAGCAGGTCAATAATTTTGATCTTTTAAAACTGCAACCGAACCTTCTTCAAAATTTACAAGACGCAGCAGATCAGAAGACACCAGCACCAGTGCAAGGCTTGACGTTTAAAGATTTACTACAGTGTGAAGACATCAGTCAGACAGATCTTGGTAGGAATTCACTTTTTCATTACAGTTTGTACACAATCTTTCAAACATCATAGAATACGACAAAGGATGTTAATGCCCAAACATTTGTGGGACTCATGTACGACTCAAAAACTAAGCTAGACTCAGTAACTGGGGCGCTAGAACTTTTTTTTTTTTTTTTCCAACATCCCTTGCTGTATTAATGGCTTGAGTTAAATCAAGGGTCTGGGAGAGGGAGAAATGAATTTAAAGTGTTCTCTCTTTATCAGAGATGCTGTGGAAAGGGAGTCCAAACCTAATAAACATGATAAATAACCTGCCTGGACCAGAGCTGGCCAAGATGATGACGATTGGTACCAGGGTGGTTAGAGGAAAGGATTGGAAAAGGAAAAATCAGGTAGGCAAAAATCACAATTTTTTACAGTTGCCACTTCACACTTTGAAAGCAGTTGTCTTGTTTTGTCTCGTCTCATCAGGTACTGCACCAACAATGTCACATCGCTATCAACATACAGTTGAAACAGTCAACAAACGTCATAATCACTTTCATGAGAAGAGCAAATTGTAACACACCTCCTTGACTTGAATCTTTTTGCATACAATGGAGAATTAGCTCATTCAACCACTGCAATTATCAACCATCTGGTAAATTAATAAGATATCATTTTTTTTTTAAAAGGTAATGACTGTTTTTGTTTTATCTTTCAGGATGGTAATCCACCTGGTGTTGGAACAATTTCTGCAGATCAAGCAGGCATAGCAAAGGGTTGGGTACGAGTACAATGGGACACAGGGGATGCATACAAGTATCGCATGGGTGCAGAGTGGTTCAAGTATGACCTCTATATTGCTAATTAGACAAAATACAACTGTTCATTTAATCACAAACACACACATTGTTTTCTCAAAACATCAGGCCAAACATGGCTGCAAAAGAGATCCTTATTGAGATATCATATGCTTTAGGGCAATTCCACGGTTACTCATGATACATTTTTGATGTACTTTTGAGTTTCCTTGGGCTGTAATTACCTTAATGAAAAGGTTTAATAACTGTTATTCCCATGGTAGATAGAGTAGACCTAGACCTACCTAAGCACCAAAGATGACATCCAGAAAAATGTGTTATGTATGATAAACAAGACGCACAAAATTGATTACTCACGTTACGAAAATGTAACTTGAGTAACCGTGGAATTGCCCTTTACAACAATGTTTACACAAACTGTACATATGCAGGCAAAAAGAGTAATGTGCACAATTCCATGTTTGAATTGTTAGTTTCCCTTTGTGAATATAGCCCAACAATGGAAAATGATTCATCCATATAAAAAAAAAACTTGAAAAGATGCTCATCATGTCACAAGGAAAGTCACATGAAATCACATGGAGAAAATCCTGATCATGTTATCATCCTGATCATTTTATTTACTGTTACAGTGATTGTGAATATATAAACAAATAGCACCAGTAACTTGCCAATTTTTTTCTCCTTGCTTTAAAAAAGATTATTTTCTGTTATCATTCCTCTTATGTTTTGTAGAAATATATTGTTATTTGTGTACATGTACATCTAGTTGATGCCAACACCGACCCCAATGAAAACATTGGCTTTATTAGTGGGTAATCCGAAACGAAATCAGCTGGCTTTTTTTTTAAACCTTTGTATGTTTTTGTGTAATGTATGTTGTTACAATAATAATAATAGTTTAAACTTAATATTGCACAGTTTCCATTGTTAAAACAAGTGTTTTCTATAAAAAAAAAATACAATAAAAATGATATATAAAAGTTAGACAAAGAGTGATTTTAGAAACTGAATGAAATTGAAGTGAAAATGCATCAATCTACTTATTACACTTGGCATGTACAATAATAATCCTCCTTAAAGGGAATATACATCATTTGCTTTTGCTGTAATTTTCAGAAATGGATGGAATTGGGGGGTTGGAAATATATAGCAAATATAGTTACACTGACTTTTTTGACGTTTTGGGTTCAAAAATGCTATAAAAACCAAGAAATTCAATCATTTTCCTGTAGTCTGGTTCCCTGACTCCATTGAAGAAGAAACAGAGCAGTTTACATACATTGGGGAATTGTAAGGTCAGGGAACCAGTCTAGCTGGCTTGTACCCGTTCATAGTGTGTAATCGATTGCAAACAAGTGCGATGGTCAATTGGGGCCAGTATTTGAAAAAAAACCAGTTTTTTCCAACGCTGATCGGCCGACCAGCGTTGGAAATTATACAAAAATACAACTTTTCTTGAAAATGACAGTATACCAGGTGCCATGATTTTACAGGATGCTTTACACTGTCATTCACTAACAGTCCAGCAAGGTATTTCAAAATGATTTGGTAGTTTTATTTTTTGATGTTTGCAAATGTTGTATTTTCCCTTTAACAATAACTGTACAATGTATAATACACGTTGCTGTTAGTCTCATCCAACAAATAATAACTTCTTTTGATCCTTTCATAAGTCTTAGGTGGTGTACAGGATTAGGGGTCTTGATGTGGATTACCATGTGAGATTATCCCAGACTCGTGTAGGCCTAATAATTTTGTATACATATCCAGTGATTGTTTTGTAATAAGTGGCACCGAGGTATGGATTAGCTTTCTCCTTCGCCCATATAAGGCAGAAGTAGTGCTAGTAATTTTACTACAGAGACATAAGTGTTCTCTGACCTTTCAAATCAGCTGGATATTTGAGGCATTATACAGGAAAAATAATTATAGTCATGGCATTTATAATGTTATCTGAAATATAAACAAATATGAAATTCTGTAATATGCAAGCAGACATCCCTGGTAGTTGTAGACTACATGTATGTAAGAAGTTCCGAGTCATAGAAAAAATAAATCAACAGTATTTAAAATCCTAAATATTGTGTCCTTGTGAGGTTCTTTTTTGAAAAAAGGTTTTAATTTCGCGAAGCAGTGGTAAATATGCAACAAAACTAACTACCCTAGAATTGGTCCAACTGTTTGTTAATCCCTCCTGCGCGCCCCCACACCAGTGTTGTAGGTCTCGAGACCGGTCTCGGTCTCGAGACCGGTCTCGAGACCACTTTTTGCTGGTCTCGGTCTCGGTCTCGGTCTCGGAAGCTGTGGTCTCGGTCTTGGTCTCGGTCTCGGTCCCCTTTGGTCTCGATATTTTGGCTGGTCTCGGGTCGAGACCGGCAATATGTAGCTTTTACAGCTCAATCGATTACTTTGTGTTCACTTCGTTCAGTACCGTTGATAGTTAAAACATTCGCTAGCCCGTAGATCAAGCTTGTTATATATCGTGGTCGGTTTGGACTCGACTGCACGTTGGAAAGTCCCCAAAGTACATGTAAAGCTGCAGCAGTACCAGTCACTGAACGATTTGGAACAAGTTCGGCATTTATCTGTTGTGTCGGGCACATAAAGCAAAGTATAAACTTGTAACAATTCATGCCATTTTTGGGGATTGTGTAGTTTAGCCCACCCCTGTGGGCGTAATTACTTGCATTTTGTATTCTGATAATAAATGAGGTGCTTCAAATTAGTTATATTTTCGACCCCACACAATGTTCTCTTTAATTTGGGACAGTATTTTGAAGAAAAAGTAAATTTTCCTACCTGATTTTCCAGCATTGAACTCACACACTCTTACCAGTTAACACTCACTGATGCCATGAGAGTGTATGATGAGACCCCATTTTCTGGCTGCTCAGTTTGAAGTACCCCATTATTCCTCAAAAATTAAAATCCCGTTCAGAAAAAAATAAAAAATCCATATCTGGCATATTCTGGCTACCACCTCTCAACTTGTGGGTCTACATGTACAAGTCCACATTCTATGACAGAAATTTTAAAATTAATTCAACATTTTCTAGCTCCCATTTTTTAAAATCAAGTACACAAGTCTTATCTTGTTAGGCCCCCCAAAAAAGTCTCCGGTTTCTGGTATGCGCGCGCGTCGCCGTAGCCATGCGCGTCGGCAAAATGGAAAAGGTTTTTTTTCAATAAAAGATGATGTCTAAAAACAGCCAAACTCACTGGTTTGACTGGAATCCTGCTGCTGCACAATTTTAACGTGTTTTTTTTAGATCAGGTTATGATCGAGAATACGCTTTATGTGGCCTCTCCGGACTCCCATATATTTGCACTAAGTTTAGTCGGGCACCATTTGCAGTCATCAGCCGACATTTGAAGCAAAAAAAAAAAAAAGCCGCGTCGCCGCACCACTTTTTGGGCAAGCTCCATACCTATTGTTATTTATTATCAGCGGTCTCGGTCTCGGTCTCGGACCATATTGGTCTCGGTCTCGGTCTGCCTTGAAGGGGCTGGTCTCGGTCTCGGTCTCGGTCTCGAATCTTCAGGTCTCGGTCTTGGTCTCGGTCTCAGACTATCCGGTCTCGACTACAACACTGCCCCACACACACACCCACACAAGTGGTGATAAACAAAACATATTCTGGTGTGTATGCTCCTCCCCTCCCCCTCAACTCACACAAAATGGAACAATCCTTTGACCTATAACCCTTTTTAAATACACACTGCATATTTGGTATAAATGGATCTGGGTACTCCCTGAATTGTACCCACACCGTAATTGTACACTTCAACTTCCACCATCGTCGCATTTCTAAGCTGCACTGGTGAGTGTTATTCCAAATATATGGCCAAATGGTCCTAAAATTACAATGTAGTTATGACGTATGTTTAAAACACCACCATTTACACACACAGGCTTTTTAATTACAAGTACTTTTGAAAAGGTGTGTTTCATGGTATCAGCATATAGTTATCAGGTATTGGAAATTTACATTGTTAAACTGTGTTTGTAAACCTACCCAAATCTATTTCACCTCAGCCTTTAAACAGCAGGTTTATTGAACTTTGCAACTCTCCATAACTTACTGCAATTAATACGTAAACTCAAAGATTGGATATTATTGTACCATACACATGTACATGGAGGAATAAGAACACCAATGTACGTACGTGACCTTTGAATTTACATTTTTTTAACAAAAATGGGTCCACTTTCAAGTGAAGTATTGTAAGTCAAGAGTAATGAAAATTTGGATTTTTTTTTCGGGGGGGGAGGGGAAGGTGTATTAATAAGCAAGCCCTTACTAGCACTATACATACGTGTACTAAATCCATACATGTCATTCAATTTTGTTGTGTTACAGTTGTAGTTTTGTTGATGATAAAACTGTACTTTTTTATATCTTCTTATTTCAGGATAAATATGGCAGGTATGGGTGAAGTCAGCACTGTGGGCGTGTTAGAGAAGATCAGCCAGGGACACCTTGAGTGCCCGATTTGTTTCTCTCGATTCACAAACCCCAAGATACTGGATTGCTTACACAGCTTCTGCCAAAGATGCCTGGAAAAAATGATGGAAGGTCATCCTCAGCAGCGAGAGATTACCTGCCCAGTCTGCAGGCAGCAAACCGCCCTATCAGAAGCAGGAATTGGGGGGATTGCCAACCATTTTTCTCTAATGGCACTGGTAGATGAGGTCACCCAACAGGAAGAGCTGGTCAAAAGTCTAAAATCAAAGATCATTTGCGAGGTGTGTGAAGAAGAAGAGGCAATTGTAAGGTGTTTGGAGTGCAGGGAATATCTCTGTGACTTCTGTCACAATGCCCACAGAAGAAGCAAGAAATTAAAGAATCATGAGACGACATCCATTGATAACCTGCGCTCAGGAACGGCACCTTACCAAAGTCGCCTTCGGCATGAGGTGCCTAAATGCCCAAAGCATCCTTCCCAGGATCTCTACTTCTTCTGTGAGACTTGTACGACCCTGATATGTGCTGCATGCACTGCTCTTGATCATAAAGCACCAGGCCATAAATTCATTGATATTTCTGCTGCAGTTGCCTCATGCAAAGAAAAGGTGACAGAACTCATCACAGAGGCCAAACAATGTTTGAACGAATTGACAGAAGCAAAAGAACAAGCTCTAAAGTCAAAGTTGGATCACAACAATATGACAGTGAAGAAGTATGCTCTCATTGCTAAAACGGCAGATGAAGCAGTTGCTAAAATCCGTGACAATGAACGCCAGCTGAAAGAAAAACTTACCAAAAGTTTCAATGAAAAAGAATCAGGTTTTGACCAGGTTCTTGGACACTGTGAACAAAATATTCAAAAGGTAGAAAAAACATTGGAGACAGTGAAAACTGTAATGGACCAAGCCAATAACTTTGATCTTGTAAAGTTGCAACCAAAGCTTCTTAGAAAATTACAAGATGCAGCAGATCAGGAAACACCAGCACCAGTGCAAGGCCTGACAGATGAAGAAGTTCAACAGTGTAAAGAAATCAGCCCAGCAGAACTTGGTATTCACTCTTTAAAACTTTTCATTACCATTTTTAAACAATCTTTCAAACATCATAGAATTAGAAATAGGACATCACACGTTGCGCTTTTGAATCAAATCAACATCAAAAAACAACAAAGCAAGTCCTTTGGGTTTTTTTTCAGATTTACGCAAAAAAACTGCGTCGGGGAAAAACATAATTACAATCATTTATATTTTTTTCTAAATGTTAGAAATTCCAAGTTGGGAATAAAATAACAGTAATTTTCTCATTTTATTTTTACTCTAAAATTGTTATATTCAGAGTCAGCCGGTTTGTAATCCAACAAATTAAAAAATGCTGGCCTTACAAGCATCTACAACTTTTGCAGATATCAATTCAATCTCACACTCTGTGAGACTTGCAACATGGGAAAAAATACCATCACTTTTGTAGGGAGCCCATTTGCCTACCCATTACTTTCTTTTGCAAGCTTGTTATTTGAATGGCCAGAATTACCAACCGCACAAAATTCTCCGATGTGAAGGATATGTCCAAGAAGGTGTGGGTGCGGGATAAATTAATTTAAAGTGTTTAAATGTTCTCTCTTTATCAGAGATGTTGTGGAAAGGGAATCCAAACCATACAAAAATGATAAATAACCTGCCTGGACCAGAGCTAGCCAAGATGATGACGGTTGGTACCAGAGTGGTTAGAGGAAAGGACTGGAAGTGGGAAAATCAGGTAGGGAAAAATCGTAATGTACATGTAGGCCTAACAGTTGCTATTTCATATTTGAAGGTACAACAACTTTTTAAGCAACTGTATATGTTCCATAAAATCATGATCACATTCAGGAAAAGAAAAACTGCATTGCAACTCTTTGAATCAGGTCCTTTTTCATAAAAGATAAATTTCATTCAATTAGTGCAATGTCATTTATAAGACATCGTCTAACTCTAACATAATGAATGGCATTTTTATCTTTCAGGATGGTAATCACCCTGGTGTTGGAACAATTTCTGACGTTCAAGCTGGCACTGCAGAGGGTTGGGTACGAGTACAATGGGACACAGCTGATTCAAACCTCTATCGCATGGGTAGAAACGGGAAGTATGACCTCCAATTTGCTAATTAGGCACAATACAACTGTTCATTAAATCACACCCAAAAACCTTTTCTTCCAAAGCATCAGGCCAAATATGGCTGTAAAATAGATAAGTCCTTATTGGGAAATCATGTGCTATACAACAATGTATACACCAATGCATGCAAACAGAATAACGTGTACAATCCAATGCTGGAAGTGTTAGTGCATCTATGAAATAATTAATTCATAGACAAAAAGCAACCTTGAAAGAATGCTCATCATGACTTGACAGACTTCTACAGTTATTGTAAAAACATGAACAAATAGTACCATTAAATAAGTAAACAAAAATTATGTTTGGTTTAAAAAAGATAGTTTTCTCTTATCGCTTCACTTGCTTTTTGAATAAATAAATATAATTTGTGTGCATGTACACCTTCCTTTTTGTTTTTTTTCCTTTTTTTTTTGGCTTGTTTTCCCCCTTGTTTTTTTTTTTTTGGGGGGGGGGGGTGATTGGACAATTTTGTGTGATGACTTGGGGTAGAATAAGTTTGGGAGAAAACTGATATTGAAATTTAAACCAACTGTGTGCCAGGTTGAAATTGCAGTCAGATCATGCAGGTTATGGCATGTGATAAACTGTTGGTGAAAGCACAGCTGGATTGTATATTGTGAGTTTGCTTTCTCTGTGAGCTTTACAGGTTTTAATATTCAGAGATTCTGATTATATTATCTTAAGATATGGAATCCGTGCATGAACTGCTTTGTGGCCATGTTTGAGCCCCAGTGGGAGGGACACGCCATCACGGTTGGCATGAACGTCATGAGCTGTCAGCAATGCATTCGGATGTCCCTCCCAGTGGTCTCCCCCAACTCTCCCTTTGTAACCACTGAGGGGGTACTTGGGCACAGAGTTCATACATGTAAACCCTTAGTATAACTTGTTATTGCCACTTCCCCTTATCTTCAATTGGGACAACACTGCCAACATGGGACCCCAATGGAAATAAGGCTCTGTAACTAGCGTTTTGGGCTATTTTTGATGAAATCAACTGTTTTGGGTTTGTTTAAATCTTTTATTGTTAAATGTAATGTATGTTGTTAACAACAATAATTATCATCTAAAATTTATTGCACTGTTTCCATTGTTACAAATTATCAAAAAATATAAAAAATCTTAAAAACCTTAAGACCACTTTTAGAAACTCAACTTAAAAGTGAACATACGTCAATCTACTTATTACAATTGCCATGAAAATAATAATAATCTCCATTAAAACAATGGTATAATACACATACACGTTGCTGATTTCACCTGAATAAAATAATAATAAATGATAATAAATTCTTGTGTTGTACCTTTAATAAGTCTAAGCTGGCACTGAGATACGCTTATTTCGGTGTACAGGATTTAGGGGTCTCATGATGTGGATTACCATGTGAAATTATTCCACAAATGTGAAATTATTGTGTAAATATCAAGTGATTGATTTGCTTTTTAAGTGCCACAGAGGTATGGATTAGCCTGCACCTTCGCCCATATAAGGCTGCAGTAGTGGTAGTAATAGCAGTACTAAGATGTAAGTGTGCTCTAGCATTTAAGCAGGAGATTTCAGATATACAAGAAAACTAATTATAGCCATGGCACTTAAAATCATACCTGAAATTAATAAGACATGAAATCCTGTTAAATGCAAGAGGAAATCCCTGTAGCCCTATGTAGGAAGTTCCCTATCAAAAAATATACCAAAATTGTAAGATCCTATAGAACATTGCGTCCTTGTGAGGTTCTTATTCAAATAAGGTTTAACTTAAGCAGTGGTAAATTCACCAAAAGGAACTACCCTAAACTTGGTCCAACTTTTCGTTAATCCCCACCCCCCCCCCCCCCCCACCACCATACAAGTGGTGCAAAACAAAACATGGATCCTGGGGATGAACAAGACACGCCTTCCCCTCAGGTCCCATCCCCCCCCCCCCCCCCCCACAACTAAAAAAAAACCACAACAACCCTTTGACCTAAAACTCTTATACATGCAAGGCCACCAAAATATGGTTGTGTTGCCCTCATCTGACCGACCCAAACATTTGGAAATCTGTCTGTTTGGGTTTTATTTTTTAAACATTTGTAAAAAATAAAAGCGTTGCTGTTGAAACCCCTCAGCCAGAGTCAAGTTATCATCCCGAAACCATTAACCTTTAACTCAACATGGTGACCTTGACCTTTGACCCCAGAACCAGTTCAAACATGCCTGTACTGATGGAAAACCCCCTACCGAATTAGACACCAAAATTTCATCACTAACTCAAGTTATCATTCGGAACCAATTACATTTAACTCACCATGGTGACCTTGACCTTTGACCTTTTGACCCCAAAACCAATCCCAGCTTGCCTGTACCCAAGGGCAACCCCCTACCTAAGTCAAACACCAAAACCTCATTTCTTACTCAGGTTATCATCCGGAAACCATTTACATTTAACTCACCACAGTGACCTTGACCTTTGACCTTTTGATCCCAAACCAATCCCAACTTGCCTACTCCCAAGGGCAACCCCCTACCAAAGTTAGACACCAAAATCTCATTTCTAACTCAAGTTATCATCCGGAAACCATTTACATTTAACTTACCATGGTGACCTTGACCTTTGACCTTTTGACCCCAAAACCAATCCCAACTTGCCTACTCCCAAGGGCAACCCCCTACCAAATTTAGACATCAAAATCTCATTTCTAACTCAAGTTATCATCCGGAAACCATTTATATTTAACTCACCACGGTGACCTTGAACTTTGACCTTTTGACCCCAAAACCAATCCCAACTTGCCTACTCCCAAGGGCAACCCCCTACCAAAGTTAGACATCAAAATCTTATTTTTAACTTAAGTTATCATCCGGAAACCAAGCTATCCGGACGGGCGTTCCAGCCAGACGGAATTGTGGGGTGATAGCATTGTGTTCCCATTATCCCTTTTTCTAAAGATTCCCTTCTGGGGTGATGTTTTTCTATTGTGAAAAAAGTGGGGTGATGTGTCCTGAAAGGAACATCACCCCACAAGGGTGGTATGGTCAGAACGGACAGACAGACATACGGACGGACGGACGCCCTAGGCGATGACAATACCCCTCGAGCCTCTCGGCTGAGGGGTAAAAAGGTTGATAATTTCAATGTAGTTCTGGCAACTTGGGACTCATTTTGTGGGGTGCAGTAACACATGAGATGTTGGGACAAGTTTTTGAGCTGAAAATTAGCAAAAGTTGAACGTACAGCTACTCTGACAAATTTCCCAGAAAAAAAATTCCGCCCTATAGTTTGCTTTGCATTAGAAATGAACTCTTTTTCAAACTGACCACAAAGATTTTTTTATCCCTACTCAGTCACTGAGCAGAAATGTGTGGAACTTCCACTAGTTTCAGATATCAAGACTATTTCTACAAATATGAACATGTCCTGCGTATTACCAGTTTCATAAAAGTGGGTTTTTTTTCTTTAGAAATCTATTTCACAGGCCTTCAAATTCAGCAGGTTGGAGACTGAAATTCACAAACTACTTGAACTGTGCAACTCTCCAAAACTTACTGCAGTTAGGCCTACGATAACCCAGAGATTTGGTTCATTATTGTACCTGACCTTTGCAAAAACAGTGTTTGAACAAAAATGGGTATGAAGTCCACTTTTTCATATCAAGTGAAGAACCCGTTCAAGATTGAACCAACTATTGATAGGCTGAAATGCATCATTTCGCAACACAGCATTTTACTGACTAACAGAAAAATAATATGGCAGGTCTGAGTGAAGTCAGCGCAGCAGGCGTGTTGAAGAAGATCAACCAGGGACACCTTGAGTGTCCAATTTGCGTCTCACGATTCACAAACCCCAAGATTCTGGATTGCTTGCACAGCTTTTGCCAAACATGCCTGGAAAAAATGATGGAAGGTCAACCACAGCAGCGAGAGATTACCTGCCCAGTCTGCAGGCAGCAAACTGCCCTATCAGATGCAGGAATTGCTGGAATTATCAATAATTTTTCCTTGATGGCTCTGGTGGAAGAGGCCAATCAACAGGAAGAGATGGTCAAAAGTCAAAGATCAAATATCATTTGCGAGGTGTGTGAAGAAGAAGAGGCAATTGTAAGGTGTTTGGAGTGCAGGGAATATCTCTGTGACTTCTGTCACAATGCCCACAAACGAAGCAAGAAAACCAGGAATCACGAGACGGCATCAATTGAAGACCTGCGCTCAGGAAAGGCACCTTACCAAAGTCGCCTTTGGAATGAGGTTCCTAAATGCCCAAATCATTCTTCCCAGGATCTCTTCTTCTTCTGTGAGACTTGTGAGACACTGATATGTGCTGTATGCACTGCTCTTGATCATAAAGCACCAGACCATAAATTCATTGATATTTCTGCTGCAGTTGCCTCATGCAAAGAAAAAGTGACACAGCTCATCACAGAGGCCAAACAATGTTTGAACAAATTGACAGATGCAAAAGAAAAAGCTCTAAAATTTAAATTGGACCACAACAATATAACACTGGAGATAAATGATGACATAACTAAAAATGCAGATGAAGCAGTTGCCAAAATTCGTGAGAATGAACGCTTGCTGAAAGAAAAAGTCACTAAGATTTGCCACAAAAAGGATGCATGCTTTGACCAAGGTCTGGAATGTTGTGAACAAAATATTGAAAAGGCAGAAAAAACATTAGAGACAGTGAAAACTGTGATGGAACAAACCAATAACTTTGATCTTTTAAAATTGCAACCGAATCTTCTTCAAAAGTTACAAGATGCAGCGGATCAGGAAACACCAGCACCAGTGCAAGGCTTGACATTTAAAGATTTTCAACAGTGTAAAGAAATCAGCCAGGCAGAAATTGGTATTCCCTCCTTAAAACTTTTTCATAACTATTTTTACACAATCTTTCAAACATCATAGAATAAGAAATAGGATCACACAATAAATCCAAAAAAGAAGCACAAACATAAATGTCGGACTCATGGTCGACTGAAATTAAAGCAAACTCAAAACAGAACACTTCAACCATGACTCAAACCAACATTTTCTTCTGTGTGCACCTTAAACATGTCGCCACAGTTAAGTTTAAAATATTTGAATATGTAAAAGGAAAAAAAAGAACCCCTACTAGTAAATCCATTTTGAAATTAAAAAAAAAGTAATACTAATTTCTTGTACGATGTCCATATGGATTTAAAATACAAGCATCTACAACTTTTGCAAACATCAATTCAATCCTCATACTTTGTGAGGCTTGCAACACCATGAAAAAAATACCATCACTTTTGTATGGTACCCCAAATTTGCCTGCCCCTTACTTTACTTTCTCCTTCAAGATTGTTACTAAAGCACATCCCTTGTTATTTTAATGGCCAGAATTACCAATCGCACAAAGACACTCAGATGTGAAGGATAATGTCCAGAAAGGTGTGGGTGAGGGATGAATCAATTTAAAGAGATTAAATATTCTCTCTTTATCAGAGATGCTATGGAAAGGGAGTCCAAGCCATACAAAAATGATAAATACTCTGCCTGGTCCAGAGCTGGCCAAGATGATGACGATTGGTACCAGAGTGGTCAGAGGAAAGGACTGGAGTCATTATAATCAGGTAGGCAAACTCCCGAGTGTTGGCATTTCACAAGTTGAAGGCACAAAACCTTTTAAGCAGCTGTAAAGTTCCACAAAATCATGATAACTTTCAGGTAAGAAAAAACTGTAACACACTTCCTTTGACTCAGTTTTTTTTTTTTACATAAAAAGTGAGGTTCATTCAATAAAAGTGCAACAACCATTTGGTTAATTTATAAGATATCATCCAACCCTAAAAAGGCAATGAATGGCTTTTTTTATCTTTCAGGATGGTAATCCACCTGGTGTGGGCACAATTTCTGCTTATCAAACACTAATTACAGGCACTTCAAGTTACATGTATGTGGAAGTAAAATGGGACTGTGGAGGTGCACACAACTATCGCATGGGTGCAGAGGGGAAGTATGACCTCTATTTGGCTAATTAGACACAATACAACTGTTCATTTAATCTCACATAAAAAAAACAGGCTGCAATAGAGATCAGTCCTTATTAAGACATCATGTGCTATACAAAAATACACCAACTGTCATCATGGCTACGCTACGACCCTGCAAGGTTAGGACCCTGCAAGGTTATAAACGGCCGTTTAGACCGAGTCATCACACTTTTGTTCCCATTCATAAATTTTTTTTTTATCGTTGAAAAGCGTTTGTAGGAAAATCTGTAAAACTTATACATTTTGTAAATTTTCAATTCTCGTGACTTGCTCAGGCTCCGTTTCAAATTCACAATGGGTAAAAATTTGCATATTATGTGACGCTCAAAATTTGTCCATGAAAAAAGAAATCACATCTGGTATGGAATGTGGGCATTTCTATAAGAAAGTTTTCAAATGTCTTAAACTGCTGTCTTAAACAGCTGCAGCCAGATGTCATGATAAAGTTACCCAGAATGCCATCCCCACTTCCTTCACAAGATTCTGTGAAGCTCATCAGCCCTTCCCAGCACCCTGTTTGCAGGGCGGAGGGAACAAGCGAATTTACCCGAGTGTTATACTTGATTGAACCGAAGTTGAGGTCTACAATTTTAATTTTATCACCTGGAAGTATTTTCAATTTGTTGTTGCTTTTTTTTTCTTTCAAAGCACCCATTTGGGCCCAGTCAGGACACAAAATAAATGCAAAAATAGGACGTTAGATCCTATACAACATGGCTCCCAATGTCATGCCAAAAACCGTCCGGTGCCAAATAGTGTCCACTCATTAGCACACTGCAAACTGAGTGGCCATGCGTGTATGACGTCACATTGTTGACAGAAGTTTGCCAAATAGTGTCCGCACTTAGCGTGCATCCTATGGCATCCATGCGGTCAGCTTTCAAGACATCATGAACGAAATCCTTTTTCATCTAATTTTCCTTTTATAATTTGTTTCAACTGTAATTTATCTATCTGTTATTATTAAAACTGATTGCAGAATTTGTTTTGACTTGATATTTCTGACATTTAGTCTCGCATTTGGCTAAAAGCTTTGTGTTTTCGTGACAGGTCAACCTTTTCGACGTGACGACTTTGTTAAAAAATTCTCCTTGGTTTGAAAAAAAATATTTTCTTTTATCAATTCACTTACTTTTTGTAAATATATTGTAATTTGTGTCCATGCACATCTAGTAAATTTATTTTTTCTGGGTTTGTTTTTTGGGGGTGGACTAAATTTGGTAGGATGAGTTGGGGTAGAATCAGAGAAAATTGAATTTGAAATTTAAACCTTGTGTAACGGCAGGTTGTAAGGCAGCCAAGTGAAGTAGGTTATACATGAAGCATAGGCGAAGCCGAGGGTGCTATGCGCCCCTCGGGTGTTAAAAACATCATAGCCCACATCACAGCAGTCGTGTCTACAATTGTTTTGTTATACCTCTGTCTTGGATTCTTTGGAGTTTGATGTAAACATCACGAAACCCAACGGCAGTAAACACAACAATCATGACAATTGAACGTCAACTCACATGCATGTCGCTTGCTAGAACAAATGATCGTCTGCTAGTGAAAACATTATGAAAATAGCGTGGGTACCAACGCTACAAGCATTTTACTCTGTACGTACCATACCGTACGTACAGTACCATACGCACGTGATATCCCACAGGGAGTGTGCCAGGACTTTTTATAAACTTAACACGTGATCGTTCTGGGCCAATGAAAATACATTATTCAAGAGAGAGGTATAACATAAAAACTTTATCCCATCTAAGTTGGACATCCAAGTCCAGAGATACAGGCATTCACATACCAAGAAGGTGTGCTGCAAACCAAAATAATGTAATTTTGTTTAATCAACTTTACATTCACGTCAAAAACTTGACTGTTGATATGCCTTTTAAAAAATGGACATGGACAATAATAAAGACAGTCTTAAATGGTTCATATGTCACAGAATTGTAATTTACAAAGCTGTTGTCCTGAAATCATTGTCTTTGAGGAATAATCATCAACCCATGTTACCAAATGATGAACAGGTCAGATTTGTGAACAATAAGAACGTGGCTCAAACAGATATAGACAGTCTTTACAAGCTTTGCCTTAACTTTTAAACAAAAGGTCCAAATCACACAGGACAAAAACCCTGCCAAGGGTAAAGAAACACTCTCATCTCATGGTAAATTAATTTTAAAAAAAAGATTTAGTTTCCTCAAAATGTTTTTGTTTGACGACTACATTTTTTTAGACACGCTTTATCCACACAAACCTGTAGTAGTGCCTTCGCATGAACGTCATGCACTGTCAGCAAAGCATGTGACTCTCTCTTTGTAACCATTGAGGGGGTACTTGTGCATGGAGTTCATACATTATAAGATGGAATTTGCATCGGGTGACATAAATCAAATTAGGTTTTGCCCTTCACCGACGTTTAAACACTGTATACTCAGTGTGTTACCTCCCGAGTGAAAGCTGGAAAAAATCACTCAGGTGGGACTCGAACCCACGACCTCCTGCTTTCTAGTGCAGATGTCTAACCACTCGACCACCGAGCTAACGGGATCGGTTGGCTGGTTCGAATCTGATGTACATAGCAGCGGGTACCGCATAAACTATTATAAGATGGAATTTTGCATCGGGTGACATAAATCAAATTAGGTTTTGCCCTTCACCAACGTTTAAACACTGTATACTCAGTGTGTTAACTCCCGGGTTCGAGTCCTACCCGAGTGATTTTTTCCAGCTTTCACTCGGGAGGTAACACACTGAGTATACAGTGTTTAAACGTCGGTCAAGGGCAAAACCTAATTTGAGTTCATACATGTTAACCCATACTATAACTTGTAATTGCCACTTCACTTAATCTTCAATGGGGGCAACACTGCCAACATGAGACCCCAATGGGAAAAAGGCTCTGTAATTGGCTTTTTGGGCTATCCCTAATGAAATCACATCTTTGTTTAATCTTTGTGTTGTAGTGTCATGTATGTTGTTGAAGTTTTCATCTGAATAAAATAATAATAAATAATAATAACACATTAAGTTGTACATTTATCAAAACTTAGCAGGCACTGAGATAAGCTTGTATGGGTGTACAGGATTATATCTTGATGTGGATTACCATGTGAGATTATCCCAGACATGTGTAATAATTGTGTATATATCCAGTGATTGATTTGTAATAAGTGTATGGATTAGCCTTCACCTTTGCCCATAAAAGACAGAAGTGTAGTGGTAGTAACATGTACTGAGATGTGAGCTCTGAAATTTCAGTAGCATCAAGATTTGAGGTATATGAGAATAATAATTATAGTCATGGCACTTAAAATTGTATCTGAAATTTAAAAAAATATGAAATCCTGTTAAATGCAAGCGGACATCCCTGGTAGTTTTAGACCTCTGTAAAAAGTTCCTTATCAAAATAAACTAAATTTGTATTATCCTAAGAAACATTCTGTCCTTGTGAGATTCTTATTCAAATAAGGTTTAACGTACTTATAAGCAGTAGTAAATATTCACCAAAACTAACTACCCTAAAATTGGTTCATTGTTTGTTAATACTTCCCCTCCCCCAACCACACAAGTGGTGATAAACAAAGCGTAACCCTGGTGGTTTTAACCAGACACTTTTGCTACTTACTTCACCTCCCCAAACTCCAAACTACCACACATACAAAAAAACACAAAAAGTTTGATCAAAAACTATTTTTAAATGTGATGTAATACGCTGTATTTGGATCCTCACACACCCTGGCTGAAAATTCTGAATGTTAATTGTTCAGTTGCTGTTCAACCATGCATTGCATACTGGCAAATGTGCACTGGCAAATGCAATGTACCGAACTTGTACACTTCAACTTCCGCCATCGTCACATTCTAGGCTTACACTGGTGAGTGTTATTCCATTCTAAATTAAATTGTATGAAAGAGTTACATGTATATTTTAAACACCACCATTTACACACACAGGCTTACAAGTACGTTTTAGGAACTTGAGCAATATTCAAAGCCTTAGAAAAAAGGTTCATTTCACGGTATCAGGTACTAGAAAAAAGTCTACTTTGCAGTATATGTACACATTTTAAAACTGCGTTTCTAAATCTACCAAAATCTATTTTACCTCGGCCTTTCAGTTCAGCAGGTTCAATGGAGGCTTTAACTCACAAATTACTTGTACTTAGCAAGTCTATATCTAACTGCACTTACGACAACTCAGAGATTTGATTCATTATTGTGCCATGGAGGAATAAAAACGCAAATGTTTGAACAAAAAATGGGTCCACTTTCAAGTGATGTATTGTAAGTCAAGAGTAATGAAAATTTGGAGCGCATTGAAGAAGCTGTACTTATAACCCGAACCCAATCCTCCATAATCCTTTGGGCAGTTTTGGAGGATTCAGGAGGATTGAGGTTGAATCGATGTATCGGTTGATTGCTGAGGATGCATTTTGTCAAGCCAGCAGGCCATCTTGCATGGTCAGTCTTAAATCATCCCTGCATTTTTCTCATAATCCTCACTGCATTCGCACAGCCTCAAACCATAAAGTGATTCAAGGAGGATTTCGAAGAATTCAGACAGTGGTCACCCTCCAGCGACTAAATTCAAAAAAAGTATGATTTGGAAGGATTGAGGCTGGATCCATTTTTTTTATAGTGGCATTTGGAGGATTTTGCAGAATTATGGTTGCATCCTAGCCAGAAGGCCTTGGGGGTTAGAGTTAAGCTAGCTCCTACTTGCAATGTTATTCCATACAACGAAATTGTAACCAAAATATATCAAAATTGTTGTGTTACAGTTGTAGTTTTGTTGATGATAAAACTGTATTTTTTATTATATCTTCTTATTTCAGGATAAATATGGCAGGTATAAGTGAAGTCAGTGTTGCGGGTGTTTTGGAGAAGATCAGCCAGGGACACCTTGAGTGTCCAATTTGCTTCTCTCGATTCACAAACCCCAAGATTCTGAATTGCTTGCACAGCTTCTGCCAAAGATGCCTGGAAATAATGATGGAAGGTCATCCTCAGCAGGGAGAGATTACCTGCCCAATCTGCAGGCAGAAAATGGCTTTATCAGATGCAGGAATTGCTGGAATTCTCAACAATTTTTCCTTGATGGCTCTGGTGGACGAGGTCAATCAACAGGAAGAGATGGTCAAAAGTCAAAGATCAAATATCATTTGCGAGGTGTGTGAAGAAGAAGAGGCAATTGTAAGGTGTTTGGAGTGCAGGGAATATTTCTGTGACTTCTGTCACAATGCCCACAAACGAAGCAAGAAAACCAGGAATCACGAGACGGCATCAATTGAAGACCTGCGCTCAGGAAAGGCACCTTACCAAAGTCGCCTTTGGAATGAGGTTCCTAAATGCCCAAATCATTCTTCCCAGGATCTCTTCTTCTGTGAGACTTGTGAGACACTGATATGTGCTGTATGCACTGCTCTTGATCATAAAGCACCAGACCATAAATTCATTGATATTTCTGCTGCAGTTGCCTCATGCAAAGAAAAAGTGACTGAACACATCACAGAGGCCAAACAATGTATTAATAAGTTTGAGGAGGCAAAAAAAAAAGCTCTAAATTCAAAGTTGGACCACAACAATATGACAGTGGAGATGAATGATCGCATTACTAAAAATGCAGATGACGCAGTTGACAAAATTCGTGAGAATGAACGCTTGCTGAAAGAAAAAGTCACTAAGGTTTGCCACAAAAAGGATGCATGCTTTGACCAAGTTCTAGAATGCTGTAAAGAAAATATTGAAAAGGCAGAAAAAACATTAGCGACAGTGAAATCTGTGATGGATCAGGCCAATAATTTTGATCTTTTAAAACTGCAACCGAACCTTCTTCAAAACTTACAAGACGCAGCAGATCAAGAAACACTAGCACCAGTGCAAGGCCTTACGTTTGAAGATTTACAACAATGTGAAGACATCAGTCAGACAGATCTTGGTAGGAATTCTCTTTTTCATCACAGTTTTGTACACAATCTTTCAAATATCATAGAATAAGACATAGGATATCACAAGATACCCTCACACAAAAATGCACAAATATATGTCGGACTAATATACAACTAAAAAAGTAAAGTAGAACCAGTAACTGGGGCGCTAGAACTCCTTTATTTCCCCAACAGCACATTGCTATTTTAATGGCTTGAGTTAAAATCACACAGAAGTGCTTAGCAATGGAGGATAATGCCCAATATTAGAATTAAGAGGGATACGTTAATTTAAAGTGTTCAAATGTTCTCTCTTTATCAGAGATGCTGTGGAGAGGGAGTTCGAACCAAGCAAACATGATAAATATGATAAGAGCGGTTGGAGAAAAGGACTTGACATGGGGAAATCAGGTAGGCAAAAATCAGCATGTAACATTTGCCACTGCACAAGGAACAAAAACATTTAAGCAGCTGTAAATGTTCCACAAAATCATGGTTAATTTCAGGAAAAGAAAAACTGTAACACAACTCCTCTGACTCCAGTACTAATAATTCCTTAAAAAAGGTGAAGCTCATTAACTAAGTGCAATATTATTTATATGACAGTAACACTAAAAAGGTAACAATGACTGGCTTTTTATTCAATCTTTCAGGATGGTAGTCCACCTGGCGTGGGAACAATTTCTGCTGATCAAGCAGGTAATTTAAAAGGTTGATGTTGGTAACACATATGTACACCACTATTGCATGGGTTTACATGATTAATAAGACCTTTATACTGCTAATTAGACACAACTTTTCATTTAATAAGACAAAGAAAATCTTTTCTTCCAAAGCACCAGGGCAAATGACAGTAAAAGAGAGATGTCTTTATTAAGACATCATGTGCTATATAACATTATTAGTTGTCTCACAAGTGCGAGTGGATCACAGAATCATGTGCATCTGTGTCCCACATGTCACCAGGCCGAAGGCCGAGTGGTATGCGGGACACAGACGCATTACATTTTCCGTGTTCCACAAGGATGAGTATTGTATTTTTAAGCAAACTTGACCCACAGTAACATTGGAACGAGCACACTTATAATTACAGTAACCTTTTAGCAGTTATCCACGCGTGCAGCTGAAATGGCAATTGCATCTTGGAATAGCACGACATAGGAGAGTGCGATATGGACTGTGCGACATGGAATAATGCTCATAGCACGGTTTGTTGCCATGGATCAACCAATCAGAATAGAAGATTCAAGTTCATTGAAGATAATAATGTACACGTACACGTGCATGCACACAGATGTGCATGAGAGAGCATGCAAGTCTTGCCAGATAGACCACGTTTACTTTTTATGCGAACATCTTGGTATCAAGTCTCTTCCTGGGAAATGCACTACCTTTGGTCAAAACCTTACTACCAAAGGTTAATGAAATCATATGAATCAAAATCATGTGCTCAAACTGCTTGAGTACCAACTTTCACTCTGAGAGAAGCACACTAGCACAAAGAAAGATCTGATCAAGGGTAGAAAAATGCACCTGCTGTGTAGCTTACTTATATGACAGCCAAGGAAGGACATGTCGCATGTACTCACTGGTCTGGCACCGATAAGGTCAGGCTTTCTTTCAAAACTTAGAGCACAAACCTGTAGTGCCGTGACAGAAAAATGCACATGACTATCGGGCACATGGCAGCAATAAACCCATTGGGCTCCATGCGTCAACAAGAGCGGGCACTTTTTTACCACTTTTGAGAGTGTGGAGCGCGTAGGTTGGTGCACGTATAGAGGTAAGTATGCACGACTTATCTTGCTCTGAATGTACACAAAGCATAAGCATCAGGCGTCGTTTTCAATGTGTTCAAAAGTCACTCCAAGTGGTCATCCCTAACTCTCCCTTCCTTACCGTAGAGGGGGTACCTGTGCACGGAGCCCATAACAGTTCTGCAGTTACCACTGAAGGCATGATATCATCTATGTCTAAGGTTTTCGTTTTTTATTCATTGACAGTGGTGGCAAAGTTTGGTTTAATTATTCAGACTTCACCAATGATATACAACACGAGCAGCATGACCAAATGTTGAAGTACAATGGGTATTGACTCGGTGCGCAAACAGGAGAAGGCACTTTGTGATGGCATATTTGAGAGCCCAGCGGATGGGACTAATCGCACTCATTTATGCGGGCATTGCACAAAGTACATGTACGCACGACTAACTTAATTTTGAATTTGCACAAACTCACAGCATCTTCACAGGAGCATCAGGCATCGTCAGCAATGCATTCAACTGTTCCTGTCAGAGCTACAGCCCACCCTGGTGTATTCCCTGGTGGTGGTAGGTACCTGTGCACTGGGTCCTTAGAGTAATGTTTGGTCACATTGTTTCTCTAGTCTTTGTTTACATACACTGAATTTTAATTGTTTGGAAAAGGGGCAGATAATGTTCAACACGAGCAACGTGACCAGTTGTTGAAGTACAATGGGTAATAAGCGCCTTGTATCCTTTAGCAATTTGGCGATCTAAAAGTCCAGTTATTATTTTATTATTATTATTATTATTGACTTCTGTGCACAAACAGGACAAGGCACTTTGTGATCACATTTGAGAGCCAATTAGTGGATGGGACACGCCACTGGCACGCATTCGTCCATGCATGCATTGTACAATGTATGCCTGACGTATTTTATTTTGAATTTGTACAAACCCACAGCATCTTCATGTGGGCCTTATCAGGTGTCGTTTCCAATCTATTCAACTGTTCCTCCCAGAGCTACACAATACCCTGGTAGGTTCTTGTGCACCAAGTCCATACAATTTTTTGTCAAATTTTTGGAATAAAAACATTTGCAGAATTGTTATTCTACAGTTACTAAATACTAATCAATTACAAATAGTATAACACTGTGTCTCCAGTCTTTGTTTACATACACTGATTTATAATTGTTTGGAAAAGGGGCAGACCTTTTTTTATTGGAATGCGCCCAATTGGGCTACGAAAGGCATTTTAAATGAAATTATATTATTGATTGGAAAAAACATTTAAAAGTAGAATGTAAACGTCCACACAACCATCATTTAAAAACAGGGCATTTCTGTGTTATTCTTGCGAGAACCACGCGAGAACAAATTTTTGGGGGGTCACAATTTCGACTCTGAAAAATTGAGCTGTTGAGTGCTAGTTGCGAATCCTGCCACACAGTAGTTCTCATTCTGCGGATATGTAAGAAACAACATTTGTGTATTGGTGCTGTGTATATTATGTGACACACACACAACGTGTACAGTTCATTGAATACAGACGGCTTGAAATACGTATGCTTATTGCTACAAAATTGCCACATCCAATACAAACAACCAGAGTTTTTTGTCTTTTCTTGGGAACAGTAAGACATTAGGTTTCCTTTCAACCAGACCTTTGGAAACAGAATAAGTAATCAAACCAAAACATTGAAATTTCAAGAATTTCCGAGTGTAATGCCCCTTTAACTTTTACCTTTAACCAAATACTAATCAATTACAAATAGTATAACACAGTTTCTCCAGTCTTTGTTTACAAACACTGAATTATAATTGTTTGGAAAAGGGGCAGAAAATGTTTAACACGAGCAACGTGACCAGATGTTGAGGTGCAATGGGTATGGACTCCAGTGTGCAAAGTACGCATGACTTATTATATTTTGAATTAGTACAAACCACAGCATCTCCATGGAGGCCTCAGGTGTCGTCTCCAATGTATTCAACTGTTCCTCCCAGAGCTACACAATAACCTGGTAGGTGTGCACCAAGTCCATACAATAATTTTTTGTCAAATTTTGGGAATGAAAAACATTTGCAGAACTGTTATTGACTTTCTAAATATTAATCAATTACAAATGGTATAGCACTGTTTTTCTCAACGTTGTTTACATACATTGGATTATTGTTTGAAGAGGGGGTTAGAATATTTTAAACACAAGTAATGTGACCAGTTGTTGAAGTGCAATGGGTATGGACTCCTTCACGCAAACAAGAGAGGGCACTTTGTGATCAAATTTGAGAGCCCATTGGATGGAACACACCAACGTAATCGCACTCATTCATGCGGGCATTGCACAAAGTACATGTGCGCACGGCTAAAGTTATTTTGAATTTGCACAAACCCACAGCATATTCAGGGGAGCATCAGGCATCGTCAACAATGCATTCAAATAGTCCTCCCAGTGGTATGCAACAACTCGACACTGGTAAGTTACTTTTGTAGTTAGTCCATAGAATAATTTAAGGTCTCATTTCTTAAAAATGTTATTTGTAGAATTTTTTGATTGAATTATAATTGTTTGGAAATGGGGCAGAACATTTTGTAGTTCTAGTTAAGGAATGAGTTTGGAAAACTTCATAAAATGTATGCTTGAAAAACAGGTATTAACTCTGATCACCAATATCTATTCCTTGTGAATTCAATTTCTTTGGTCATCAAAAGGTTTTACCCCAAGAATGAGTGTATCAGTACAAGAACAAGCTAGGAGATTGCAGGTTGGCACTAGGGTCAAACGGGGACCTGATTGGTGCTACGGTAATCAGGTAAAAAAAAAAAGCAAGCTCCTCACTTTGTATGTATATCTGCATTCTGTAACTGAAAACATACTTTGAGAGGCCCATTCTAGACTGAAATAAAGTTGTGAGCAACGCCTTAAAAAGGACTGGTTTTTTTTTTAGGATTCCATTTTTGTATATGTTTCAGAGTATCGTGACTTATTACCATAGTTGTAGGAATGTGGGATAGCGGTTCATTAGCAAGTGTGCACTCTAGCTTGCAGAAGATGTTCATTAATAAAAAAAAAGTCTTGAATTAAACTAGCTACAGGACCCCCTCATCAGTAAGCAACAACAACAAAAACATGGCTGTACTTATTTGTTCATCTCAATCATAAACAGTGCTGTTCTATCAATTCTATCCACAAAAATGTAAACTGACATTAAGTTGCAAATTGAGGTCTCTCACTCTTTAATTAACAAAGAAACCCACAGGTAGAACAAACTAAATTCTTGCAACAGTTTACAAAATTTCCTCAAATTATAAGAAATTTAAGTTTCCTGTCATTTTTTTTCCCTTGGAGATCGCTAGTACATTGCCCCAAAGGGCACACAGTGTTTTCATTTGATGTTACAAATATAGTATTATTGACTCACAGGTTGTTGTTACTTACAGATTTTGGAAATAAAACAGCAAAGGGTAACAGACTTTGATAAACTTCTGTTTTCATTTCTTTGTTGTAGGATGGTCAAGACGAAGGAAGGGTAATATGTTTAGATGACGCCGATGTTGGCTTTGTCGATGTAGAATGGTCATCAGGATTGGTTGAAAGTTACCGGATGGGAGCAAAGGGACACTATGATCTTCAAATGGTCAAGTATGCAGATGATGAATACTACTGAATTGGCTATTTATTTCAAGCACATCAAGACAACAGCCTGAGAACTGAACTTCTCAACAAAATCACATTTGTATTTTGTTTCTTCATCTTATGATATTTAGATAAAGTCTATAGGCCCTATACTCTGGAATCACATATCTTTATACATGTTCTTGTGTTTTATATCTTCAGCTTTGGCCCAAGAATGAGTGTATCAGTACAAGAACAAGCTAGGAGATTGCAGGTTGGCACTCGGGTCATACGGGGACCTGATTGGCACTACGGTAATCAGGTAACGCAAGCTCCTAACTTTGTACGTATATCGAACTGAAACTTTGAGAGGCGCATTCTAGACGGAAATGATGTTGTTAGAAACGCCTTCAAAAAGACTGGGGGTTTTTAAGATTCAATTTTGTGTATATATGTTTAAGAGTATCATGACTTATTATCATAGTTGTAGAAAAGCGGGATAGCAGTTTCTTGGCAATTGTGCACTCTAGCTTGCAGAAGATTGTCATTAATCAAAAAAACGTTTTGAATTAAAACAAGTACCCCCTCAGTAAGCAAAGAAAAAACACACGACTTGTATCTATCTGTTCATCTCAATCATAGCAGTGCTGTTCTATCATTTCTATCCGCAAAAAAAGTCAACTGACATTAAGATGCAAGGAGAGGTCTCTCACTCTTTAATTACCAAAGAAACCCACAGGTAGAACAAACTAAATTCTTGCAACAGTTTACAAAATTTCCTCAAATTATAAGAAATTTAAGTTTCCTGTCATTTTTTTTCCTTGGAGATCGCTAGTACATTGCCCCAAAGGGCACACAGTGTTTTCATTTGATGTTACAAATATAGTATGATTGACTCACAGGCTGTTGTTACTTACAGATTTTGGAAATAAAACAGCAAAGGGTAACAGACTTCGATAAACTTCTGTTTTCATTTCTTTGTTGTAGGATGGTCAAGGCGAAGGAAGGGTAATATGTATAGATGACGCCGATTTTGGCTATGTCGATGTAGAATGGTCATCAGGATTGGTTGAAAGTTACCGGATGGGAGCAAAGGGACACTATGATCTTCAAATGGTCAAGTATGCAGATGATGAATACTATTGAATTGGCTATTTATTTCAAGCACATCAAGACAACAGCCTGAGAACTGAACTTCTCAACAAAATCACATTTGTATTTTGTTTCTTCATCTTATGATATTTAGATAAAGTCTATAGGCCCTATACTCTGGAATCACATATCTTTATACATGTTCTTGTGTTTTATATCTTCAGCTTTGGCCCAAGAATGAGTGTATCAGTACAAGAACAAGCTAGGAGATTGCAGGTTGGCACTAGGGTCATACGGGGACCTGATTGGCACTACGGTAATCAGGTAAAGCAAGCTCCTCACTTTGTATGTATATTACCTAATGTATTCTGTAACTGAAAACATACTTTGAGAGGTGCATTCTAGACGGAAATGATGTTGTGAGCAACGCCTTCAAAAAGACTGGGTTTTTTTTAGGATTCAATTTTGTGTGTATATGTTTAAGAGTATCATGACTTATTATCATAGTTGTAGAAAAGTGGGATAGCAGTTTCTTGGCAATTGTGCACTCTAGCTTGCAGAAGATTGTCATTAATCAAAAAAACGTTTTGAATTAAAACAAGTACCCCCTCAGTAAGCAAAGAAAAAACACACGACTTGTATCTATCTGTTCATCTCAATCATGGCAGTGCTGTTCTATCATTTCTATCCGCAAAAAAAGTCAACTGACATTAAGATGCAAGGTGAGGTCTCTCACTCTTTAATTACCAAAGAAACCCACAGGTAGAACAAACTAAATTCTTGCAACAGTTTACAAAATTTCCTCAAATTATAAGAAATTTAAGTTTCCTGTCATTTTTTTTCCTTGGAGATCGCTAGTACATTGCCCCAAAGGGCACACAGTGTTTTCATTTGATGTTACAAATATAGTATGATTGACTCACAGGCTGTCGTTACTTACAGATTTTGGAAATAAAACAGCAAAGGGTAACAGACTTTGATAAACTTCTGTTTTCATTTCTTTGTTGTAGGATGGTCGAGACGAAGGAAGGGTAATATGTTTAGATGACGCCGATGTTGGCTTAGTCGATGTAGAATGGTCATCAGGATTGGTTGATAATTACCGGATGGGAGCAGGGGGACACTATGACCTTCAAATGGTCAAGTATGCAGATGATGAATACTATTGAATTGGCTATTTATTTCAAGCACATCAAGACAACAGCCTGAGAACTGAAGTTCTCAACAAAATCACATTTGTATTTTGTTTCTTCATCTTATGATATTTTGATCAATTCTATACTCTGGAATCACATATCTTTATACATGTTCTTGTGTTTTATATCTTCAGCTTTGGCATGTAAATCAGTAATTAATGAGCAAATAATAATAATCAAATCTTTCATTAATGAGCAATACCCAACATATCTTAATACTTCAAAAATCAGACAAAATAAAAAGTACAAGGGAAAACGAAAGTGTATACAGTGTATGTAGAAAACTGTTAACAATATGAACCATTCGGGACAGAGAGTACGACGTTGGAGAGATAATCATGGAGATGATGCTAACAGAAGCTGTTTGCTTTTTCTCGGAGTCCTTTGTTTTAACTTGTTTTTTTTCTTTTATATAGGTTTTCTTACTGTCTTCAGGTTTTTTTCTACTTTTTGAGGGTAGGGACGAACTCGGTGTGATGACTTGGAGTTGGATACTTTGGGGAGAAAATTGAGTAGAAATTTAAACTAACTGTAGTCATATTATCTGTGAGTTTACTTTCTCTGTGAGGTTCATGCAGTTTGAACATTCAGATATTCTGAATATTTTATCTTAAGCTATGGAATCCGTGCATGAACAGTTAATGGTGCCTTGTGGCCATGTTTGAAAGCCCCAGTGGGAGGTACATGTACGCACCATGGTTGGTAAGCATGTGGTGTGATTTACTCACGATTACTTCTATTTTGAATTATTAACCGTGTAATGCCTTCACATGCGCTGTCAGTAGTGCGTTCAGATGTCCTTCCCTGTGGTTTGTCCCCAACTCTCTGTTTGTAACCGTTGAGGGGGGTACTTGTGCACAGAAGTCATGTATGTTAACCCATACTATAACTTGTTATTGCCACTTCACTTTATCTTCAATGGGGACAACACTGCCAACATGGGACCCCAATGGAAACAAGGCTCTGCGCAATTGGCTTTTTGGGATATCACTGATAAAATCAACCGTTTGGTGTATTTCTTTTGGGGGGGGGGTAATCTTTATATTGTTATATGTAATGTATGTCGTTGATTTCATCTGAATAAAGAAATAAATAATAATAACATCTTGTGCAGTACCTTAATAAGTGTTATCTGGTACTGAGTCAAGCTTGTTTGGGTGTACAGGATTGGGGGTCTTGATGTGGATTACCATGGGAGATTATCCCTACTAGACAGTTGTAATAGTTGTGTATATATCTTAAGGCGTAATCGTAGTATTTGTAATAAGAGGCACAAAGATATGGATTAGCCTTCAACTTTGCCCATATAAGGCAGCAGTAGTGGTAGTGATAGCACAAGTCATACAAGGATAACAATATGTATATATTTACAATACTGGTGAGATTTTGGGGTGAGAAAATTGGATCCAAATTGAATAACCTTCTTGTTCCCTTTTGGTCTTTTTATTGTTTTCTCATGTGCGTACATAATTGGAGATTTAAAGGAGATAACTTTATGACCACTGGACGTGGGAATTACTTTAATTTTATCAGTTATTTAGTGTGAAAATAGGGCACAAAATTGGACACCAAAATGTGACATGCAACATAAGGGGTTAGAACTCTTCTATTTCCTGATAAACTGTTATTTATTTTACTTCTTTGTGGCAACTGATTTTTTTTTTCCATAAAAGGTTCTTGTTATAAATACCAGAAGTTCCTGTGGAAAATACTTGAAATTTCTGAAAGAATTGAGGAAATAAGAAAACTGTAACGATTGTAACATTTGCTGTCCCACGTTACAAAAATAACATGGGCATAACAACAACTGAAAACAGACATGTCCTGATTGAAAGTGGAGTGATTGTGAACCATCAGCAGTTAGGACATATTGTTAAAAACTTTTTATTGTCTCCATGTGCTTTCCATGTACAAAAAAAATCATGTTAAGAAAACACAGATTACTTTGGTGTCCAACTGTTATATACGTAACATTTCATTATTCCTCCTACATAAATCAGAGTGAAGCAAATTGAAACAATTCGCATGCACCTATTCTTAATATAAATTTAGAATAGGTGCATGGTTGAACTTTGGTGTCCACACAATTGATACATGTTACACAGCAAAAGGTGAAATTTTTAAAATAGGCTACATTTTACATCAGATTTAGATTACTTAGCTTGCAAAAATAAATTTGTAAAGAATCTTCGTTTCAATGTTCATTTTTAGCCTATTCCATAAGTCTCTGTGGTTTAAGGGTCTTACATGTTTTGTGGATGTTGTGTCTTTTGTTATGTACGTTAGATATTATGACATTAGTGTCTAATAAATATCTCCCAACATGGTACCGGTATGTACATAAGTGTTGTTTATAGCACAAACAGGACACCATGTTACGTACGTTACATTTGAATTTCAGAAAATAAATAACTATGAAAACTGTCCTTTGGGTTGAACTTGATAAACTATCTTTACACTTTTAAGTTGCCTCTTACACATATCATAGATTAAAATAAACACAGAAATTTTACTGCTTTTTTGTACTCAATTTTTTGAGATGTCTGTCACACTTTAGTGACCCAGTATCTGAAACAAACACATATAGCAGAAAATTTGAGGTATCATGCAAGATAAACATGTTGAAATGGAGTTGCTTAAAAAGCAGGGAATCCTTTTCAAAGCATGAGGGTTTACATCATTACTCAGAAATAAAAGAGTTTTTATGATCCTAAGAAACAGTGTGTCTTTGTTACTGAATTAAAATGAGAAAGAATGACTTTTGAGATACCGGCAACGTTTAGTAAGGTGGACTTAAGCCCTAAACAATATTAGTGATTAAATTTACAAAAACTAAGTTCTCCCTAACATTGGTCCTAGTTGTTAGTTGTTTGTTAATTCCCCCCCCCCCCCCACTCCCCACTCCCCCCCCCCCCCCCAAAAAAAAACCTCCCCCTCCCATATTCGAATACCTAAACCTTGCTCAATTACGACATTTAATGGTAGGTTACTTTCTGTGTACTAGAACATGTACATGTACATCTTGGTGATAAACAAAGCATGCCTGCTTCCCCCCCCCCCCCCCCTCATCGCAAAATGAAACAAGCCTTTGACCTAAAACTCCTTTACATACAACACGCTACATGGATCATGAAGTTGTACAGTTGATGTTCAAACATGCAATACTAGCAGATTGTGCACAGGCAAATGCAACCTACATGTACATTGTATAATTGTATGTACATACACGTGTACACTTCAACTTCAGCCATATTTACATTCTACACTGCACAGGTGAGTGTTATTCCATTCTCAATCAAATGATTTCATGTATGATACCAAATGTTAATTGTTCAAAACACCACCATTACACACACAGGCTTATGTACGTTGGGAACTGGTACAATATTCAAAGCTTTTGAAAAAGGTGTGTTTCATGGTATCAGAAACTTAATACACAATTTGAAACTCAATCTATTTCACCTCGGTCTTATCAGCAGGTTATTAGAGGCTGATACTCACAAATTACAAAATGTACTCGTACTTTGCAACTCTCCGTAACTTACTGCAGTTACAATAAACCCAGAGATTGGATTGTACATTATTGTAATCATGACCTTTGAATTTACAATGTTTGCACAAAAATGGGGCTGAAGTCTACTTCTCCATTTTGCAGTGAGGAACCTGTTGCAAGCTTGAACCAACCTGTTGATCTGTAGGCAATATGTACGTTTTCTCTATCGAGTGAAGTGAAAGTTTAGAGTAATGCAAATTTTGATTATTTGGGAGAGAAGCCGTTACAGCTTTTACTTGTAACCCCATACCTAATATGTACAAACCACACAAAATGCAACACAATTGTTGTGTGATACCATGGTAGTTTTTGTTGGTGTTCAAATGGTACTTTTTATATCTTTCTATTTCAGGACAATGGCAGGCATCAGTGCTGCGGGCGTGTTGGAGAAGATCAGCCAGGGACACCTTGAGTGCCCGATTTGTTTCTCTCGATTCACAAACCCCAAGATTCTGAATTGCTTGCACAGCTTCTGCCAAAGATGCCTGGAAAAAATGATGGAAGGTCATTCTCAGCAGCGAGAGATTACCTGCCCAGTCTGCAGGCAGCAAATGGTCTTATCAGAAGCAGGAATTGCAGGGATTGCCAACAACTTTTCTCTAATGGCACTGGTGGATGAGGTCACCCAACAGGAAGAGCTGGTCAAAAGTCAAAGATCGAAGATCATTTGTGAGGTGTGTGATGAACAAGTAGAGGCAATTGTAAGGTGTTTGGAGTGTAGGGAATACCTCTGTGAGGCATGTCACAGTGCCCACAGTCGAAACAAGAAAACCAAGAATCATGAGACGGCATCAATTGACGACCTGCACTCGGGAAAGGTACCTTACCAAAGTCGCCTTTGGAATGAGGTTCCTAAATGCCCAAAGCATCCTTCCCAGGATCTCTACTTCTTCTGTGAGACTTGTACGACCCTGATTTGTGCTGCATGCACTGCTCTTGACCATAAAGCACCAGACCATAAGTTCTCTGATATTTCAAAAGCAACTGCCCTCTGTAAAGAAAAATTAGATGGGCTTGAAAGAGAGGCAGAACAACATTTGGCAAACTTAAGAGATGCTAATGCAACAGCAGCAAACTCATACACCAATCACAAAGTCCTAACCACAGAAATCCAGTCTGCAATTTCTACAAAAGCAGACGAAGAAGTTGCTAAAATCCGCAAGGTTGAACGTCTGTTAAAAAATAACCTCACTCAGCTGTTTCACAACAAAGACAAAGAAATTGAGGGTAAAATGGTAAAATACAGAGAAAGAGTGGAAAAGATGGAAACAACAATGGAAAGCGTGCGAACAGTCAGGTCCCAGGCTAATGACTATGATCTGCTCAGACATCAAGAGAACATTCTACAGAATATACAACTGGCAACTAAAACTGGCACTCCTGACCCTGTGCAGGGTCTGACACATGAAGATATACAGCAATGTAAGAACTTCACAGACAGCAATCTAGGTAATAAACCATTTGTATTAATATTGCTATTAAATTTGGAGTGATTAATGATAATTATGTTTAAAATTGAAACTCAGTGGTGGACTGGACTCCAATAATCCTTTTCTCAATATTGGTGCACATTATCATAATCACAGCTGTATGATACACCCTTTAAAGTGCACCATACAGCTTAAAGGTAGAGTATCATTTGACATTTGCATTTTTTTCATTTAAAGCAACAAAAGTGCTCAAAATCTGAAGAAGGGGGCTTAATAACCTGATGGAGTTTAGCTCACTGAACGCTGAATATTCCGAACAAACAATATTCTAGGATCTCGATTTCAATTCAAAAGGTGCCGAAATCAGCGTCCAGGACATGTTCTCATTTAGCTGATTGCAGCCACGCAGTTTTACGCACTGAACTGATGAATTATAGCTACCGCACACACATGTGCGTCGTGTCAATGCTTGCGTGCACCTATTCATGGCTTCGCTGAATTAAACGGAAACGCATCTTTGGAAACCCCCTTCTTTTACTGTGTTCTTCAAAATGACAGCTTGCCTCAAAGAGTAATTTCACAGGGAGTTTAGTGCTGCTACTATCTTTAAACCAAGTATGCTTTTCACCAAATAATTTTGTCAGTTACTTTTTGGATAGCTACAAATAATATACTCTACCTTTCAAGCATTCGAAAAAACCAGACCGATATCCTCTGAATTTGAATGTTTGTTAACCCTTTTACCAAAACAATTACATTATAAATACTTTTCTTATTACTCAGAAGAACCTCCCAGTACCAAAAGCACCGACCTTAAAAAATATTCTGATTTGATCATGGACACTGGTGAAGTTATAGTCTCCCATCCTGGGAAATGCACTGCCTGCGGTCAAAACCTTGATACCAAAGGTAAGTAAAATCACATGATTTTTTTTCCTCAATAACTTTTCAACCAACTAACAGTGTGAAATGTTCGGCATGAATTGTATCGTCTTTGGCAGCTTTTTTTTCACATCAAGTTCATTTCAAATTGATTGAACACAAACTTTCACTCTGAGAGAAGCACACTAGTGTAAAGACTTACAAAACAAAGATCTGTTCAAGAGCAACACAAGGCATTTGTTGCATGGCTTTAATAACTCTTGACAGCCAAGGAAGGACGCTTCGAATGTACTCATGTCTTATGCAGATGACACATCACATGCAGATGGCACTGAATACATTGTAGGTCTGACTCATTTTCAAAAATAACATGCACCGAACCTATGTCTGTGTGACAGAAAAATTATGCACATGAGTATGGGGCTCATTGCAATAACACACAATAACAATTCTGCAGTTACCACTGAAGGCATGATATGAATGAAGTCTAAATTTCCATTTGTTTCCCCGTGCATTTTCATTAACAATGCGACACTAAATTATGCACCCTTAAGCCAGCCTCAGGTCAACCAGCAATAAATTGCTTGCCCCACGACGGAACCATCAGCATCAAGCACTAATTTCATGCTCAGATCACAAAACTGAGAGATCACATGATTATCGTGGAACAAGCAGCATCTTGACACAGAATAATTGCAACCATGCTCGTGTCACCCACGATGGGACGACGATTCATAATAAAATGATCCGGATGCGCACCGGACATAACTTCACACAGGTCGACTGCGATTGAATTACGCCTATCGGGAATACATTCCGTCGCAGTGCAGAAGTTGACATTTTTCTACTCTTGCGACTGTTAATTTGTTTTTAGTGCCAACTGATACCGATCATCTTGATATTGTAAAAATGAATAAAACTGCTGCAAACTTGACATGAAATATACCCCAAAAAATTAAAGCGGCCAGGCAGTATGATCTTAATAACAAGATCTGTTTCAGAGGCAAAATATTGTCATAGTTACACTCAGAGTTATATTGTTACAGTTACACTCACCGTCGTTGCAAAAAAATTAGCAACTGATATGTTCCCGACAGTCATAGCTTAGGCACAGATTGATCCTGAAAAGGCAGTCGCTGACTGTTGTGTGTTGTTGCAAGGTCAACCTATGGGCAGCTTTGTGTATTGATAGAGTTGGCAAAATTTGGTTGAATTTTTCAGCCTTTACCAATGACATGACATGAGCTACGTGACCAATTATTGATGTGCAATGGGTACAGACTCCATTTCATGTCACAGGGGCAGACATGTCATGTGTGCACACTAGTTCGAGCGCGTATTATGTAAGTTCACATGACTAATTCTATTTTGAATTTGTACAAAACCACAGCGTCTTCGTGTGAGCCAAAGGTGTTGTCAATGATGCATTCGAATGTTCCTCCCAAAGGTATCACCATCTTTCCCTTTTAATAATTTTTGGTCAAATTTGATTAATAATTTCATTTGTACAATTTTTGTTATGCACTATCTGAATACTAATCAAGTGCATATAGTATTCTCCAGTCTTTGTTTACATACATTGAATTATAATTATTTGGAAAAGGGGCTGATAGTTTTGTAATTCTACTTAAGGAATGAGTTTGTAAAAACTTCATCAAGTTTTTGCTAGAAAAAATGTATTACCTCCGATGACCAAATTCTATTCCTTCTGCAATTCGATTTATTTGGTCATCAAAAGGTTTCACCCCAAAAGCACCAAGGATGAGTGGACCTGAACAAGCTAGGAGAATGAAGGTTGGCACTAGGGTCATACGGGGACCTGATTGGTGTTATGGTAATCAGGTAAAGCACGTTCGTCACTTTGTGAACATCTCATGATCTGTATTTAAATTGAAAACATATTTTGAAAGGTGCCTTGTAGACTGAAATGATTTAGTAAGCAACACCTTAAAAGAGTTGTTTTTAAGGATTTAGTTAATTTTTTGAAGGGATCATGAATTGCTATCACACAGCTGTAGGAATGTAGGATAGCAGTTCACTGGCAACTGCGCCCTCTAGCTTACAGCAGATGTTCATGAAACAACATCCTGAAATAAATTGAGCTGTCCAGAATATTCCAATATTCCAATATTGGATCATTAACCAAATATTCGAATAGCTTTTTGCTGGTTTGAATATTGGAAAAGAACTATTCACAAAAAAGTCAACTGGCATTAACTTGCAAGGTAATTATTCGAACTATAAAATCCCCAAAGAAACTCTCAGGTAGAACAATAAACTTAAATTTGTGCAACCATTTACATAACTTCCTCGGATTAGAAGAAATTTAAGTTTATCTGTTTTTTTTCCCTTGGAGATTGTCAGTGCACTGCCCCAAAGGGCACACAATGTTTACAGTTCAATGTACAAATAGTACCGATCAACTCACAAGTTGTTTGTTACTGACAAATTTTGGAAATACAACAGGAAAGGCTAACAGACTTGTGATACATTTGTTTTCATTTCTCTCTTGTAGGACCTTCCAGAAGGCAGGGTAACATGGATAGAGGATGGCCTTGTCGACGTAGAATGGTCGTCAGGATCGGAAATTGAAAATTACCGGATGGGAGCAGGGGGAAAATATGACCTTCAAATGGTCAAGTATGCAGACGATGAATTTTCATACTAACAATCTAGACAACCAGCCTGAAAACTGAAGTTCTCAACAAAACAAAATTGTTATTGTGTTACTTCATCTAATGTTCTCTAGATATTTCCTATTCTGCCAGATACACGTACATGTAACTCCCTGATCTAGCAACGAGTCACTGATTTTCGTGGCTCGAGTCGGACTCGAGTCGAGTCATTGACTGGAGTCGGACTCGAGTTGAGTCATTGACTTGAGTCATTACGACTCAGAGTCACAAAACAATTTTGTATGACCTACTCAGGTCCAAATATGGTTCACATTCTTACCATTACACTCACTAATATTCGGTAGATAGTTGGTGAGAATATGACTAACTTGTAGTCCTATTATCTGTGAATTTGCTTTCTCTGTGAGGTTCACGTACAGGTTTTAATATACAGAGGTTCTGATTATATATTATATTACCTGCAGTATAGACTGCATGCATGTACAGTTAATGCTGCTTTGTGGTCACGTTTGAAAGCCCCAGTGGGATCAGGGACACACCATGGTTGGCAAGCATGTGGTGCAATGGACTCACGATTATTTCTAGTCTTAATCTACCCAAACACTGTAGCGCCTTGCATGAACGTCATGCGCTGTCAGCAATGTATTCAGATGTCCCTCCCAGTGGTCTCCCCATACTCTCTGTTTGTAACCATTGACAGGTACTTGAACAGAGTTCATCAACCCATACTTCTATTACATTTCTTCCTGCCACTTCAATTAATCTTAAACGTGAAAAGATTGTCTACATCTTGTGTTTACCTTTATTGTGTACAGGAATTGGGGATCTTGATGTGGATTACCATGTGAGATTATCCGAAGGGAGGATCCTGGGGGGGGGGGGGAACCAACGGGGGCCATGCCCCCCCCCCCAAAAAAAACTTTGTTTTAAGTGACGTCGCAATTAAGGCAGGCCCTGCGTGCACCACCATCTTTTGCACACACAAAAAAGTTAAAGTGGTCAGAAAATCATGCGGCCTCAGATGGCACCACAGATCATCTTGAATCCAAAACATTTTTGAGGCCCTTAAGCAGGCCCAGAACCCCATGCCATAATTTTTTTGGACCCACTTTTAGGGGACAAAATTTTTTTTTTGGCCCCTCCCCCCCCCCAAAAAAATTGTTCTGGATCCGCCCTTGAATTATCCCAGACAGGTGTAATAATTGTGTATATATCCAGTAACTGATTTGTATTAAGAGGCACGAGAGATGGTTAGGGGCGAGTCGGCCAGGGGGCGAGTTGACCTGACACCCACTAGAGGCCTACATGGATTAGCCTTCACCTTTGCCCATATCAGGCAGCAGTAGTAGAAGTGATAGTACATGTAGTACTTGAGGATGAATTTATAGCAAGAAATGTGAGAAATGCAACTGTGGCAGGGCCAAGTTTAACTTGTACATTTTCTTTTTTTAGTGTATTTGACATTATAGGAGTAGCTCCCCTTAGAAAAGAAAACCATTTAGTTTTAGTTTAGTTTAGTCGCCCCCTTTCTCTAACTGTGTGTCCCCTGTTTGTTTTTTTTAGCCCACAAGTGCCACATGGCCAAGCCACATTTAGTTTATATAGTTCAGTCAGCAGACCATAGCTGAGACAAATTAACAAACTCCTACCTGGAGTTTGGAGTCCTGTTTTGGTTTGTCTGTTTGTGGAGTCATGGATTTGGCCAAAGTGTACTTAAAGATCTATTAATTGACACTGCGTTGGTTTTATAATGGGTTTTACAGTTGGCTGGTTTTAGTCTTAGATTTTAGTTTAAAGAACTGGTTTTTGGTTTCAAATTTCTGGTTTTAGATTATTTTGGGGTTTTTTAATCTGCTTTTAGTTTCATGCAATCATTGAAGATACAACTTTGCGTCCCATTTAACCTTATTTTCAATTTTTATTTTGCCATTTTTAAATGGTATATTGTGCCATTTTGGTTTTTATGTTAATGCAAATGTCCATATTCATGAGCAAACCTGTAATGTCACTCCAGGCAGAAACCTCAATGTTACAGCTATTTCAGCACAAAAAGTTGCTAGAAATTTTGATATTTTACTGTCGTTAATGTTCTTTCCTTTGGTGATTTGTTGTTGTGTCACGGTACATGGCAGTAGCCAATAAGCAGCCCTTTCTCACAAACGTTTTCAATGAGCAAATTTTGGGTTCACAATTTGAACAGAAAACCCCTAAACTGAACAAGTGTCTTCCTGAAATTACATCACAGCAACAGCGCCCTCAGTTGTCCTAATAAGCATGGAAAATTTGAAATGTTTACATAGTTTTCATACAATTTGAAATGTCATATAGTTTTCATACATTTCAGAAGAGCAGAAACTTAGGAAAAATTCATTTCACGGATCCTTTAAGCAATGGGTTTTAGTCTCAGTTTAGTTTCTTTCGGTTTTCATTTTTAGGATTTCGTTAAGTTTCTGATTTTAGATTTTTTGCTCATTAAGTTTCCATTCTTTTTATTTTCTTTTTTTTTTGGTTTTAAGTTTCCGCTTTTAGATTATTTTGTGTTTTCTTCTTATTGATTTTGATCTTTCTTACTTCTGAGATCATTTCTGGTTTTAGTTTTGATTTAGTAACTTCACCAACTTTTCTTAAGTCCTGAAGTTTTTGTAAATAAAATCCTTTTTTTTCTCTTCTAAATCTAGAATTTTGTCTCTTTATGAAATCAATTTCCTTGCAACTGTTCCCTTCAAAGGTCCTGAGTTTAGTTTAGTTGTAGTTGTTTTAAAGTGTGAGTTCCCATAGTGTGCTATTTTTCCAGGTTACTTGATTTTTGTTTTGCCACACAAGATAAACATGTGTTTATGGCACCAGAAATGTTGAAATAGTGAAACTTAAAAAAAACATGGAATCCTTTTCATAGCATGAGGGTTTACATCCCTGACAGTTGTAGATGTAAGAGATTGCTCATTAATCAGAAATAAAACGGTTGTTATGATCCTAAGAAACAATGTGTCTTTGTGAGGTTTATTCAGGTTTCCTGTGATAGACCTCATGCGTAAGAGCAAAGTCAGAGGGCAGAGGTTTTGTATTGCTTATAGAAATGAGTAATCATTGTGTGCATTCATTGTTAGGCTAAGTTAAAAAAACATGTTTCTCGTCCCCGCCCGCTTCCTTTTTGGAGGCTGCCTGGATTTTTTATTATTTTTTTTTTTGGAAAAATGTAGTAAAAAAACACCAAAAAAGTCCACAAATTCATCGGAAAATAAATACCAATACCAATACAACTCTAAATGACATTGTAAATTTATATGTTCAGTTCTCTTGTCCAACTTTTCTTTCATTTCTAAAAGTGTCTTTGAACAGTGGAACACCACCGGCTGCAGGAAATTTCAAAATGGCGGCCCTCTTGAAAAAAAATTAAAAATAAAAGGCCCCACTTCCTCCCTTTTTTCAAAAACCCCGGACGAGAAACATGTTTTTTTTTTATTCGGCCTTACTGAATTGAAATAACAAAGAACAGCCTTTGAGATAACTATGACGTTAAGTGAGGTGAACTTACGCCCTGATCCCCTCTACTCCCACCCCACATTTGTGTAGCTACTAACCCTTATTATGTCTGCATCTTTTTGACAAACAGAACATGCCTGCCCCCCCCCCCCCACCACAATATAAAACAACCTTTGACCTCCGAACTCTTTTTACATGTACAGTACCAGTGGAAAACACCCTGTGTCTTGTTTTAAAAGGAACTTGAGACACACGTGACCAGCTTCCAACAGCTTCACACCCATCGCTATCAATAAAAACTATTATTAATTTATAATGCACGATCATCAATTGGAACGCTTTACCAGAACCCATCACTACAATCCAAGACAAGAAGAACTTCAAAGAAGCAGTACGCAACTACCTAAGCCAGCAAAACAAACAACTCATCACTCTCTCCGCGATTTTACCAAGCCACCGAACCCTGCCCGGTTGGCCCCTATATTTAGGGGTGTTACACAGTATCGCAACACAGTATCCCAACAAGACAAGAGTTTGTAATATGACATGTTGCATGTGTTTGGTGCAAAATGGATCAGTGCACAAACTGTAAGAAATTCTAAAAGTCACAATACATGTTCAATCATGCAATGTATAGTGGCAAACTGTGCACTGGCAAATACAATGTACCGTACTTGTACACTTCAACTTCCGCCATCGTCACATTTCTAAGCTTGCACTGGTGAGTGTTATTCCACTTTAAATCAATATTTGTGTTTAAAGCACTACAATGTACTATGCCAAAACAGGCAGGCAAGCATACTTTAGAAGTGAAATATTAAAGGCTTTTGAAAGTGTGTGTTTCACGGTATTGTGCGCTGGAAAACAGTATATAGATGCTGTACCAATGTACATATAATTTGTAACTGCACAAGTTTGCACATTTCTGGTCTCATGTATTTTTTACCAAAATATGATGTCGTTGGGGTCATGTTATTTGCGGGTCTAAACTGTTGAATTTTTTTTTTACAAAGTCAGCAATTATACCTAGATTTATTTCTAAGGAAATTCATTATTGTGGAAATTTAAAATACTTCCCTCAAGAAACTTTTGGTATAATTCCCAACAAACCTCAGAATTTTTCCGATAACTTTAGGTTATAATTTACTTTGACAGCATTTCGACAACCAAAAAAAATAACCATGGCTGGATTGAGTGCCGAGACTGTACTAGAGAAAATCAGCCAGGGGCATCTGGAGTGTCCAATTTGCTGCGATCGATTCAATCAACCCAAGATTCTGAACTGCCTGCATAGCTTCTGCGAGGACTGTCTGGAGAAAATGGTGGCTGGTCATCCTGGTAAGACAGAGATTATGTGTCCGGTCTGCCGGCAGCAAACTGTCTTGCCAGAGAAGGGCATTGCTGGAATTCTCAACAACTTTTCCTTGTTGGCTCTGGTGGATGAGGTCACCCAACAGGAAGAGCTGGTCAAGGGTCAACAGTCTAAGATCATTTGCGAGGAATGCGAGGAACAAGAGGAGGCGACCTCCAGGTGTTTGGAGTGCAGGGAATACCTCTGTGAGACATGCCACAGCGCCCACAAGCGAAGCAAGAGAACCAAGAATCACGAGACGGCGTCGATTGACGACCTGCGCTCAGGAAAAGCTACTTTTGAGAGTCGGTTGAGGACCGAGGTGCCAATATGCCAGAAGCACACTTTCCAAGAGCTCATCTTCTACTGCAAGACCTGCGCTTGTCTCATTTGCTCAGCGTGCACGGCTCTGGATCACCGGGCCCCGGACCACGAGGTGTGCGACATCGCCGACGTTGTCACACCTTGCAAGGAGAAAGTGACAAAACTTGTCGAGCAGGCAGAGGGGTGCCTTACCGGGTTCAAAGCCGAGAAAGCAAAGGCTCAGAAGGCATACACCAAGCACAAGAATCTGACTGCGGGAAAGCTGGATATCATCACCGAGAAGGCCGAGTTGGTAATAGCACGGATCCGCTGTAATGAATATTTGCTGAAGGATAAAGTCGTCCAAGTCTGCAGCAAGCAGGACCAGAACTTTGAAGACACTCTCGCAAGACACGAGGAAAACATTAAGGAGACAAGCAATGCAGTGGAGAGGGTGAAAACTGTGATGGAACAACTCAACAAGTTTGACCTCCTAAAGCTGCAACAGAGTCTGTGTAAAAACCTTGAGGATGCAACAAAGAGGACTGCTCCTCCTCCTGTATGGGAACTGATGCAGGAGGACTTCAAGCAGAGTGATAATTTCAACCCCGCAGAACTGGGTACGTTATGTCAAATATTCTTAACAATTTTTTACTGGACTTGTTATTACACATATTTTTTTGTGGAATTGAATGGTCCTAAAAATGCCTCTAAAATGACATTTGAAAGCTTAATATAAGAAACATGGAGACAATACCATGATAAAGTGCTCTGCTGTAGGGGAAGGAAAGAAAACCAACCTTAACCCATCGGAAAAACATGTGGAAATAGGCTGGGTTAATTGAAAACAATCTCCACATGGTTAGCCGAAGGCTTTAAACCCATATTACAAGATGAAGAAAAGCCAATCTTAAAACCACTGATCAGTCAATACTGCAATTTTGAGTGTTATAGTTCTCGACAGAAAAAAAAGTGTTTCTGACACAAACTGCAAAAAAATGTTCTCGACAAAGACATTTTGCTTTTTTCATTTGATATCACGGTAAATGTATTACTAACGTGAAAACAAATTTTCCTAGCCAATTTAAACAATGTATGATATTTTTCATCATGAAGTATATCATGATGACGCCCAAGTTTACTGACACTTCATCCATTTTCAAAAAGTGTGAAATTTTTCACAAATCCTTCAAACTCTCTCAAAAAGCGAACACCACCCTTCCCTCCCATAAACATTAATAATAATTTAATAATATTTGGTACATTCCAGACATCCTGTTTGGCGAAAAGCCACTTTCGGTTCCTGAACAAGTCAAAGCCATGAAGGTTGGGATAAAAGTGGTGCGAGGACCCGATTGGGAATGGGGCAACCAGGTACCGTTATTTTACGACTGAATGTGTGATAAATTACTGGAATTGGCCACTGATCTCTATAGAAAGACTGGATAGCGGATAAAGAGCCGCACAATGAATGAATTTGACGCCATATTGGTGAGACCAGTGAGATCGGCTGGTGATCTACAAAGGACAAGTTGCCGTCTTTATAGTTCATAGCCAGCATGATTTCTTTTGTAACATCGCAGTTCACTTGACTTATATTTTGACGACCACCACCGACCAACTGGTTTACAATTTTTCTAACGTCGTGGTTTACTTTTTTAATGCCGCAATTCACTTTTTCGGCGTTTTTGAAATAATAATCACTACGGAAATGTGTCCTTTTTAGAACACCATATTATGTGTACGTGACCAAAATGCGCGTCAACTGTTGATACAATGTGCGCTGTATATACGTGTAGAACGTTCATATTATATGCAGCCACCTTCGTGAGACCGGGAGCCAATCGGTCAATATGCAAAGTCTACTGTGTGAATGGTGTATGGATATCCGCTATCCAGTCTTTATATTGAGATCAGTGGAATTGGCCCTAATTTTGTGAGAGTTTAATAACCAAATAGAACATTCCTTGTACTCAACCAATGAGACACCATAGCTCACACAAATTAACAGTGTCTCTGCAATCTTGAATCCATCTCAAGTATGAAAATTCAGAGTAGGTTTTTGACAGACTTTTGATGGTCGTGAGGGTTCAAGAGTGTTTAATACTTGCATGAAGTATGGCACTCATATTTTGTGTCAAGACAAACTGAAGTCTTCAACACAGAAATTGTGTACATGTTGTTCACTTTGTCAATATATAGTGAAGTTTCTTCTAATCAGATGGCAATATATTTAAGATGGGTAGGTCCAAGGGGGAGTGTGGCCTAGTGGTTAGGGTTCGTGAGTCATGATCAGAGGGTCGGGGTTCAAATTCAGCTGCTGGTTATATGTTGTGTCCTTGGGCAAGTCACTTCACCCCCTCTCCACCCAGAAGTATAAATGGGTACCGGTGTAGCGTGAATATCCGACTCCATGAAATGTGGACTCATTGGTAGTATTGCGCACGCGTGAGTACGATACTATGCTATTTTTAGGATCGTGTCAGGAGAGTGACCTGTCACGTGCGAGGGATTATCCAATAATAGGGAAAAAGGGGTCCGATTTTCATAGGAGTCGGATTTTCATGTGACACCGGCATTAGCTGGGGAGTAACCTGCGATGGACTAGCATTCCATCCAGGGGGATTAGAAATATTCTCAGTCGTTTCATGCTACTGAAACCGGAGATAAACACCGGCCTGACGGGCCACATCTGCTCGCGACAGACTTTACTTTTTACTTTAATCTAAGTAAAGCTTTTCCTGTTATGGTGGGTTTTCTTATCACGTTCAATGGAATTGATTTAGATTTTTTTTTTTCAATAACTAGACAAAATGAGAATTGGTGTAAACTTCTGAGAGCATCACTGACACTTGAAATTTTGTCTCTCTTCATACTATTTAAAAATCGTACAAACTCAGAAAAGTAGAAAAATCAGGAATTGGAACGAACTATTTTTTGGTTGATTTTTTTTTAAATTGCAGGATGGCTACCCGCCCGGTGAAGGAGAAATAAGCCAGGAGCTGAATGCCAATGGCTGGGTCAAAGTTCGCTGGGCCCACCACCGTACGATGCACATGAACTATCGGATGGGCGCCGAGGGGAAGTATGACCTGCAACTTGCTATGCAGAAAGACTTTGGTCTATAAATCCAAGTTAAATAAGTGCATGGACTCCCTGCGAAATTACCCCCGACATTGCTGAAAGGATTTGTTGATATGTAGGACCATTGGACCCCATCTTTGATGATTATAGAAATGATTATAGATACAGATGATTATACAAAAGGTTAATAATGCACATAAAGTGTGAACCGTAGCCGGTCATTATGCACTTATTGACTGACAATGAGGGCCCTAGTGTCATTTATAACACACGTCTTGCTAGTTCTTTATCCTGGTTGGCTGAAACACGGTCACGTGTGGTTCACTAATTAGGCTAGTGCATGTAATTTGCATCAGCATGAACTGGACGTGCGTCAAGACATCACGCGTGCCTAATTTCCGTAGAAGAGTGCCCGATTGGGCACTATACTTTACACCATTTGTGTTCTCATTTTGACACATCAGAAATAAATGTCATACTTACGAAGAAAACGGATCCGCCTCCTCCATTGCTGGGTACTGGGTTCTTAAAGAGGGATTTCTTGGCTACGAGAATGCCCGGCGTTTCCACTCCCCCGACAAACTTGTGAGGAGACAAAAACACTGCGTCCTTGTATGCAAGGGAGCGTTCATCACCACTTTGAATTGAAAAAACAGATGAGAAAATATCAATTGAAATGTTGGTGAAAAAGTGGGGTAAATCTGTGCCTGCGAGTGGGGGGGGGATGGGGCATGACCAAAATCCAAAAATTGCCCGGCCGTAGAAATTCAAAAAGGGCAGGGGGCGGACACCACATTACACTAGGGGCTAGGGGGCGCTCTTCAGGATATAGGTGTATATCAATACATGTATACTCGCGCTTGCCACAAAACGGTGCATTTTAAAAGCTTTGTCCTTTGTTTCTCCACTTTTCAGTGCTATGGAATACACCTCAAAATCCACATTTTTTTTCTCATCATGAAAAAGTAGGGGGGGGGGAATGATTCAATAGCCCATCACCCAGTCAAAAAAGGGGGGGGGGGGAATATATACCCCCTCCCCCCAACTTACGCCCCTGTGGTAAAGATATTCTTTACAGATTTGCAACCTACATATCCCACGAAAACAATAAAAGCAAAACTTACAATGTTGTTACTGGATTCATGTTGATGTCTACATAAGGGCCGGCAGTGGCGTAATCCCAGAATGCCATGGCTCCGTAACGATGTAACATCACTGTCACCTTGATGTCATCTGTCAGGATACCAGTGACATTAGACGCAGCAGAGAAGCAGCCTATTAGCTGGCGACCGGACGTGTGCCATTTCTGAAACGAGCGAAATCAGGCAATGAGAAATGCGCTGATCTGCTGCCAACTAAACCTAACTGTTTAAATATTTAATAAAAGGTTTTTGTTTTTTTTCAAAACATTTTTTTACAAACTTTGAAAAGCTCAGACAAAATTAGACAAAGTTAAACTACCCAAAATCAAATTAAAAATATAAAGGCATTAATTTTAAATAAACAATCATTTAAAATGGACGTTATGATTGATAATTATTTAGTACATTGGTTGACATGGATCCTGAAGCATTGGACAAAATAATTTCACTGTTCATCCATATTATTTTTCCACATGTGCACCATCCAATGAGATACAGGTTTGAAGAAAAAAACCACAAGACCAAAGGGAACATTTTTTTGGTAAAAAGGTTCAAAACGTGAATTGTTTGTAATTGACAGAGTGCATGTAGTCTAATCAAAGTATATAAAGTCATTTAATATACCTTTATCATACTGCCACCATTTCAGTCATGTTCCCTGTATCCAATAACAGTACTGAATGTTTTTTGTGTAAAAAGGGACCAGACTATTTTTCTTTCCAGCCTCGCTTTGGTTACGTTGATTTGAATGGGGAAAATAATCAAGACGGCCGCAATATGATAATGGTCTATTGGATATCTGTTTACCTTGAGTTCTGCTTCCAAACAATTCATATCAACAAGGCCATCTCCGTTCTCAGGAATTCTGACAACCTAATAAAAAATGTAAACCAAAAGAAAAATGAGTAAAACGAGTTTCCAATTAGTTTGGATTGACGCGCTTATCTTGTCATTCTTTTGTACAAAGCATTTCTTGTGTAGAAATTCAGTACTTTAAACAGATTTTAGACTGATCCAACTTAGGAAACACTGATGATTATTTTGTAAAACAAATATGACATGTGTCTGACTTATTTGGCCACGGCTCGAAATTACATGCAAGTCTATGGGAAGCGGCTACAGCCGTCTGCCATAGACTCGTGTGTTATTTGAAGCCGCAGCCAAGTTATTCAGACATGGCTTGGCTACCTCTGCTGCAGTCTCCCTCCATGGCAGTAAGTTGGAGTGATGCTCATATGGACCGACGAACACAACCTTATTGGGTGAAGAAAAAATAAATTGCAAAAGGAATTCAGAACATATCTCCATGTGAAATACATCCAAGTGAATTGATCTCTTGAGAAACTCACAACTGGTGCAATGATTAGTTTAAATAAATCACATTTGTTTGCATGCTTTCTCTTTTAAAATTCTATAAATGCATCCTCATTTTTCCTGTCCCCGTTACATCTGACTTCTATGATTTTATAATTCTGATGCACTCCTCAATGCAGTCGTCCTCCAAGAGGGATTATGAATAGCAAAATACCTACCCAACAAATAAAAAATTGTTTGAAGTAATTCTTAATGATACTAAAATGGCACATTACAAAGTACCAAGGTAACAGGGACAGGACTAATTTCACTTTTTGGAACCTAAATTTACAGAATGACTATATGAATATATGTTCTTCTGCAACAAAATAAATCATTGCCATTGTCCATTTTCCAGTATGATTTTTATATTCTCCGTTTTTCACAAAGGATTTGGGTATGTTAGGGTTTTAAGTTGGAATAAGTTTTAAGTGATATGACATCATACTCACTGGTGGTGCCTGCAGATTTAGGGAATGGATGAGTTTGTGCACTGCTGCTGTGCAACCTGTCCCGACAAAGATGACTGCATCGTGCTCACTGGCATTGACAGCATTGCGAATGATGTCTCTAAATTTGAGCAAAACATCATGGGAAAGACACTCATTGAAAAAAAATATCTCAAGAATTTCTTTTTATATGAAAAATATCAACACCAGATTCACCTAATCTTCCAAATTCATCAGAAAAACCAACTCTTTTGTCATTATAACAACTGTACTGTTCTACAGATCGGTTCACTCTCATAAAAATATGTAACGTGAGTAACCGATTTTGTGCATCTTGTTTATCATACATAACACATTTTTCTGGATGTCATCTTTGGTGCTTAGGTAGGTCTAGGTCTACTCTATTTACCATGGGGATAACAGTTATTAAACCTTTTCAGTAAGGTAAATACAGCCCAAGGAAACTCAAAAGTACATCAAAAATGTAATGTGAGTAACCGTGGAATTGCCTACAAGATATTTGGAATGGTAGCTTTATTTTGCTGAGAAATGTCTTCGCTGTAAAGCAAATCTTTAATGCTCAGCTACCAGAACTTTGGCCCCAATGCCTGATAAAAATTGGTCACTTATATTTTGTGTTTGTTGTTGTTCTTAATTTTGTTTTTGGAGAAATTCTCTACCTTGCTTCATGTCTGTACAGTGTGGTTTGTAGGGAGGTGACTGTGGTCGTGGTGTGGGTGTTGCCATACAGTGGCAGAACCTGGATGCTGATGTACTCTTCAATCATTTGCAAGGACCTATAAAGAAGATCATGTTGTATTAATGTTCTGACATTGAATGAAAATTCAGCACATGCTGACTGGTTTAGTTTTAGGGCATTTTTTTATCAAAATGATTTGAGTTTGGAGGCTGAAAAATTAACAATATATATCCATGATGCAAACAACATGTAAATAATGTAAAAGAATTTGGTCCACACACCACCTAATACTTTTACAAAATGTTACTGATATTTTTAATTTTTTTTGCCTCCAGGCTAGGTGATGCAAATTTGATATTGGGTTTCGCTGTTCATTGAAACAGACGCCAAACATGTCCCAAACTTTATGCAAGACCACAAAGGCAATTATGTGTTTAGAGCCCATTGTCACGAAAAGATCTCAGACGTATACACAGAGTACTGCAAAACAAAATGAAAAAAATCTAATGGCTAGATAATTTATGGTTAAATGAGTCTTCACAATTATGAAATAATCCAATAACTGAAAGTTTTTACTAACACTTTCAAGGGTTTCATCTTCACTAGTAATGAATTTCACAAGTTGTGTTGGTACAAACATTAATATCTGGCAAAACAAATGTAGCACCTCAGAAAATCAACGTTTCGAGAATACTCACCTACCAGAAGCTGTATAGTCACAATATACCACTGAAATCAAATAAAACAGTGACTAATTAATACAGAAATAATATTTTTTACAATATTACCAATAATGATGAGCTAATAATAAGGGTTTCCTGAATTCTGCATTGATTATGATTTTATGTGGACTGAAAAATTTCCTTTCATACACAGCTAAGCTTTCATTCTCCAGGACAAACAGGAATATAAAATGCTTGTCCTGCATTGTACATCCCCTTGAAACTACAGATTCAAAATTTCAGTATGCATTAAACACCAAGGATTACTAAAAGTCAAGCAACAGCCGCCAAGCCAGTCATGGATGCAATGGCAGCGCATGGAGCCAATGAGCTTTGCCACTTGTATAGTCTTTTTTCGTGTCCGGGTTAGCACATGCGCTTTGACTCAAGTCTACGTGGCTGACAGCAGAAACAATCCAGCACGCGCATGATCTTTTCGATGTTGGAATTTTGATACGCAAATGTGCACAAAAGAACCTGGAAATTACAGAAAAAAAGTCATCTGAGAAAGGCGGGACTTCTTTTCCATCACTTTAAAGAGGGGGAGTGTGCATTATAAGCGTAAATAAACTACAAAGGTAGTCTCAAATCAAATTTAGACAAAGTTCGACATTTTCAGGTACATGTTTCAAGTGTGGCCTTTATTTACAGTCCAGTAAATTGGCAACAGGAATGTTTTCCATACTAGACCTCCACTTTATCTCCCGTCAAACACATCAATTTTCACATCATCTTGTGATTTCACCCAAGACAAGACGAATCCAAGAAGCTCCAGAAATGCAGATAATTTTAGGAAAAATGTGGGCAAGATTACCATATGCGAAGTTCACTAATTTTCCTCTGTATTGACTAACAAGCCCCCATGTTACAACTGATAATGTAGTAACCAACGGATAATGTATCACCAACCGATAATGTCACACAAATTGACTGATACTGTATCACTAACCGATAATGTAACAGAAATTGACCGATAGTGTAGTAAAAATGTACTACACTATCAGTCGATTGTTGTTACATTATCGGTCTTAACCGATAATGTAACAAATATTGACCGATAGTGTAGTAACATTTACTACACTATCGGTCAATTTCTGTTACATTATCGGTTAGTGATACAGTATCGGTCAATTTGTGTGACATTATCGGTTGGTGATACATTATCCGTTGGTTACTACATTATCAGTTGTAACACCCCAGATAGCAATTTTATGTCATCAAAGTCAATTTGAGCGGAGAGAAAATACAAGCATTTTCTTAGAAAACACTTAGAATTTTTCAGTCCACTCTCTTAGGGTTTGTACAGAGAGTTTTGAGTGAACTTCGTATATGGAAATCTTTCCAAAATGTGTTGTTAGAGCACATTTGGGATGCACATTGTGCAGAACAAAGTTGGAGGCAGCCGGCAGCCAGCCATATTGATTGAAGTAATTGTCTGGAACTAAAGTCTAGGCTACTTGTCTAGGGCCAAATAAAAAAAATTTAAAAAAAACGGTAATCCTTACTTTTAGGACCCCGTTCCTATATAGGAAGGGAAAGACTCACCAAAACAGTTGACTAAATGACACTCAAAATTGACATTCTGATATTTCTTGAACAATTGGCAATGACACCTTCTTGAATATCAGCAGGTTTAATTTTGTGGAAAGAGGGCAGGGCTTTGATTTATGAGGGAAATTCAGGGGTAAAAGACGAGGATGACAACCAGAAAACAGACTCAAAAACCAAGATGGCAAACGTGAAAGCTCGCTGCGATGAAAGCTCGATGCTGATTGGCTGATAAAAAATAAACATCTTAGGCCCTATTTATTTTTAGTCTGGTTCACAGACCAAAAGATTCAGGAATAGTCAGAATCTTTTGGTCTGAGAACCAGACTAACTTATTTATTTTTAGTCTGGTTCCCAGACCAAAAGATTCATGAGTAGTCAGAATCTTTTGGTCTGGGAACCAAACTAATTACTTTTTTTGGCAGCCAATCAGCATCAGGCTTTCATTATGTAGGGCTTTCACGCATGTGAGAACTACAACATGCACCTCTGACTGCGAAAAAAGGTAGGAAAGTCACATTTTCTTCGAAAGTGCTTTCAAAACTACAACTAACATGAAGAAAAAAGATTGCTTTAGCCTGCAAAAGTCACTTTGGTACTGGACAGTCATCTGCAAAAGTCAGTTTTAAACAGAACTTGTAAAAAATAGAGGTGTCCTAAAAGTAAGGATTACCTAAAAAACATGTTCAGCATCCCCGCCTGCTTCCTTTTTGGAGGCCGCCTCTTTTTCTTTTTTTTAACAAACAAATGATAAATTTTAAACAGTGTCATCATTTTGCCATTTTTGGCCTGGAAATATATTTAGGTATTTACTGAGAAAACACTTAGAAAGTTTCAGACCAGTCTCGTACGGTTTGTGCACAGGGTGAAGAGTGATCGCAGATATGGGAATCTTTCCGTCTTTTTTTTCAACAAATGATTGACAGTGGATCTGGAAAATATGAACTAAAATTCAGCAATTTTCATACCTTTTCGTTGACCGTATGGTCCGTAGAACGTTGAATCTCGACCAACAATATTGTTGTTTATATAAGACCGGAATTCCGCAAATTCTTCGATTTTTACACCACTTTTCCTGTACAGAAGTTGCTCTCTACCTTTCTCCGGTAGTGTGTAAAAAGTTCTGTCACCATGTGGCAAGAAATCAACCTGGGATCCACATGAGTTTTCATTGGGAATCACTGGAGCATTTTCCCATACGGGCGCCGCCATCTTGAAATGATTTCCGGTACTGCTCAATAGAGGGCGGAATTTAAATGTTAACAAAACCTATCAAGCTTGCAAATTGGGTAAAAAGAAGCATTCGCCGACAATCCGGTTCGTTAGTGTGACGTCACCTCCAGGACTTTCTGCACGATTGGAACCGGAAGTTAACGCAGCTCGAGCGTTTGTAGCCAATGGGCGCTAGTAATCAGTGGTGCGCGTGCGTGTATGACGTTTTTACTAACGAACCGGATTTAACGTGTATAAAACACTTTTTTTGACCAAAAAGTTTTTCAAGGGTAAAAATTAAACAGGAGAAAACCAGCATGTAATGATGTATACACGCATAGAGCAAGCAAAGACAATAATTAATACTCAACAAAAGTTAATGTTAACACGAGAGGGCGCTATTTCTCTAGTCCAAACAAAGAAACTTTTGACCAATCAGAAAAATTGATTCCTATAAAAAAACAAATGTTGCTTTTATGTTATTATGGTTGTGAAATGGAATAATCAAGTTTGGGAAAGCACGATAAAGCAATTTTTCAACATCGAATATTTTATTTTTGAACAATAAATGCAATTCCAAACTTCAAACGCTGTGTCAACAAACTGTAAACAAACTGGATATATGAACATTTATACAGTGACGAAAACAATTTTCCTCTTTAAATGAACCTAATGAAAGCAAATCTAGGTCCTATTAAAAATGTGTACCTACAGGCAACAAAATAAATACATTTTGTAATACAAAAACATTTTTTTCATCAAATGTTATCACACATTGAGCTGATAGCATGATAGTCTCCAAAAACATGTTCAGACAAGGTTTCCACTTAATTTACAATAAACAATGTCTTTAGATTTCTTAACATAAGTAAAGAGAATATCCAATTAAACAAGCTATCCTATATACATTTTGTTGTTATATTTAAACCTAAAATGTGTGAATATATCATACACGTACAGAGAACCTTTTTCTTTTTATAAACATCCATTTTTATTATGTCTAGTTCATTTAAAAACCAAGACCTTTAAGTACAATTCATCTCAAAACAAAAAGCTTGAAATAAATTTGGAAATTTAATGTATGGTTCATTACAGTTCAACTGCTGTTTGTATTCAAACAATTATTTTACGATTCCTAGAAGCCATGTTCAAAACAGATTCTACTTTTTTATTTGTACCTATGCCGTGACATTTTCCCGTTGTATAAAAATACGTTTTGCATATGAATTTGATCATATTGAATTTTATATAGGTTAAGTAATAAGACTCGGTTCAATTAACCCCTTTCATGCAGCATTAATAGCCACCTCCCCCACCCTACCCCCCCCCATTTTTATCTTCTTTTTGTTCCCAAAATGAAAATTGTTCACAAAAACGATGAATTCACATCCTAAAACAATAATTAAAAACATTTAAGGAAAGTGATTAGTGTGCATTCAAAGTTATTCAATTGACTTTAAACGTTTGGTAACAACTTAACGCACACTTAGTTGTATATTGTCCACACAGCTAAAAATCCAAGATGGCTTCCATGGGCGCCGCCATCTTGGCTTTTAGCTGCATGAGTAATACTATCATCCACAATATTTCCCAAAAGATGGGGTAGTGCATTTTTTATAAAAACCTACACAAGTACAATTGTGGCTATTAAATTGGGCACAGTATCACACTTCTAAATAAGATTTGAAAAATATATGGAAAGTTCTGAGCAGGGAGATTTACACACACAAAAAGTCATTATAAAATTTGTATTCGATAAGCTTTTTCTTCTAAGTGTACGGGAATTGCCTAAAGAACATAACTATTAATCAATATTAAAATTCCATCTTATGAATATTACTGTTGCTGTACAGATGGCCACTCATCTGTACATTTGTCTATCCCATGTGACTCTTCAACTTTGATTGGCACTTGTGATTTTATGACTCACTATGATGATAACATCTATGTCCGCTCACCTGTATGAATCTTCATATGCCTCCTCAAGTTAGAACTCCGTGTGAATGATTTATCACAGTGGCTGCATGCGTATGGCCGCTCACCTGTATGAATCCTCATATGATCCTTCAAAACATTACTATATGTGAATGATTGATCACAGTGGCTGCATGCGTATGGCCGCTCACCTGCATGAATCCTCATATGCGTCCTCAAGTGACCACTCTGTGTAAATGATTTATCACAGTGGCTGCATGCGTATGGCCGCTCACCTGTATGAATCCTCATATGCCCCCTCAAGTGATGACCATATGTGAATGATTTATCACAGTGGCTGCATGCGTATGGCCGCTCACCTGTATGAATCATCATATGCATCCTCAAGTGACCACTCTGTGTGAATGATTGATCACAGTGGCTGCATGTGTATGGCCGCTCACCTGCATGAATCCTCATATGCCCCCTCAAGTGAGCACTGTGTGTGAATGATTTATCACAATGGCTGCATGCATATGGCCGCTCACCTGCATGAATCCTCATATGCATCCTCAAGCTACCACTCCGTGTGAATGATTTATCACACTGACTGCATATATGTAACATTTTTCCAGTACGACTGTCACCATAATCCTTCAGGGTTTTTTTGCTATCAGATATTTTTATTTTATTCTTTAAATCAATACCCATATCCTTGACAACAATTTGACAGTTTTCCTGTTGTTGATCATTGTGTACATTTTTGTGGTGCTCTGTCAACAGTGCATTTGCTGTGAATGCCAATCCACAGAACTGGCAAGTGTAGTTTCTGTTACTGGTGGTAGTTGAGCAACGTACGGTTGAGTTGATACGTTTCGATTGTTCCTGTTGAGAACTTCTTTTCCTGAATGATCTTTTCCTACCACTGAGTGAATGCTGGATCTGTGAGGCCACTTTGATGTTACAGGCATTGATATTGAAGGCAGACACTTTGATTTTCTGCTGCTTCAGGTAGTCATACCACTCTTTCGATGATTGATGGGAATGCTGAAGATGTCTTGCCAGAAACTTGTAATCAGTGAAGATCTTGCTGCATTTTGGACATGGATGTCGTTCAGTATCTGCAATACAGACACAAAATTATCAACATTTTAGTCTTGATGCTAAACAATGTCATTACAGTTTAATTTCTCTACACAATTCAATCATTTTGATAGAACTTCAATTTTTAGTAAATTTGCTTTAAACCAATTACTTATTTCTTCAAAGCAAATTATTTAACTTTAGAAAAAAACTGTACTTTTAGAAAAAGTATTCAATTACATTTGAAGTTGTTATTTTCATTGTCATACATGTACTTGGATTCTGGCCTTGTTCAGTATTTCAATCTTTTTTTTTTCTTCCCCAAACAATCCTAGGTTTTTCCAATACTGACTTAAAGTTTGCACAAGTAAACAATATGTTGTGCTATTTTTTTTTAGGAAAGTATATTCACTTAACAAGTGTATCCTTTACTCCCTTTCAAAGCATTGTATTATGTACCATATATGTCATAACATAAAAAACAAAGTTTGGCTTGAATCCATGAACTTTGCCATTGCATCCAACATTTTTTTTAAACTTCACCACATACTTTGGACATTTTTCACATCATTTGCAGTAGTCATCACGATCCCCAGCTCTGTAGCATACTCCTCCCCATAGAACACAAGGAGCTCCTGCCCTGGCTGGATCGGCTTGAAACTCCTGTAGTAGATTTGGCCACAGTACTGGTAGGCTATGAGGTTCTGCTCTGCTTCACTGCATGCACAGTTGACGTAGCGCATCCAGTTGCCTTTGTTGGGGTTCTTGCCATCAACATAATAGCTCTTACCATCATGATCAAAAACCTGTTTTTTAAGAAAATTGAAAAACAAAGAATGAGTTATACATTGCTTTAAACAGCGTTGAGAGTAAATGACTCAATGTTGTGCACTCTTGCAGGTATTATTCCCAAGACACTAAAAGCCTTATCCCCTGAAATATTGCTACAAATTTTAATACGTCAAAGTGTTTTCTTTATTCAGAAGTTAGAAAATAGACCAGAAAGTCCAGAATTATGCAGGAAACTCAACATTTGATCCAATGTGATTGATGAGTCAAATTAAGATTTTATGCTACAGTCAGTAAACTGAGTTGTTAAATCAACGGGGCAGGGTGAGGGGGTGGGGAACTAGATTCAGCAACTAATGTGTTGTCTGGAAAATTAAAGATCATTTCTTTGAATTTCAGACAAATATCCTCTTTTGAGCTAAAAAAAAGTAACTGGATTACCACCTACCTCCCATGCATAGCCACTGTCTTGGCCAACATCTTCCCCTACAATCTCTCCTCCGTATGGCCCAAACCGCACACCTTTGGGGAAAAACTTCTCAGCCCAAACACCCAGACCGGCATTCTTGATCCCAGCTTCTTTGACAATCAAACCCTCAGGAAGGCTTCGCTTGGCTTGGTCTCTGCACCTTTTGGGAACTGGAGAGTCTTCGATGATGGTCAAGGGATGCTGTGGACAATCATTCTCAAACAGCTCATGACAATCCTCACAGTCTGCATCAATATCAAAAGTGAAACAAAAATTAACAGCATTTACTAAAGTGAACAACATCAACAGTGCCTTAGTTTGTCAAAATTGTAATAAACATTGCAAGAAGAAATATGAGCAACAAAATGTTTCCAGTAAACAGAAACTGAAAACCACGGTACAATTCCATGAAAGAATATATTTTTCACTTTTTCAGCGGGGCAAAAACCTTTTGTTTTTTTGTACAATACATACACACATAGCTGTCATCACTTGGGCCATCTAGGTCTTTGTAGCATTTCATGGCACCAGCACGTTGAGGGTAACGGCGTTCTGCTTTCTCAGACTTGTCCGAATCTATCACACATTCAAATAAAGAAAATTAATATCATAGCATTTAAAAGAGCATCCATTTGAAATTGTTTTGATGGATCTGGAACTTCATATTTTCGAGGAACTTTATCTATGTAACAATTTCCTTAAAACCATTACAATTTTAGAACCCTAAGATAGGCAAACTTCAGTTTAAAAACTTTTTCTTCTGAGGAATAAGGTGTTTATTGTTTTGTAAATATCTCACTGTTGATGGCACTATACCTGCTTTTTTACTTGATCTTTTCTTTGGTTCTGGGGGCTTTGGGTCTTCAGGTTGGGTGTCTTCTAATGGCACTAGTTCTCCATCATCGTTGATTGTCACACGGCCAAGGTAGTCAAATGAATCTTCATCATCCCTTTGTTTGGGTGCTTTTGATGAGGAACCGTGGTTTGATGGAAGCTTATTAGAGGAAGGATTACGTTGCTTTTTTTAGCTTTACAAAATTATATTTAAAAAGATAACATTCATTTTAACATCCATAAGTATTAAGTGATGGTTGGCATATTTACCCTGGGGGGGGGGGGGCAGAAAGAGAGGGGAGGAGCTCTTGGGCAAAGATCAGACAAAAATACAGTTTTAATTTAGACACTTACCTTAGATTCTCCAGTGGCTGAACTTTTAAGGTTCATCTGTTTCTTGACAGGAACCGTGAAAGTCTTTTTCTGTCTACACACTAGTGACGTTACAGTAACCAACAAAAAACCAAATCAGCATTTGGGTCTTTCAATGTTCATTAGGTTCATACAACTCCAAGACAAACAAGTACAATGGCACTGATTTTGTGCAAGTCAAATGCCTTTAAACCCTCACAAAAATTGTTTAATTATTAATCTTCCCAACGCAAACAGAAAATGACACAAGTAGTAGTTGAATAAATCTGGACTATGTCCAGGGCTCCCATTTTAGGGAAAAGTGACATTTTGTGAACAGCTTAAAAATATGTCATTTAGGTACCTCATCTAGCTGAAATGATTTTTCCAATTACTCATTTCAATCATTCAACACACCTGATTTTCTCTGTTTGTGCTCAGTGCCTCCTGGCTTCCATTCCTCATCACTGTCGCTTGAATCTACATATTTGGGTTTTCTCTTTCGGAACGGACCATTCATAAACTCTGGCTTTGATACTTTCAAACCTGGGAACAACTCATGAACATTTAATACGCTCATCATACAATTCTAAAAGAGTGAAAGTGTATGCCCTGATTATTGATTTACAACAACACACCAGGACTTCACAGAAAATGAGAAGTTTTACATCTTTCTTTTTTGAGGGGAAACACGTGGTTTTGCCAATTTATTGAAAATGAGTTTAAATTATGAAATGGATGTAGTCAAAAAGTGAAGATAACTGTGTTGCTTATATTTAAGCAACATCACTATTACAGTCCAACAATAAAATTGTTCCCACTTTTCCTTTTTGTGATATTAACACTGTTCAAAGGAGGAATGTTTAGAGTTTGAGATTTCATGGTTGTAACTATAATTATTACCATATTTACGCAATTCCAATTTGTTCCTAAAGGTTTGATATTGAAACAGTAACTTGAAATATGCTTTTGTACAAAAATGCATAATGCTGGGATTAATGAAACTCACCGATTTCTATCATCATTTCATAGTTCTCTTTGATGTTTCTCAGTCTCATCTTTTCATATTCCGAGAGTTCCTTGTACTCACTAGCAGTGAAGAACTGCTCAATCTCATCTGGATCCCTTTCCTTTGGCATGGCCATGATGCATTTGAGCAGCAACAACCTTGTTCTTGCGAGACAGGCTGTATGCCATGGGAATTAATGACCAAAATAACACTAAAATTTAGGGGCCCAATCATCATTCCAATTTCCATCATGCAAGAAGGAGGTCATCTGTGAATCATAGATCTGCAAAATACTAAATAGCCTACAGTCATGACAGTACAAAGTACAAAGGCCTTCTCTTGGTCTTGCGCCCCTTTAACTGAAAGGGTCATCGACAACGTGTCCATATTTAGGCCTAACCCAAATTAATTCTTCTGAACACATGTACAAATTTTTGCCATAAAAATGCAAAAACAAGACAAAAATGTTAAGCTGCTGTAAAATTCAGGCCTCAGGCCCAAAAAAATAAGTCTCCGGTTTCTGGTATGCGCGCGCGTCGCCGTAGCCATGCGCGTCGGCAAAATGAAACAGTTTTTTTTTCAATGAAAGGGGATGTCTCAAAACCGCCAAACTCACTGGTTTGACTAGAATCCTGCTGCTGCACAATTTTAACGTGTTTTTAGATTGGGTTATGGTCGAGAATAAGCTTTATGTGGCCTCTCTGGACTCCCATATATTTGCACTAAGTTTAGTTGGCATGGTTGGGCACCATTTGCAGTCATCAGCACACATTTGAAGCAAAAAATCAGTTAAAAAAAAAAAAAAAAAAGCCCCGTCACCTCACCACTTTTTGGGCAAGCTCCATACCAGAAACCGGAGACTTTTTTGGGGGGGGGGGGCCTTATAAAGTTATATCACACTGACAATACACCAACCTACATGACATGCATGACCCTAGCGACCTACCTATTCTATGGCCACCCACTAGTTGAGTAGCCTAGACTTGTTTGTGACAGTGCTGAAGAGACAAATTAATACTGGCCTAGGCAGTGCTAGGCCTACATGCCTAAGAAGTATAAACAACATGAGCTGGGCTAGCCTAGGCCGAGGCAGGCTGGACGCCGTCTTCATTATTTATGCAAGGCGCCCAAAATGCCCAAGCATGCCTTTTTTTTCCCTGCACAAGCCTGACCATCAATCATCATTTCATTTCCATGCGGACCATTCACGCTAACGTTACGTCTCTCATTTGTCTCTGTGACTGTAGGACCTACTCTGATAAAACTCAAACGAACTGCCTAAATTATAACGTTAAAAAAGAAAATGAGGTCCACCCAGGCATGAAGAAAGTTCTTTTTCTCCATGCCGCCCATGGTCAGATGGTCCAACTCGGTGAGAATGGAAATTCGGTTGGGTTGAACAAGCTGAAGACAGTTTGGTTTGGCATAGCCATGCAGGCCTACCTTCCTTCCTTGATTTTCCGTCCACTGTCGAGTGTGGCAGAGATGAAGGTGTAACGCACGGCCAAAGTCAACACTGAGAATAAGATCTTCAAGACAAACTTTTTAAAAATCTAACTTGTCAGCTTAGCACAGCCACCATGTTGAAAGGCATAAAGTTTATCCTGCCCCCGCGCGCGCGCGATCGATCCGCTTTAGCCTTTTGCCTTTACTTAGTTTATATTTCCCAAGTACATGTAGATGACGTTGAGATCACTTTGAACCATGCACTTGCTTCAAAACGTAACCCACACTGCGCGTTCCATAAGTTTCTTTTAAGTGTCGTCTGCAAATCATCTGCTGATCTGCAGCATACATTACACAAATGAACACGCTTTTCCAGTAAAAATCGCAATTTACACTCTAATCTCGATTAGCAATAATAAAATCGCTCCACTATCGCTCCGGAATGTCCATTTCTCTTTATAAAATTTGAGGTAAACAAAAAAAATCGAAAAATTCATTCTTCAAAGTACGAAAATGTATTTAATGTATATTTGGAAAAATTCTGCGTTTCCAGTAACAGTCTGCCATTTGTTTTCTGAAAATTATTAGCACAACAATCTATTTTGAAAACCACTGTGAATATTAACAAATAAATTTTAAAAGCCACTTACTGTTTGTTTATTCAAATAAATTCAAATTATTCCCAAAATTAAGATTTGCTAAAGCGCTTGAGCAACCACATTGGGAAAATTTTGCAGATATCACTTGTTCCCTGAATTCAGATTACGTAAAATAAATTGCAATGAATTGTTTCATTTGGTGCGCCACAGAAAAATATCAAAAATGGACCACTCGTAAATTGAGAAAATACAGTTCAAAAATTGTTGAATGGCAAGTTTCAACAAGATACTTCTGTCTACATGGTCACTAAAACAGCTCTATTTGTTCTAATGCATACATGTATCAAAAGTACCGTCAATTTTAAATCGAGGAATAATCTTAGAAAAAACTAATGAACTTGAAAATGGACACCAGCAAGTGAAATTTAGCCAAATTTAAAGAGGCAACCAAAAAAACCCCCGAAAAACACTGCTACAAACTATCTCTCAAAGGAACAAAAATGACACAAATTAAAAGCGAGGTCGAGCAGCAGCATATTAAGCTAAAATCTGATATTTTGAAATTTTTTCCAGTTTTAACAGAGCGCGTGTGTGAAAAACCATTGGTCCTTAGCAACCATTTCATTATACTCGATTCTTTTAAAGGGAAAATACAACATTTGCAAACATCAAAAAATAAAACTACCAAATCATTTTGAAATACCTTGCTGGACTGTTAGTGAATGACAGTGTAAAGCATCCTGTAAAATCATGGCACCTGGTATACTGTCATTTTCAAGAAAAGTGGTATTTTTGTATCAATTTCTGAACGCTGATCGGCCGATCAGCGTTGGAAACAACTGGCTTTTTTTTTCAAATACTGGCCCTAATTGACCATCGCACTTGTTTGCAATCGATTACAAACCTATGAACGGGTACGAGCCAGCTAGAGTGGTTCCCTGACCTTACAATTCCCCAATGTATGTAAACTGCTCTGTTTCTTCTTATATGGAGTCAGGGAACCAGACTACAGGAAAATGATCGTTTTTCTTGATTTTTATAGCATTTTCGAACCCAAAACCTCAAAAAAGTCAGTGTAACTATATTTTCTATATATTTCCAACCCCCCAATTCCACCCATTTCTGAAAATTACAGCAAAAGCAAATGATGTATATTCCCTTTAACAAAAAAAGGAATGCAAATTAGTGCAATCGACCTTTAAACCAGCGACAAGCTATCATGTGCAATAAATGCATTACATGTGACCAAGTATTTGTCATTTATGTATTACGGAATTTCCATTTGCGTAGTTTTTTTCCCCAAAAAAAGTCTTTCAGATTTTCTACTTCTAACGTAGTTCTCTGATCATTTTTTAGGGAAGTTTAAAAACCTCAAGAAATAATTTTCACAAGTTTATCTACACTAACCCTCACTACATCATGTACCATTATAAAAATCTCACCATAAACAAATACCACAAAAATCAAAATAAAGAAACACTATCAAAAATTTACCCCAGTAGGAAACTGGTGAAATTTCATCAGAGCATAAGAAAAAGATTTTACTATACTATAAGAATATAAAAAATTCCTGTGCAAAAAGTGCACATTTATATTGGTAAAAAGTGCCCTGCACATTTCAGGTCAAGTCAAAAATTCCATAACCCAGTTAAAATTACATCTTGCGTGTATCCAAAACTTTAAAATGTGCTCATAAAATGCTACCCGACTTTTATACTCAAAAAATTGATTAAATTGTCTGAAATTTTCTTTCTCATAATTACTTGCAAGACATCAAAAGGAAAAACAAATATTTGACATGCTCAAGAACAGCACCCAATGCCATGGATTATTGTAGGGAAAGAATGTAGCATCCAGATGCCATTTCAGCGGTTGTGTACAATGTCAATGGAGACTCAAGAACATTTTTCAAAGTATTTTTAGCAAAATTGGAAGTGTTTCTCAGTGCCAGATTTATCTTTTCAACTTTTTTGCAATGACTGATCTTCATTGAGATGATATACGATTAAAAAAGTGGCGCTGGGATGCAACATTCTGTAGTAACCATGGAATTCTGCTCCTGTGACAGAATTAACAGAAAAGAAAACCAGTACACACAAAATGTACAAATGCAGCTTACCCAAATACCTTGCTTATCCGTGAACTCTTAACAAATTTCTTCTGGGTCAACTTCCTAGAGCTTTTTGGCTTACATATGGGGTACTCTTAAATTTGAGACGGAGGCCTCATTTCATACAGCTGTTAGTAGGAATATCTTTTGCATTTCTAGAAAAATTAATGGATTTAAGAAATAATTGTTTCTTTCAAAATTTATGTATTTTTTTATGAAAACCAGTTCAAAGTGATATATATGAATTTTCAGCCAGCAACCCTTTTTTTGTTTTTGAGAGCAATTGTTTCCTGTGATTATCAAATATCCTTGCCCAGCTAGCTCCGTGAAGCTTCTGGTTGGATAAATGCCGACCTCGCATAGCAAATTAAGCACTCTTGACATTGAGTGTGACATGGGCCTTGACACCGCTGAGCTGCGGGGAACTAAAGCTGACGATGAGGTCACAGGATCCAGCAGTCTTGGGCGTCAGCTGCACTCGCTGGGCCATCTTACCGTTCACTGGAACATGTCTGTCAAGAAACAAAAGAAATATTGAGGACAGTTGCAAATATACAGATTGGTAAGTAACAAATAACTTTTTTACATCCTTCACTATCTGGCACCCCAATGGCACATTGCTTCACTAACAGTAACACTCGTGAACTAGTCGGCCACAAAAATTACAAAAGAGATTTCAATTCAATTCACACAGTGCAACCACAAAATCCATCTACCAGGACCATTTTTTATGTAAAATTCTGGATGGAGTGCTGTCAAAATCTAGGATATGAGAGCCCAATTAATAAGATTTTTTTTTTAGTACATGAATCATTCAATTCATTCACGTACTTTTCAAGTTACGGAATTTTAAACACAAACACTGTTTTAAACGTCTGTCCACGGATCACAAAAAAGGTAAGTGTTCTTTCAGCAAACCAAAAACAATTCATGTACTCTGTGGACAGAACTTTCAAAACGGTTTTTGTGTTCAAATTCCGCAACTTGAAAAGTACATGAGTGATATTCTTGTACTAAAAGAAAGCTTATTAATTGGGCTTTCATATCCTAGATTTTGAAAGTGCTACATGCAAAACTTCATTAAATAATTGGTCCTGACATTTGGGATTCTTTTTTTTTCACTCATCCTGAACAACAAGTTGACCTGCTTGGAGAAGTAGGCCTGCTCAACAAAACTTTGCAACCTAGTGCTTGTCAAGATTCATAGCATGTTCCAATGACATTTACGAGGATACATTTTAAATAATTCGGCATCATGCGCATGATAAAAGTTTTTTTGAAAACTTACGGAGCTTTAACCCGTTTGGCGCCCTCAATGATGGACCCCTCCATGAGCAGGCTGCAGTCAGTCAGTGGGTACGGCAATGGGTTGGTCAGCGACACGATCGCTGTGAACGGCTTGCCACGCACAATGGGCCCCTCCGTCTACAAAGACAAAAGAAAACGTAAGAAACCCGAAGAAGTTTTTCTTCATTTTTTTTTTTTATTTGAGCTTTCAATACAACATGGTTAGGAAATGACTATCATGTTACATGTGGTTCGAACACTTTAAGTGAAGACACAAATAGCTCAGCACTGTGTTATATAGACTCCAATCTTTAGACAGAGTAAACATTGTTTTGAAAGTGCTAGAAAATACCAAAGTAGCCAACCACAAAACTTAACTTATAAAAATTGTAAGTTTTCTATTCCAAAATATCATTCTAAATATTGAAACAGTTTAAGGGAATCTTTTTATGTTCATCATGTACCTGATGTTGCTTAAAAATGGAGGAAGATATTTTTCCTCCCAACAATATTATTATGGAACAAAACTATCAAACGTTGTAAAATGTGCTTGAAACTGAAACACTTTCTTTTGATGCTCAGAAGGTACAACAAGACTGTTTGACGAGCTTAAGTACCCCCAGTCAGCTGAGCCTAGAAGGCGGGATGTTGAAAAGCCCTTACTTGGATTTAGACAAATCTTGGCAATTGTACACTCACAATACCCCCTTCAATGGACAGACCACTGTGCACGCTAGTGTACAAAGCAACTGCCCTGTGACGATTATCTGAACCAAGCCAGCACAACGTTTTTCACCATTGAAGGGGGCCTTTGTGATAACATTGTTAGCATGATCGGATTTGTCTATCCGGTTCGTTAGTGTGACGTCATCTCAATTCAACCATGCGTTTTTCACAAGGTGTAGCATAGGATGAATGGAACCGGAAGTAACCGCAACTCGTGCATTTATCCAATGGGCACTAGTAATCAGTGGTGCATGCGCGTAGCGTGACGTTTTTACTAACAAACGGGATAGAATATGAGGTATGCAAGAAGTTGTCATAGAAACACAACAAACTTACCTTGACCTCCAGGTCGGGCTTATCAAGCACGGCGTCATACTGCCTGCTGAATGGTTGCTTGGTCTCCTTGACGGAAGCCATGATGAAGAAGGTTACGCCGGCATAGTCAGTGAGCTGCGGCAGGTAGTCAGACGCTGGTACAGTCACAGGAATCACTCGGGCTGGAATTCCAAAATGTATTTTTAACAAAAATATTTACCATCTTTTCATTTTCTTAAGGAAACGAACCGTTTTCTACTGAAACTGTAACTAAGAACAAATTCTCGACAACTTTTACGTTCTTAGCAAAATCAAATGCAAACCAATCAAACAAGAGCATGGATTGTGTAACATTTTTGCTGGCAACCTATCTTCACTGAGCTAAGACTTTCTGTTTTTAGCAGCTTGCACATAAATGTGTTGAACGGCTTTAGAAAACTGGCCCCTACTGACCGCTCATTAAAGCACATAAACTTTACTTTCAAAAAATGAGAATTTTCCCAAAGTGTTGTATCCATTCCATCCCAAGTCTTTCCACAAGAACAGTCACAAGCAAGGGGCAAACAATATGACAAAGAATTTTTCTTAACATTCATTTGAATAGCTAGTGATTTGCATTGAGACTGAAGGACTTGTGATGGACTTGTGATGGACTTGTGGTGACTTGTGATGGGCTTGTGATGGACTTGTGATGGGCTTGTGATGGACTTGTGATACTTGTGAAGGACTTCTGATAGACTTGTGATGGACTTGTGACAGACTTGTGATGGGCTTGTGATGGACTTGTGACAGACTTGTGATGGGCTTGTGATGGACTTGTGAAGGGCTTGTGATGAACATGTGATGGACTTGTGATGGACTTGTTTTGACTACAACACTGACTATTTTCAAACACTACTGATTTATCTAGATCAGAGTGACCAATCAGCATTTAGAATTCAGTTATTTAAGCTACAGCACCTTATTAGGTGCATGTACGCCTTTACAAGCATACTTACTTTCCTTTGCCTTCAGTGGCAGGGTGCCATTGTAGGACGACACCTTAGCCTTCTTAACACCTGTGTAGTACACGGTGTTTCCTGTCACACCCAGAAAGATGTTACGTGTCTGCATCGAAAGATGAAAAAGTGCATACAATCAACCATCTCTCAATTTGAACACACGATGGACTTTAGCGCAGGATTTGTCAATTCCCTATTCTTCATACTTTTCAGTTAACATTACATGAATTGTTTCTCTTGTTTCTCTTATTAATTTGGATTGACATTGTCATCAATATTACTACATTTTGCACCCATCTCCTTACCTGCTGTGACTTGTTCACCAAAGTGATGGTGAACTTGATGTCTTTCCCAATGGGGAACTCCTCCGCCATATCCACGTCAAAGCTCACGTCACGGACGAGGTTCTTGAGAATTCTCTTTGCTTTGCGTACGTGACGGCTGGCCTCCCTGACGGCGATGCGCTCCAGCTCCGTTCCTAATACACATAAAAAAAAATGACAGAATTACACGGATATAAAGTTTTAACTTTTGCCAGAAGCTTTTCAATAATTACTCAGCTGGTAAGGAATGATCTGGAATTAGAGCATAAAGGGACGAGATTGCCCATTTAAATAAAAAGGTCTAAAAAATTGGATGATAGGTCTGAATGACGCAATTTTTGTACAATGGTAATTTTTTTTTCACTCGGATTCGAAAAGTCTCATTTTAGACTAAAGTTTGATAAAATATCACGTCCTTTTTTCACATAATTTGTTTACAAATTTTTACCGGGGGGGGGGGGGGGGGGGGGGGGGGGGGGGGGGGGGAGAGGGGGGGGGGAGGGGGGAGAGGGGGGGGGAGGGGGGGGGGGGGGGGGGGGTAGAAGCACCTGTACAGTAAAACCTTGGAAATTCTGGGTTTCAAAGTTCTGGTTCTAAAATACTGAAATCATGGCAAATACTGACAACAAAAATCCTGAGATCCCATCTTTATGTTCTACTGGAATATTTAGACAAATTGTCAACGCACCTTCCTTGTACTTGTACTGCTCAGTGATGTCCTCACGCTCAAATTTGCCGACAGCTTTGGTGCTGATCTTGCAACCGACATCATCGGAGTCAATGTCTATGACCTCCGGGGCCTAGGCAAACATCCAAGATAAAACATGAAACAGGAAGAATGTTGTTGCATAATTTACAGAATAGAGACCGAGGAGGAAAAAAGTCCCATCTAGGGTCACTTTAGGCTGTGTTGTTAAAAAAAAATTATGCAGATTACATTGCATGTGTGCTAAGAAAACTGCACCAATTTTTTTCTGGACAAAGATTCTGCTCAGTTTACGCCCATACATAAATATCTACTGCTTTGTTATATGCATGGGGCCAATTTCATAGAGCTGCTTAAGCACAAAATTTGCTTAAGCACAAAAACGTCTTGCTTAATAAAATCAGGTCACCGGCCAAAACTCCATGCGATTGTTATGCTAAGTAAACAACAGCTAAATACCAGTCACAAGCAATGTACATCACATGGAGTTTTGGCCGGTAACCTAAGTTTACTAAGCAATGTTTTTTCGTGCTTAAGCAAATTTTCTGCTTAAGCAGCTCTATGAAATTGGGCCCTGATCCTTAGTTTCTGCTTCCGTTACCGCACTGATATTAATGGCCCTTATACTAAACTACTGAGTCCCACAGGTAACCGAGATGCCATACCTTTCTAGATTTCGTGAAGACCTTCCAGTAGACTTTTTCAGCGTTGACCTCGGCGAAGGCAAACTTGGTGTCATACTGCATGTACACGTGACCCTGCTTGATGGCGCGCAGAGAGGTAGGTCCCATGCAGTACACACCTGTATCAGAAATGTAAAAATAAAAACAAAAATGTTAACAAAACAACCTCATTTTGATCAGAACTAAGCAAAAGCAATTAGCTTACTTGCAGACCAATGCAGAGGCCCCCTTCAATGTGGAGAGCATTGAGCTTGCTATTGTTCAGATAATCTGCCTTGCACAGTGCCTCCGCCATTCAAGGGGGCCTCCGTTAATGTATAGTGACATGGTGATCCGATTGCTCTCTAGTTTCAATGAAAACCACCTTTAAAAATCACCTCAATGAACGCCATGTGTTTCATGGTTATATACTTATAGGGTAAAACAGTTAAAACAAGGACTGAAAAGTGGCTAGCTCAAAGACACAAGAACCTCTTTTTTGAATGAAAGACTTTCTTTTTGGAGAAAGAGCCAAATGAATTTGCAACCACCAATAGTACGTCAAAGCTGATCAAGACAAGGATTGAGACACTTTGGATTACCGTTGCTTGTTTCCTGTGGAGTTGCATCCACGGCCTGCCAGCCCCCATAACCCTCCTCCAGATCGGGCCTGGCCATCCAGCAGTCATTCCACACGTGGAAATTCCTGATTGATAATACAAAATAAATTAAAAACGAAAAAAAATTTAATCCATTCAAGTCTAAAGACGGTGAACTTGAAAATGTGCAAACGTACAATTTTTTAAGGAAACAGCCCTTTCTGTAAAAAAGAAAGTAAACATTTGGTCTTCAAGTATCACATGTGGAATCTCTTCAAGAGACTGAAAAAAATTCCATCAAAATTTCAAAGGTGATTTACAGAGATCATCACTGATCCCGAACAACAAAACATAATACAGTTGACAAGGCACTTCACAAAAATAACTATAAAGAAACAATATAATAGTTTTTTCTCTCTGACTGCTTTGGCAGATACTGACTTCAGTGCCTTACATACCAGATACTATCTTCGTCATAGTCATCCAACGGTTCCGAGTTCTCATCGTAGTGGTAGTCAAGAGTCAGGTTGCCATCGGTGTCGTGAGCCGAGGCGAAATTGGTGATGGTCCTGGTGGGTAGACCCAGACTTCTGCACACTAAACACAGATAAAATAAAAAATCGTGTTTCTTTGGAGCTGGTAAATCACTGTTCTATTTCTTCAAAATTATCTAACTTATCTAAGACCATAACCCCTGATCTTACAAAAAATACTCTTAAAAGAATTTTCAATATGTTTGTTTGATATAACAGGAAGAAAACCTTCTTTATTCTCGTATTTTTGGTATCTGCATCCCTCTAAAAGAGAGCTCTCATTTTGCGCACAAATGAATCCACCCTGCGAGAGCCGAATTGTTGTCTATCAGTTAATAATTCAATTTTGTGAAGAAATAATTCAAAAACTAAATGATGGTGGATTTTTCGTTCAAGGTGTAATTACTTTTGTATTTCTAGGAAAAAGGCCATTTAAAAAAAGGGTATTTTTGAAGGTGAAAATTGAAAATAGTAAAGCATTTTTTCAAAATAACAGAAAACCATCATCGTTTCCTGCTGTAATTATTTACACTTATTGGCTAATTTTTACTTCTGTTATTAGTCACTTAGCATATTTTTAAATTTAACATGACCTGGATCAAACCAGCTTTCAATGTAAACAAAATATTGTCACTATATTTTCATTTTAAAGTCAAAAACAACTTGCGCCGACAAACTGAACCAAAAGAATAGTTTGGTTTCCAAAATGTTACTAGCTTAATCAAGAAAATCCTAAAGCTAGCCTGTGAGTATTTTCGTTCTGTCGGTTGACTTAAAACAGTACACATCTAAAATCTAACTTACGTCCAGTGAGCAGACTTCCGAACACCCAACACTGGCCGTATTTGACCGATTCCCGAGTCTTCATGTACTGGGACAAGATGGCGATGCTCCCAGTCCAGGTGGTTGGGGAAATCCCGTCGTCATACTCCCCATCCCATCTTCCCACGAGAACCCCGTCATCATCTTGGGCATTGACCTGGTGAGACGTCAAAGACGAGAGAAATATAAAGTGATAGAAAACTGACAAGCGCAGATGGGGTAGGCAGATTTTCACATTGAAAACTGCAAGTATTCTTGCACTGTTTTAATGGGGATGAATACTGAAGGATTATTTGGCCGGCTTGTAGTATCATTCTTTCTACCATGGCATCTAAAACAAATCCAAGAATCCAAGATCTCACTTTGTCACCAAAATATTCCCATATTTCAGCAAGAGAAAGCCCCTACAGGGACTGCAGACAAATTTTGAGGCTGGACTCTCATTGATTTTTTCAACCTGTTGAGCACTGCTGTCCTCAACACCTACATTTTGTGGTGCAAACTGAACCCCGAGTGGTCTAAACGGAAGATCAACAGCTGCCACATGTTCATGGCAGACCTCATCAGGTCTCTCGTGAGGCCGCAAATCGACCTGCGAGCAGCTCATCCCATCGGGCTCCACCGGAAATCACCATTGCCATGGCGTACCTTGACATCCGAGTTAAGTACAAGACGAAACTGGCAAGGCGTAAAACTTTTGACCACTGTTGTCTCCTAGTTATAATCTCAATTAGGGACTTGAATTGTAGTTTTGTAGTTTAAAAGACTAGGTCACTTACCAAGGCAGATAAAACCCTGGAAACCTGAATGGGGCTCTTGCGGCTAGAGTCGGGCATGCCAGACTTCTGCAGCAAATACAGGGCACAGTCCAACGACATCTTCTCAAACTGTTAGAAAAAAAAAGGAAAGCCAGCAAATTAACGTTGTCCGCATTTAGCATGAGAAGAGCTAAAATTGAAAAATTTGCATTTTGCGTGAGACAAATTAGGATGATAAGCTTAATTGTTGTTCATTATTTATTTAAAATTGGAGAAAATCCATAAATATAGATTTTTGAAGAAGTTGACCAAGTAACCAGGCCCAATTTCATAAAGCTATCAAGGTGAAAATACTGGTTAAAAATATGTGTTATACCAGTAAAGCAAAATAAATAATATAACTGTTAGTTTGTAATGATTTTGCTTGCTAATATTTTCCGTGCTCTGCAATTTCCTGTGTTTATCAAACACATAACATTGGCTCTGATATCAACCTTATCACTTTAGGCTTGTATTAGCTCCGTTAGATTGAAGTTAATATATAACATTTAGTTTTGCTGTAATTCTTCAGAAATGGATGGATTTAGGGGTAAGTATTTTATAGCAAATATTGTTACCCTGACCTGTTTACAAACAAACAAATGATATTACTTAAAGGAAATATACATCATTTGCTGTTGCTGTAATTTTCAGAAATGGATGGAATTGGGGGGTTGGAAATATATAGCAAATATAGTTACACTGACTTTTTTAGGTTTTGGGTTCGAAAATGCTATAAAAACCAAGAAAAACAATCATTTTCCTGTAGTCTGGTTCCCGGACTCCATAAAAGAAGAAACAGAGCAGTTTACATACATTGGGGAATTGTAAGGTCAAGGAACCAGTCTAGCTGGCTTGTACCCGTTCATAGGTGTGTAATCGATTGCAAACAAGTGCGATGGTCAATTGGGGCCAGTATTTGAAAAAAATACAGTCTTTTCCAACGCTGGTCAGCCGACCAGCGTTGGAAATTGATACAAATTAAATACCACTTTTCTTGAAAATGACAGTATACCAGGTGCCATGATTTTACAGGATGCTTTACACTGTCATTCACCAACAGTCCAGCAAGGTATTTCAAAATGATATGGTAGTTTTATTTTTTGATGTTTGCAAATGTTGTATTTTCCCTTTAAGAAGTATGAACATACCTGCCCGTAGTTCCATGGGGATGAGCCAATACGATACTTGGAACCGTAGAAGTACAGGCTGACTTCACCCATGACGTACTCCTGCCGTTTCACCTCATCAGCCATATACACCCCATCATCTGCAAATGTATCGAGAGGAAAAGGTCCTCAAACATTACTGTAATTCCAGCAGGACTCAAACAGCCTGGAAACTATATTACTTGATATGGACAGGAAACATTTCAAACTTTCCAATTCTATAACCAAATCTAGGTATCTTTCGCTAAGACAACCCTCTCCTATATACAATTCATTATTTGAGCCTTAAAAATTTCAACCATTTTTTCTTTAACTTATTTTTCACAAAATACAATATGAAATTTGTACCTTTACACCAGGCGTTGAACAGCATGACAAGCTCCTTGGGAGATTCATACTCGTATTCGTCCCCGCCGCTCGTCGTCAAGATGTACAGATTGTAGTAGCCAATCAGAGCCTCCGAACTACAGAAGACCTTCAGCGTCACATTGGCTCCTTTGGCACTCTCCACCTTAATGCCCCAATCGTCGTGGTCGGGGGCTGATGTTACCACGGGGGCCACACAGCGAGTGCCCTTGGTCACGTTGGCACGGCTGCCTGTGATAGAAAAAATATAAAATGAAACACTGTAATTAATAATGATTATAATATACAGATTCTTATAGCACTTTTAACTAAGATCAAAGCGGTTTACATTATCATATTTATTGGCTGTATCCAACTGTGGATGTGTGAGTGTTTCCTATTGGTTTGTATACAATGCCTTATGAACTTGACCATGGCTACTGTACATGGCCCGTTGTCGTAGCAAATATCGCTACATGGTAGGGCCTTTAATAGAGGGATGCAAAATGTGAAGTTACTGTGAGAAATATTGCATAAATTTGGTACCAGTTACTCTCAACAAGATTTGTGGTGTTTGACCCGCAGATCTAAGCTGCCTGTCTTTTCATGGACACTGATGTTTCAACTTTTCAAACAACACAAAGAATGTGCCATTGTTTTACTGCACGGCTAAGTATTAAGCCAATAATCCCACAGGGAGTAAGCCTTCAGTGTAAGAGGATTATCTTTGACGTTTGTTTTTCCATTTTAATCTGCACAGACAGATTTAGTATTAAAAAATTTACATTCAAATGAGGCCGAAACCCTTTAACTTTTTGAAACTTCAAAATAGGTTTAGTGTTAAAGCTCTTTACAGACAGCGCACAGATTTTTGAACAACAGTAAAACATTGTAATGTAAAAGAAAAAACAACACTTTTAAATAATTTTCTTTTAAATTCTGGTAATCGTTTTGACAGCTTCACAATTCGGCTGGCTCCTTCTTACCCATTCGTAATTCCAATACAAGTTCATCGGTACTCGGCTTGAAGTCTCGGTCAAACTTGACATTGAGGTGGAACGGTTGACCACGACGCAGGACCAGATTGTCAACCTTGTACTTGCTGGTCTTATGCTCCTGCTGGTTTCGCTCAACACTAAGATCCACAGACAACACCTTGAGTTGCGTCTCTGAAACAAAAAAATTACAAAATTGGATTAGATTTTCATAAACAAATATTATGCATAGACCCACTCAGATTTAGTATATGAATGGAAGGTTGTGTGATCACTGTGTGTAGAAACTTGAGTTTATGCAAACTTTAGAGGCATCAATTTTAAAGGCATGCCAAATATTGTCAAATCAATTTCACTGGAGCCTTGTTTTAGTTCAAAGCTTTTTCTATAATGGGCATCTCAATTCACCATAGATCTGGAACTGCAAGTTTAATCTGACCAGATTTTTGGTTAATTTGTTTCATTTCAAAACGTCCTTTTTGTACGAACAAAAAATCTGATTTGTTTCATTTTTAAAGAGTAGGCAAACAGCAGGTATCTTCACAAACTCTAACTTGGGGTTCACACTTTCTTTCAACATTTTGAAAGAGTTCGAAAACAATCATGAGATTGTTTTCTTTTTTACTGTTATTGAGAGTAGTTTGGCAGGTTTTTTTGGGGGGGTGGGTTGTGTCTTAATGACATTTTGTAGCCTTTGTTTTGCATTTCATTTTGTCAAATTTTTTTGTGTTCACTGTAAATTATATTTTTTGTTTAGGTTTCATGTTACAATTTGTAAAAGATTTTGATGTGTTTGTTTCTAATCCAACCACTTCTTTTGTTGTTTGGTTGCAAATAAATAACATTAATAATAATAACAATAATAATGCATGTCTGATATTCAATTGTTTCTAAAACCTGGATTTACTCATAAATGTGGGTGAAGGCCACAGTTCATAATTCACGCAAATGCGAAGTGAATGTGATGTCACGAAACATTTGCCGCGAACTTTGAAATGAGTTATCTTTTGCAAATTCCCATAGCAAATACTTGCCATGATGACGTCACAAATTCGCATTTGCCTTCGCATCGAGAACGAAACCGCCTTAATGTATTAACATCTGATTCCATTGGAAACTCACTTTTTTCTTTCAGCGTAGGCAGAGTCAGTGGTGTCGCGGGTACGTAGCGTCGCCCTTCGGTGCGCGTCGTTTCCCGTTTAGTCTTGCGTGCATACGGCTCAAACCGGTCGGTGTAGCCGAAGCGGGTAGGGGCGCTGCGGGTGCGGGTGGATCGACGAACCATTTTGGACGATTATACTGCACACGTGAAAAGGGAGAAAAAGAATTTAAGACACAAGTTATAGTCTTTGCCATAAAACCCAATACATTCACTGACATTGGGCAGTAACTAAAAAGTTGCGCAACATGATTTACAAGATTTTGTACAGTGGCCTTTTTCCATTCATTTGTTAATGGCATTGGTGTGAAGTGAAAAAAAAGAGGACATCAGCTGATCCAAGGAAAATTTTTGTGCCTGTAAATTGAAGAGGCTATAGCATTGGCTGTTGAGTAAAACTTAGCTTACTTTTGACCTAAGTCAATGGGGTGAAATGGGTTCAAGTTCCAACAAACAGTAGCTCAGAATGTGGCTGTCTGAGGCATGAAAAAATGGTGGTGAGTAAAGGCAAAAGTCATCATATGGAAACTTCCTGTTTTGAAAAAAAAAAAAAAAAAAACAGATCCAACAGATAGGTACGGAGTTTTCCCCCTTTTTTCATTAATAGACTCATTTTCTTGGATGAGACACTTGAAACTCAGACTATAAAACTAAAAACTCAAAATGCATGTCTCCAAGGGTTGAACTTAAAGAAGCCAACAATTCATATTAGAAAATCAGCAGTGTCTGTTGGATTTTTTTTTTTAACAAAATCATTTAACACCAAAGAAGAGAAGTTTTACTGCAACAGTTGCGTACTTTTTAGTTCAGTAGAATTCACACTCAACGTTTGTTGGATTTTCTTAGATTGTGCTCACAGAAAACCTGAATTACGAAAAACCATGAAGCTGAACAAATTTCAAACAAACAGAAGTCTTTATAGCAGAAAAATCCTTCATAGCCTGAACAATTCATGTAGGTGGATCGTGCAACTTTGCGTGACCTCCCTTCAATGTGGGGTGAAAACGAAGGCTTCAAAATGTAGCTTTCACTACGTGAAGGTTGTTACCATGCCTAACAATGGCAGCGACCATGGGGAACCAAAAGTGAAGCAAATGTTACATCCTCCTACATACATATATATCTGAATAGCTTAACAAGTCAAAAAACCAAAACGTTCACAACATTTTATTAAAGAAAGAAAAAGCGTGGGATCAAAACAGTTAGATGACGTCATGCAAACTACAAAACGGACACATTTCATAAAGATATCAGCCATTCAATAAGCAAAATAACTTACATTGCGCAAAATACTGTGTGCCTTTGGCAAGAAATGAAAAAAACTTTGAAGCAGAGAGAACCACGCCACCAGCCTTGATGCCCGACAAGCAGAGATGCAATAAAGCCAGAACCAATGAAGCAAGGATGCTACCCCTATATATTTTCAAAAGCCTTGGGGCTTAATGTCTCACAATAGCCAACTGGAGTTGCATAGACTTATTATAGCTGAGCTGGCTTTGCTCCCGCTTTTGTCCATGTTAGCCTTTGGTTTTCATTCAAATGGTTATAGAATAGGGAAGATATACATGTAGTGTGGGGGTGGGGGCTGACAAAGAAAAAGGGGGTGGTTCGGTGAACTGGGAAGAGGATATGCATCTTCCTTGAAACTGAAAAGAATAGGAAAGGATGCAAAGGCTGTTCTGAAAGAACAATCAATATAGGGAGTCAAAATCTAAATTGATTAGGAGAACACTGAATTCCTCAAAGATGGGGCTTATGAAGAAAAAAGCAATCAAGAGATTATGAAAAGTGGGAGTCAAACTCCACAGGAGACATTGAGACTGTAGGAACGGTAGGAACCACAATGAATGTGACCTGGTTCATCAAAACCAGTTGGTCCAGATAACGATCCAGCTTCAATAACAGGTGCTAAGCACATCATCTAAATCTGCTTTTGCCAATTTTGTTAAGACTGCAGGCAGGGAGCACAGTATAAAACAAGCTAAGTTATTGGGGGGAAAAATCTGCTTAAAACAGCGACTCATACATTTCAAATTATTGGATTTATTGTAGCTTGTCGTCTACACCGTGAGATATGCTAGAATCAAACCATTTACTCCCTAGTCATCATTTTACCAATCTATGCGCGCTAAGATATATCACTGGAAACAGAGTGCAAACAGTTTTTTAAAAAACAAAACTTTTCACACAATTTCGGTTGCAATCTACAGGGAAATAAACAACCACACGATGAATTGTTACTTTTTCAAACAGCAGTTTTGGACAAATAAGCCTGGTATGATTCTTTCAGCTCCAACAGTATCTGCACAATGCACCTTGCTGCAGCAATTCTCCAACTTAATTTACATGAACTGCATGACTGCCTCACCTTAGATTTGTTCTATATGAACGTTTTGCCCAACCCGACTAACTGACTGACTAGTCACCAGAAACAACCTTTTCACAATCACAGTAGAGAATTTCTTTTCTAATTATCCAACACAATAAGAGAGTATACCTGTCGCGGAAAGAATTTCCACACCAAAAAAAATGCTGAAGGACATCAAGCATCGATTTGCTTTCAAAACTGGCAGCGCGTAACATCCTGTGAAACGTTAGATTAATAGATATGGTAAATAAAAGACTTTGCCATAGCCTGAACAAAAAATTAAACACCATGTATTTGTAATGCTGTCAGCTTCTCCTGTACATTAATAATAAATGGCACATACTTACTTATACAGATCAGTAAATGCACACTACATTCACCTTGAACAAAGATTTATGAGACAATCAAATAAACACATGTCCATGTCATTCAACACTGTCCATGTCGCCTTAGCACTAAACAAACACAGTTGATATTTTTTTCATGCCTGACAAGTGCATACTGTTACATACAGAGGTATACTATAACCCAAGTTGATTTAAGGAACAAGGGGTCAAGGGTCAAGGACATAATACTAGATTTTGGCGGTTAAGGTTCCCTCAAACACACGTGCTCGTTGTAAATCACTGTTCGAACTTTTCTGTCTAGTAAAGAATAACTGCATTTATCAAGTCAATCTGTTCCATTAAATTTTTTAGCTATTGTACAATTGTAGGCCAATATGTAAGCCCTCAAAAGAAGCAACAGTCAGATTACAACAAGCTGGATCTGTGTGCTTCAAAAAGCTTAAAAGAGGATATGTTTCCTTCTTTTTTAGAGCAACAACATTCATTCTTCTCGGAGTCTGAGTAAATGTATTTCAAGGGATCTTTCAGTACAAAACCTGGTGTTTCTAGCACCTGGTCAAATGGCCTTCCATTTGTTTTTACAACTCAGGCAGATGATAATGTAATAAAACATTTATCTAATGTGATCCTGCTTATTTAGTCCCCCCCCCCCCCCCAAAAAAGCCAGGTCATGTACTCACGGTACTAGAAAAATGGTGAGGGATGGGAACAGGAAAGGCCTACTGCATATTACATGCATGGAATGCCACAGTTATTAGCTTGCAGTTTGTGGTCATGTTGTGGCGGCATCAGGGAATTATATGACCACAGTTAGTTTATCTTCGAACACATGCAGTCAAGTCTGTTCCTTGCTCTAACTTCCTCAAATAAAGAAAACATATACAATGTAGTAGGGCCGTTTATAGCTCCATCATGCTAGTACTACTACTACTACTACTAGGCCTAGTAGTAGTACTTACTGTTTCAGTCTCTTGCCCCTGCTTTATTTTTTATAGTATTATCATTGTGAAATATAAATTAAAGATCGAGGGGAAAAGACCGATGGTAGTGTCAAATGTATAGTCCCCCTAGTGCCTACACCTTCGAATTTGCAATGGCCGATTGGCCCACCCGACAATTTGGTTCTTGGTACGCCCTTTGGATGGAAAGAACACATACAACATGTAGGCTACGAAACTAGACATTATCATAATTATATAAAGCACACGGGAAAACTCCGAACATGCCGAACAAAGTATGAGGCCTAACTTCACTTACCGATTTACCAGGAACACAAACAACAGCTCTGACCACGACTGTAATCGGAATCTGTGCAACTAGGTAGGGGACGCGATGTGTAGAAGACTACACGTATATCCCAAGGGCAGCCTAAAAGTAAAGTTGTTGTGAACAAAAGGATTTTCGCGCCAAACCTAATGTTGTGCACACGTACCACGCCTACGCGAACACCACGTGTCCATCCCGGATATTCAACTTCCTCGCCAGGTCATGTGTAGAGATTAGACTAGATACAAGTCCACCAAGGCCTCTGGTCAACTATATAAGTATGTTAATAACCGATAACTTAGAAAATATTAAACTTTGTTGTTGTATTCTGAAAAGAAAACATTTTAATTGGGTAAACACTTTCGTAAAGTAAATTTCTGTAGACTAGGGATAAACAATGTAGATTTGTTGGTTAGGTTCAAAATGATAATTAAAAAAAAACATTATTAAGGGGCCAGGGTGCCACAAAGTACCATCAAAATACTTTCACGTTTCAGAAGAATATCTTCCAACAATGATTTTCATATTAGTACAAACTTTTGTTTGTGGTATTTCTTCTGCAAAGACATTAGGTGTATCACTGTCTCTAGTGGTCAAATCCTGGATCGTCATCAGACTGATGACGATCCAGGATTTGACCACGGCACTAGAGAAAACACTTTTTTTTCCTTAAATTTTTAGGAAATAATGAAAACGTTGCGTATCTCCCTGTTGCGCCGTCATCCACACATATCTTTTATTTTTAATATTACAATGTGGAAATAGTCAACGACATAGTATAGTCCATCCCCATCTTTGAAAAATAAATCTCCAGCCCCCCCCCCCCCCAAAAAAAAATGTATCCGCGCTTGGATTTGGTAGTCTCATGGTCAACAGGAAGACTAGCTTCGCCAACAGTTGATTCACTAATGATGATAGAGGGCGCTATACTGATTTTGCAGTAAGCGCAGCATGCACTCGTGATCTGATGCATCTGAAACATTCTGGGCAAACCATCAAGGCCCCACTCCCGAGTCTCCCACGGCGTAAGGCGTTCGATCGATATACCATTAAAAGAAACCCATCCCCTAACAATCGATATACCCTAGCAAGTCTAATTAATAAATCATGACGAATGATTTATAAATAGACCATTGCCTGTCTTCTTCCATGCCATATTTATTTTACTTATTTCTTTCTTTTGAAATATTGAAAGATCCCAAGAAGTTCAAGTTCCGGCCGAGGTCAATTCAGCAAATAAATACTCTCTCTAGCACACAAGTCATTGAAGAAGAAAAACGATCATCTGAATCGTTTGAAGACTTTTTTCGTCCAAAAATCGATCGATCCACACTGGGTCTGACCGTCCTTGAAAACACTTTTGATCGAAGATTCGACATAGCCTGGTCCAATCCAAAGACTATAAAGTTGGCTATCCTGTGCGATTGGAACTGTTCATACCAGATTACCTCATTTTGTTGAGCAAAAGTGGAGTTGCACGCAATTTCCAAAGAGGGTTGCCCACAAGACCGTGACACTACTCTTATATTAGTCTTCAAGTTTTACTTTTGCAAGGAATAGTTACGGGTCACCGTTACAAAGTTATACCGAAAACAGCGCAGATGATCGGATGGTGATACTGTGTCATTAGGAGGAGCGTTTACCAGAAGCTCTGCCGTGAAGACAAACAAAATGGTCCTTCGCATCGTCTCGTCGACATAGATGTATTGAGCTGATGGGAGAACTACAAATCCACGATACGTCTTTGCGTTTTTGTTTCGCACTCAAAAGATTGCATGCCCCAATTTCGTCAAACAACTTTCATGAGCAGAAGATAAGAGTTGAGCTATAGGACAGTTATCGGAAATCGCTGTATATTCAAGAAACTTCCCCAGTCATTTGACTGGACTAAATTGGTGAAACCTTCAGATTCAAGAACAGCTTTGATAAATCAATTTATCATGATCGTCAAGATGATTATGCTGTTGTCCATCCTCCTCTTACTTCCTCTTCCCGCATCCACCTCACAAGGAACCACCATCATGCGAGGCATGAAGAGCGAGTACGGGTTTATGGAGACGGCGCGCTTCCCGGACTGCGGGGTAGGGGGCTACGGAGCGTTCCTCAACACCACCGCCTACAGCCGGGGAGAGTGCGGCATTAGATGCCTGATGGATGATGACTGCCTTTCCTTCGAGTGGGGCGAGGAGAACTCGACATGCAGTCTGTTCGAATACGCTGCGCTGCCGCATTTGAGGCCAAAGATGGGAATTGTCTTCGTTGACAGCGTCGACCCGAAAGTGGTAAGTTTTCAGGTTTGCTTTTCCTGAGCTTTTTTTTATAAGAATAACAAGATCCTGATTAAAAGCTTTCTTTCTCGATGACAAAATACAGGACAGAAAATACGCAATAGCGCATTCTTTTTCAAAATGTTTCTTTTATATTTATTTTATCTTCTTATATTTTGTGATAATAATTATTACTGATGTCGTTATAATTGGTGTACATGCACGTACGTGGGATGTTTTCTGATTGTTTGCGACTATTTTTTTGTAACGTAGCACTCGGGAGAAAAAACAGTTTTCACCGTTATCAATGACGACAAAGCGATGGACATAATATTATCTTGCATTAAAACGGGGATACGTCATTGCTGTCATCAAAGGGACAACATTTTTATATATATTTTTTGGCTCTGAGGTTTATTATTTTATTTCAGGGTGAGCAGCACCCTTGCGAGGACGATCCCTGTCTGAGTGGGAATATCTGCACTGAGGAATGCCACCCAAATGGCTATAAATGTCAATGCCCAGATGGGTTACAAGGAGATTTTTGCAACGGTAAGTTGCCCAAAAATTTTGGAGTAGTCGATTTTCCGTTGTTTTTTTTGGTAGAGCGCAGCTGAGATCACAGATTTAAAGGTGTACCGCCGTCTGGGGATCGCCAAAGTTAGTCGTTCAAAGGTTTAGGTCACATAAAAGCCGCATTAAAGTGCTTGCATCTCCTGAGAAATGTGTAAAATCCTTTTAGATGAAATTCGATGCTGCACCAAATTTTGTTTTGCTTGTAGGCTTATAATTACAGTAGAATTCCCGTTAAGTCGAATCTCAAGGGAATGGTTGAAACATTCGAGGTATCCGAAGTTGAGTTAAGCAAAGCTCCCGATTTGTGTATGTCATTTAACATACATGAACATTATATTGGAAGTGTTATGACTACCTTATATAAATGCATCGAATTTTCATGATTTCCAGCCAAACACTCCCTGTAATGCAGCGTCATACAAGGTTTTCTTATTCACTCGAAATCGATTGAAGGTTCCTTCCCGTGATACAACAATCATTTTAAAGCTGGAAAAGAAAAAAAAATACTGGAAAATTTAGATTTTGCATTGTTTTAAGGATTTTCTTTTAAGAAAAATCTGATCTGCCGCACATGCATGGGAACTGGCCGTCGTTCAAATTCGGCGGCACTTCATTTCTTTATTGGAATAAAATAATGTCTATAAAATATTTGCCAATAATTTGACTGATTTTCTTTCTTTACTTTGTAGATCTTTCGCCAGTTGATGGAGGCTTCTCTCGGTGGGGCAACTACTCCGAGTGTTCCGATGTTTGTCGGACCGTCAGCTACCGCAACTGTAGTGATCCTTGGGTTGTGGCCGATGGCAAAGACTGCGTGGGGCCCAACACGCGCGAGACAAGCTGCGACGTTCAAGATTGCAACGGTAGGCCTAAGAAGCCGCAGAACATAAGCATGGATTTTGTTATCCAAACGATAAAGGTCTCATTAAACTAAAGATCGTTCCCCGTGCTATTTTCGAGTTACATCTCGAAATATAGACTTGCTTTTTCAATTGCTGTATTTGCCTAGAAATACAAAGAAAGTTATTCACTTTTGAATGAGACTCCAAACGAAAAGAATCCACCGGCCTTTAGTTATTGAATTATTTATTCACAAAAATCGAATTATTGGCTGCCGGAAAGGTTCATTTGTGCGCATATTGATTTATTTTTGTCAGAGTGTTGCAGACACCAAAAATCGGAAAGAATTTTTTTCGCTAAAACAAAAAATACAAATTCAAATTACATAACGAGATAAAAAGCCATGTTTGAAGAGCATTAGAAAGGTATGTTTCTCCACTGTTTCAGATAAATGAAAACTTCTATTTATTCGTTTTCCTTCATTTTAACTCGCAGTATCTCCCTACATGGGCTGCTATGAGCACAGCACATTGGAGGCAGACTATGACGTTGCCTTGGTTACCACCAGTAGCAACATGGAAATTCCATTATGCAGGGAGGTGTGTGCAGACAGTGGCTACAAATTCGCAGGTAAGTTGTCTCATTGGCAAAGTATTTCCAAGCACAAAAACATCCCCCTCACTCACTTCGTGGACATAGCTCAAGCATAACAAACTAAAAGGCTAGGGACTCCTGAAGATATTAGACGCTTTTCAAGACCAAAGTATTTCAGGGAAACTCACAAATTCCGATCTAAGAAAAGAGGAGCTTTGGAGAAAGATAACTGCTATTTCTTCCATTAAAATTTGATGTCATTCCCATGGTAACTAATTTGATGCATCAGCCTACTCTTTCTAACAACTTAAAAGGGTTTATTCAGAAAATAATCCTACTTTGTGTGTTCTCTTCGCAGGAAGATGATTTCATTTGATTAATTCCTCTTTTTTTGGCCAGCTCTGAAGGGCCAGAAGTGTTATTGTATTCGCAGCATGCAGGCCACGGATGCATTCGATGAGTCGCAATGCTCTACCAACTGCCCTGGTGACTCCAGCCAAAAATGTGGGGGAAGTGCCTACTCATCTGTCTACAGTGCAAGTAAGGGGAGCAGTGAATTCTATTGTTTTTTTTTGGGGGGGGGGGGGTTCATGTTCTTTTGCCAACCAAAAAAAGGCCTACTCAACAAGAAAGAAACATGCAATTAAAGAGAAAGATGAATCTCCCAAGATTTTGATTGACTTGAGATAAATCATTTTAAGGAGTATATAAAAAGCAGTCAAGAACTCCATGAGTTTGGGTTTGTGCTCAGCCAGCCAGAACAACAACAACAAAGTACACAACAATGCAAACATTAATAAAATTATATGAAATAGATTGGTATGTTGTTCCCTTTGTTTTGGGGTTGTTGTTTTTTTGAGAAAATGTTAATATAACCAGATGATTGATACGTTGAAGGACAAAAATACTGACATGACTGATGTTTGTGCACTGCTGATAACAGAGTTAATTAAGATTCCAAAACAAAGAGAAAAAAAATCATCTTATGCAACTGTAACAGTCATAACACTCTACAAAACAAAATCTGAGATTGTTTAAGAAATATATTGAGCATTAAAACGAATAATGCTGTTGAGAATTTTGTTTATCATCTGTCCCCTGACAATTTTTGGTTTACTAGGTTCCTCCTCCACCGGCACATCCTACAAAGGCTGCTTCTCTGGCTCAATCCAAGACCCCAAAGTTATCCAAACCTACAGCCCGAGCGCAGCTAGCTCGCCTTCAACAACGCCATCGACCGGCAGCGCCACTACCCCCGAACCCCCATCCACCACCCCAGCCTACCCGGGCCTGACTGCCCGTGAGTGTATGGAGGACTGTCGCACCTACGGGTATCTCTTTGCATCCCTCTTTAACGAAACCACCTGTAACTGCCACAACTCACTGGAGGGAATGGACATGAGTTATACAGAAGGAGCCTGTGACATACAGTGTCCTGGCGGAGATGACCAAGGGAAATACTGCGGTGGAAGCAGCGGTTATTCCACATTTCGCATGGACATCGAAGGTACGTCCCAATGCAGTATGAAGCTTTCGAATGTTGTGGCATTCAGACATTGTGCAAAAAGGCAACTACATGTATTTCGATTTGTTGCTGGGTAGAGAGTACAACTTGGGCAAAGTTTGATAAACAATTTCATCAAGTGACTATCTCGGCAAAAAGAAACAATTCTGAGAAAATCCAGTGGTATCACTGCTGGACATATGCAGATTCAAATAATTATACCAATTTTTTTTTTTCCAGTAAACCACAAAAAGTGAAACTAACAAGGTGTATTAAAAAAAAAATAATTTGAACAAATAAATTGACTGGAGCGGGGTTTGAGCCTGCTACTTCAGGTCAAGGTTCAATCTTACATCTCTGAGTGATCTTCAACAGCCTTTTACAGGGATTGAAGCATTTACAATATTTCTAGCTCGGTTACTTTGAGCATGATCTCTGGCCACGCAGCATGTATTACTTTCAGAGCTTTTGACAAGCGTTCTTAGAAAACTGAATATGCCAGAAACCTCATTTTACCAAGGACCAAATTTTCTTTCTTGCAGGTCATGATTTCACCTTGCCATTGATTTAAAATTTTAACCTTTTAACCTTTGATCCCTCAGACACAGAGTTTTGGACTGAGTGGTTCAACTTTGACGCTCCCTATAGTGATGGTCACGACATCGAGACCACAGCAGAGGTGCATGACACCATGCCTTGGATATGCACCAATCCGCTGGACATAGACTGCCGCAGATTCGACGATGTACCCTACAATGAGACCGGTGATAGCTTCAATGTTGCATGTACACTGGATGGAGGAGGCATCAACTGCACGCAGGACCTGCAGGTAAATCTGTCTCACTGACGGACTCCCACTTGTGACTTAGACTTGTCTGGGTCCGGCTTGCCTAGGCTTGTTTAATTATCAAATGGTCTGGACCCAGACCCACAGTACGGGCTGACAGACCATCGTGGAAACTTGCAATTTATGGGCAAAGAATTTTTGGGTGACATTAACCAAAATACCACTATCTGTGGACCAGCACAAAAGATTTTCAATAAAAAATTATGACAAAGTGTATCACTGGACGATAGCAAAGCACTAATTACTCTGAAAAAAACCCTGTTCAAACAAGAACATGTAATACATAAAATATAAAATAAATAAATAAGTATAAAATTTAGATAATTATTCAATTGCGATGTAAGAGAGCATCGACTTAAACATTCAAATGTCAAGAGCTGCTTTTCATTTCCCATACAAGGTATATTATGTCAACGTGACTTTCAACGTGTCGGACTGGCGTCTGTTGGAAATTGAGGAATCGTACAACGCCACTGAGCTTAACTGTGAATGGATCCCTGCATCAACCAATGAAACCATGAATGCAACCATGGCAAATGCAACCATGACGAATGCAACCATGACAAATGCAACCATGACAAATGCAACCATGGCAAATGCAACCATGATAAATGCAACCATGACAAATGCAACCATGATAAATGCAACAATGGGGAACAGCACACTGATGGGCACCAACGGGACAGGTACCAGTCAAGGCTACCTGGTCTGTAACAACCAGACACTAGTGCTGGAACGGAATGTGACCGTGAACGAGACATTCTTACGACTGACCTGGAGATTGGATAGGATGTCACCACAGTGCCAGGACTACAAGTTCCGCCTCAAGTGCAAAAATGGTCAGTATCCAAGTACTCCTTGTAGCAAAGCTTATAAAGTTCATCCAGGTCTAGGTACAAGACTGAGCATGGTAAACTGATTACTAACCCCTGCTCAAAACAGAGACTGGGTACCACACTGGGCCTTGGTTGTAAAGTATGTTATATACCTTCTACAAAGCTTGGTCCAGCTACCAGACCTGTTCTGTAAAGTCCAGTTGGTACTTGTATTTAGAGTTCATGATTAAAATGTTCGCATGAAAAAGTCATTTGCCACACAAAGCAACACACTGCATGCTGGTTGGGCAAGCTTGTTCCAATGTAATTTGACAAAGGTTGCACTCACAGGGGTTAAGTTAAAGCTAAAGTCACCAAATGTTGGATTTACATTCTTAAATTTGCCTTCTGTAGAACCGGAGAAGATGATTGGCTGCTTTGAGGCCGGGGATGTCAACGACACCTTCACAGCAGCCATTGGCCTGGACATTGCCAACTGCAGCAGCCACTGCAGCAGCCTGGGCTACCCGCTGCTGGGCATGTCCAGCGAGCTAACCCGCTGCTACTGCGGCAGCTCTATGAAGAATAACAAGGCCATCGCCAGCCAGTGCTTCTATACATGCGGGGATGAGAATTATCCGTGTGGAGGGTCAGGAAAGCAGTCTGTCTACTATACTGGCGGTGAGACAAATTTGTCCTTAATCCTTACTCTTTGAACATAATTTACTGTCATTTCCATGGAGGGGTGCAAATCTTTCCACTGTGAGAAAGAAAAGGCCACTCAGGTGAGTGCCACAATTTTTTTAACCTCCACATTCACCTCCAAAATATCTGCAAGACTTTAATCTTTCTTTGCTTACAGATTGTAACCTGCCCTTTGGCATCACCAAGAGTCAGATGTCTGGTACCCTGATGCATAACAACGATGCCACAGACGAATACGACCTGTGGTTTGATGCGCTTGACCAGAACCCGACTATTGAGTTGAGTAACTTCACCAACATCGGGGTCAACATCCCCTTCCAGCTGGAGATTGATCTGGGACGCGTGCGATCGTTCAACAGGGTAGGTTTGTCTTTCAGAGTATGGGAACACTGTTTGCAGTAACTATATCCTACAAATTTGAAATTTACCACACGACCACATCCGTGATTGTAACAGCTCTGTGCATCAACGGTAGAGGGCCCTATAACCTCCATGCGAGAGCCCAGCTGATGGCACGTTGTGAGTCATAGTTGTCCTCCAAATGCAAGCAACGCAGAGCAGAGCTTCAACTGAAATGTGCATGATCCTGTGTCGAATTCTCTAAACAGCACATCTGAACATAGACATGGAAAACTTACCCAACAATGTTTTTTGCAAATTGCATGAACACTACCAAAGGCGTATGTACACACACACACACAAGTCTCCAAAACTGAAACTCATAAATACTGAATTGCAAATAAGTTAATATTTTTTGTTTATAGATGGAGACCAAAGGAATGTACATCACTGGTATGGAAATGATGACAGGGGCGACCCAATTCAGAATTGGGTACAAGTTGGACCCGAGTCACGACACTGAGCTGCTGACTGACAAACAGACCTTGACAGCAAAGGTAAGCACAGCATTATCAAAGCTGTTCAAGAGCGCAAAGTGACCAGTTGTACATTTGAGCAAATAACCATATGTACAGTTTAAAGCTTTGCATGGTGCAGGGCAACCAGCTCTCACGCTTTGAACGTGAGACTCACGCATTTCAGGTTGTTCTCATGCGCATTTGGGATTTCTCACCCTAAAAAAAAATAATAAACTTGATCATGATGTTTAAATGATGATCTTTTACTCAGTTAAAGTGGTCAGAAATTGCCTCAGATCGCACCACAGAGCGTAAAGAATCAGTTTTTTCCAGGCCCATCAGCGGGCTCTGAACCAATGCCGTTAGGGCTCCGCGTTTCATACTTCGCCCTTCGAGCTTAGCACTTCGTCCTTCGTGCTTCGAAGTTATCAGCCCTGTGTGGTGGAATGTATAAAAGTGAGAAGTTTGCGGTACACCATGGAATTGATCTTTTCTGTGAAAAAAAGTGTGGTTCTGAAAAGAACCAATGGTGAGAAGTGCTCACAAATGTTTCAGAGAGCAAACTCTGTAAAAACTTACCACTCCATCATACTGTAGAGTCAAAGACAAGTACATGTACTTTCAAAATCGGCTGTCCAAAAACACCTAAGCAACCCATCGACAAGATTACACTTGACAAGTTCTATTTCCTCTCATATTCGTAAATTTGTTTGTGTTTTCATTCAGGTTTTTACGGTGTCCTCCTTATCTGCTACTACCTCTCATGCCTTGGGACAGCTGCTGACCACACGCCATGTCATCATCTATGTAGACGACTACGACATGTTTCCTGGGTTCAAACTGGAAATGTACGGGTGCACTGATGCCTAATTGGACGTGGATGCTTAGCCTGAAAACTCCTATCAGCATTTTTGAATCGAGAAGGTGACAATGGTTAACAATGAACATTAGCATGGAAGGTTTTTACATTAAAAATTCATAGCAAGTGTCTGGTAGTACTAGGTTAAGTCATAAAGTCAGGGCGGGTGGGGTGGTATAAAGGGGAGGGGTTCGAGTCTAAGGTGTGTCAAAGGCATGCCCTGCTGGGGGGAGGGGACAGGGGCATGCCTCCTGGAAAATATTGAAATCTAAGAAGCTTTTTCTGTATTCTAAGGCAATTTGACAAAAAAATTATGAACAATAGCATTCGGGGGGGGGGGGGGGGGGAGTGTTTAAAACCCAACAACCCCTGCTAGATCCGCTACTGGACAGTGATAATCAGTGATAAACGTCGGTGCAGGGCAAAACCTAATTTGATAAATCATTTTGACATGTTTGTGGTTCTAGAAACCTAATTTACACAGTGTTTCTAAAAGTAAACAAAGCATTTGAAGTTAGTGATTATTCCTGGACCCACTCTTTTGTTTAAACTGTTTTTAACACATAAAATCTGCCGAAATCTAAACTATAATTTTGAGGGGTTTAGTACCAATGAAGAGTGCTTTGGTAGTGGTACATGATTTCTGTGTGTAAATATTTCTGCATTTCTGCATTTGGGCACACGTCAGTTGTAAATTTGACTGACAACATGCAGAGTTTGTGGCATCATGTAAAAACTTGTAAAATATTGTCAGATGATAAGTTGCTTTAGGCAGTGTGACATTAAGAGATGCTTTTGGTGTTATATTTAGGTTAAATGAGTTTTTTTGAATTTTTAGAAAGCAAATATTTATAAAAGAGATGAGACTTTTAAAGAAAACTATTTTCAATTCAGATATATCATAGTTTATTTGACGGTGTATGTCTTTACATATGCACATTGTTTGGAAATTTGACAAAAGAAGTAAAAACTACTGTTATCAGTATGTGTATAATAAATACAGATAAAGAAAGGTGTGCATTTGAATGTGGTATATGCTGAATGTGTATCATTCAAAAGAGTTCTTTATTTTTTTCTTAGTTCAAAATGTAACTAGGCCTCTTTGCTCTGGAAGTAGGTACTGACCACTTTGATGAACCCTAAAATTAAAAAAAAAAAAAAAAATGGTCGTTGACATAACAATAGTTTAACTAGAGTCGTTTGCAATTCAACTCAAGTGCGCATGCGCTAGGCACGTCAAGAACCAACAACTAGTTAAACTTTGGCCCTTGATCGAACTTGCCCAAAGCTGCAGCAAAAAAATGCGGTGTCCCATAAGTGTGCAGTGATAAAGCCCTACTAAAGACTACATTCAAGTAAGAGTTTTGAGCATGTTTGCCACAAAGTGGCTATTAGAATCTTGAAAACCAGAGAGTTCCACTACAAATATTGAGTGCCTCCAAAATCAATTGGATATTATTCATAGGGGTACTTGATTAAACGACCGTATTTTTATAACCTGTACCTCCGCATTATTCCGAATTCATGTATATGTTGGCCCAACCTTCAGGGACGTCAGATGATCAGCCATATCATTGTCAACTTCATTGTCCTCATCGTCATCTTTGTCGTCATCGTCCTCGTCATCTTCATCATCGTCTTCATCATCATCATCGTCGTTGTCATAGTAAGACCCTCCAGCAGCAGCAGCACCACCGTAGTACCCTACAGAGGAATCACAAATCCATGTGTCACAACAATTTTCTATACAGACTAACGTTGTGTAAACCCGACCTAAAAATGGAAACGAGTCGGGTCAGTTTGTCCAATTTTCAGTCGGGTCGGGTCGGTTTCAGTTTTGCGTTTGCGATTTTCAAGTCGGGTCGGGTCGGGTCGGTAAAGCCATTTTAGAAAAACCCAAAATAAACAAAAATACCCCCACCCAAAAAAAATGACATTCACGATATATTGAAATATTCCCCGTTTCTCAAGTCCGACAAAATAGTATGGCTTGCAATTCATAAAACACTTTCCTTATAAACCTTTAAATGAAGGCGCTTACCGTAGCCTCCACCACCATTATCATCATCGTCATCATCATAAGTGTACGAATAGCTCCCCGCACCAGCATCGTTGCTTTGCCGACCATACGCAACTTTCCGTGCTGTAAAGTTATCAAACAGAGAATTAAATACCAAAATAAGTCCCTAACATACATTACATTCACAAAAATGGTCATCAAGACAACACTAGACAACTATCTAGTATATTGTTTATAATATAAATCAAAAACCTACAATAAAACAGGAGTACATAAAGTACCCTTATGCGTCATGCTCAATGATCTATGGGCTCTGCGCATGAACAAGAGAGGGCTCTTTTTGACCACTTTAGACAGCTCCAATGGGGAGACACTCCGCCGACACGTACTGGTTCCCGTGCGTATGGCGCTAAGTACGCATGACTAATTCTATGCTGAATGTGCGTAAAGCCATATGCAGCGTCTTGCGTGAGCATCAGGCGTCATCGGCAATGCGTTTGATTGTCCCTACCAGAGGTCTCCCCCAACTGTCCCTTTCGTACTGTTGAGGGGGTACTTGTGCTCAGAGCCCAAGAGACATATCCACATGAACACTTGAATATGCAAATTTTCAACCAGTAGTTCAGACTCAGTTTGAAAGATTTAGTCAGAGAACATACGGTTGATCGATATATGTACTGCAACAAATACGGGTCTAGATTTTTCGGTGCACTTTTAAAAAAAAACTACAAATGGCAACATGTTTTAAAGAAATTTTCGGAATAAGGTACTCACTGGACATGCTGAGTTCCTTCGTTTCCTTGGTGTCATAACTGCACTTTGGGCAAGGAATCGGCTCACCACGGCTGTACTTGAAACCCTTACGCTTGACATGATCCTCACAAAAGCAAATCTGAAACAAAAATAAAATAAAAAACCCCAAAAAAATGTTCTCATGTGTTACATAATTTCAGCACCCCCTTTAAAAAGACAAGTGGTCCGCGGACTGTATGTGTCGCCTTTTTCCGCGGTCGATCCCTTTTCGGTTCTTGTGTTCTCAAAAAAAAAAGAGTCAAATTTTGTGCATTTTTGAACTGGTTATTGTCCCAAAACTTTGTTTAGGGGCAAAATAAATGGAGTATTTTAAGTATTCACATAATTTTCTATTCTGCAAAATTCTTCAATTGTCTCCAAGTAAAAAAAATTAGATACAGCCTGAATCCTTCAAAATCCTCCAGCATCTCTTGATTTTGTTCATTGGAGGGATGACCACTGCCTCAATCCGGCAAATCCTCAAGCAGCAGTCACTGTTGATACGTTGAGGCAGAGCTGATGATACCCAGAAGCAGTGTGGAGGATTTCAAGTATTAGCGAGGCCTAAATGTATGCATGGCTAAGCATACACAACACAAGGTACAGCCCAAGACCTTGGCACAATTCATCCTCCAAAGTCAACCGACACATTTTTGCCATAAAGCCTCAATCCTTCGAAATCCTCCACGAAAGTTAGGGTTGGGGAAAAGAATGGAACACAGTATTTACCTTACACCTGAGACAAGAGTACTGGCCAAGCCTGTTGCAGGATGCGCCTGTAATGATACAACAAAAATACTGTTAAATTTAAATAAGAGAAAACAATGTGTGATTGTGGTGATTTAAAACTCCCAGCTTCAAACACAAATGGAATAAATGCCAAAACATTGACAATCGGGGTTTTTTTTTATTTATTTACAAATTTATATTTTCCTGATAATTATTTGGTGTTTAGCCTCACACTACCAGTAGCACAAAACAGATTCCTTCAATTGTAGCATCACGAAAAAAAGGCACATTTTATGAGCTCCTGTCTTCAAGAAAAAATTGGATTCTAAAAACAAAGACCTACATTTCAGGGATTCTGCTTCTACTTGCTGACACATGGCCTGATGTTCAAACTGGTCGTCCTCACACAACGCGCTGTCACAGAAAGAACACTTAAAGATTCTTCCACCTGTTAAAGAAAATTTGAAGATGAAAAACAGAGAGGCAATGCAACTTTAACAAAAAAATTATCGGAGTGAATTTAAGAAGTTTTTTATGCATTTTAAAATTATTTTAGGTATATACAAATAGGTATACAAAATTAAAAAAAATTGTTATCAACTTTCAAACTTGTCTGCAGTTTCTATGTAACCATCTTCTTTTTTGAAGGAAAATATGCAATACAAACAAAAAGCAAATAACCCTCTGGTAAAAAAAAATGTTTACTGAAAAAAAGTATGAGTTTACCGTGTTCCCATACTCCACGCTCGCACTCTTTGCACTCCAAGTCAGTCAGCGGGCATTCACAGGCGTGGGTTGTTAGACACTTCCTGCCGTGGCAGATGAACGCCTCGCAAAAATCACACACTGCTCCCTGTGAAATAAGCCAAAATCTTATCATTTCTATAGCATGAACTGTTTGCAGAGGTAAACGATATAACAGATGACCAACATGTGTTCAGATCCCACAGACCAGAACAGGCATGCTTGCTAACACTTTTATCACAAAGGCCCCCTTCAATGGCAAAAGCATTGAGCTAGCTATAGATAATCCATCACTGGGCAGTTGTTACAGTACAATAGCTAGCACAATGCTTTCGCCATTGCAGGGCATTTGCACAGTGTTCACGAGACTAGATTAGTCTATATGTATCATGTATACATCAGGATTTTTCATCCCTACTTGATTTCAGAGATTTTTTACAAGGTTTTTATCAAGAGAATTGCTTTCTACCTTATAGCTACATTATTGTAGAATGCTCGCAGAAATTTGGGGAAATCTTGATTTTTATCATCACGAAGCAAATATCACTCATTGCACACTCGCAGTTTGAAATAGCTACAAGAACTACACGTGGGAGCCTTCAAAAGATTGCAAGTGTTCGGAACAACTGCACAGTCTGGACAATAAGAAATTAATACCTAATGTTTCCTGCAGGAAACCACTATATATTTGGGTCATCTAAAATATCTGCTAATACTTTTTGGTTCGCCACGACTCTAGACCACCTGTCTAATATAGGTGAGAGACTTTGAAAACATCCCAGTCATTCCCACGGAGGTTACTTACCACCATACCAAGACCGGTGGTAAACTGCCCTGGGTGTTTGATGACACAATCCCCCGACTTCTGCATACATTTCACTTTGGCTGGCAGAGAAGAATTAAACACAGAATGCATTCATTCAGCATGGTTTATTTATTTAATGCCACTGCAGCGCCACTGTGATGGTACTAAAAAGTTCATTTTCTAAAAAATTTAGAAAAATGCGGCACACAGTGCTCTTTTAAGAGTGGTGATTAGTACCACGTTCCACAAAACAACGCAACTTTAAAAAAAAAAAGATCCTGAGTGACTATCAATTCCGGCGATTCACAATGCAGTGTGCCACCAAGAGTTTGCCATGGAGAGTTCATTTTTCCCAGTGCATTGTGGGAGATGGTCGACAAATTCGCAGCGCGGGACATTTGAAATTGTTACTTTTTTCAGGTCAGTAGTTTCGTAAGAGTATGATTCGAGTATCTGTTTACCCTTTGTTTTCTTTTTTTCAATATGAAGTTTTTTGTAAGGCGGCAGAACGCTATGCCCAAAACTATAACAAATTAGCTCAAGTTGTCTACTGACACTCATTCAAATTGTTCATGTTTTGTCGACCGTAAACTTGAAAAATAGACTCTCCATGGCAAACTCTTGGTGGCGCACTGCATTGTGAATCGCCCGAATTGATCAAAGTTGCATACCCTGTGCTGGATCCATTTTTTCCTCCTATTAACGAGGTTTTTTTTTACAGTTGAGCGCTTTAAAAAATACAAAATTGATTATTCTGATTTGGGACGCCTGCAACTCTCTGAAAATGGCTTTCATTGTCTGTACAAATGAACCCTCAACTGAGAGCCGAAATATTATCTCGCAGCCAATCATTTAAATTTTCAGAAGAAATCATTCAATAACTGAATGTCGGTGGATCTTTTCGTTCAATGTCTCATTCAAAAGTGAATAACTTTTTTTTTGCTAGTTTATTTTTTTTTTTAGGTAAAACTCAAAAATAACACAGAGAATACATCTTTAAGAACAAAAGGTTGCAAATGTCATTGTTTATAATCGTGGAACACACCCAATCCTCATTTGTAATTATCTTTAGAAAAGTATCTTTAGTAATGTCTTCCTGCGTTTAAAACTCGAAATCCTCGCTCCCTCCACAATTCAATGCTGAACCATTTTAGAGGTTAAGCCCGTGCCAGGAAATACAGGATTATAAAGCACGCTGCAAGGTTAACGTGGATCAACTAAAGATACAACACAATCCTCACCACAGTGCCCACAGACGGGGAGCTTCTGGACTGCGTTGCAAAAGTAACAGAATGCCCGGTTCTTCTGTCGTCTACATCAAGAAATAAACAATGATAAATACATGGATAAATTGTTAATGTCTATATTAGTTTATAATTAATGAGCTAACACTTTCAGTTATAACACTCTTTACAACAACATAGCACCTCTAATTATGGTTTGTAGCATCTGCACAATTGACCTTTGATATTTCAGCATTTAGGCCAAGTAGAAAAAAGTTTCTTATCCGGGCTTTTTAAAAAAGAAGGATGGGGTCCTCCCTCCCCCCCCCCCCCTCGCCCAAGACGGTAGATTTTTCAAGATGGCTGACAGATTCTTTCATTTTCTCAACTCTTTTGCCGATACTTTCGCGTCCAGAAGAACCATCACCCTATCTACCAGAACTTGCATATGTGGCTACATGTTTTTGGAATCAAGTAAAAAGGCAAAATAAATTGGAAATGTACGATTAAATGTTTTAAACCCCCAAAACAGGCAGGCAGGAAAAAGGAAGTGGGTGGGGAAGACAAACTGGTTATTTCTACTTGGCCTTATTTAAGCAGCTTCTTGCTTAATTTTTGCCTGTACAACTGTTACCAATTTTATAGGAAAAAAAGAGATATCACAAAACTGACCTGCCACACTTGTCACACTCCTGTATAGATTAACAAAAAAAGAATAAAAAACAAGTAACTATGGAATTTTCTTTAAATGGTTTAGTTTACATCATTTATCAATAGGATGTACATCAACAGAATCACAAAATAACCTACAAGAAAAAAAAGACACATTATCACGATTGCTACTCAAACGTAAATTTGAATTTTGCTCAAACTATCCACTGTTAAAGATATGTGCCATTAACTAATAATTTAACCCTCCTTTTGTTTGATCAGTCACAGACAGTCAAACATTCAATCCTGTTCCCTACCATGCCTTTTACACAGGCTAGTCACCAACAGTCAGATCATATTCCATATTGGCAATTGTGAAAGTCAAATTCCATCAACAGACAAAGCAGGTGACTGGTAGGCACAGCTGGCTTATCAATCTCCTACAGTCAAAGCATGGCTATATCAGGTTTCATAACAATCACAGCCAGTCAATCCTGCTTTATGAAGGCAAGGAGTGCTCAACTGTTAAAAACAGTCACTTGATTTATTTTGACTGCTGGGCTGGCCTTGTTGAAATTGACAGCCAAAGAGGGAGGGTTAATGTGATATTCACACCCCCAATTTTTTTTGGAATGACAATGTGGGGAATGAATGTTGCAACCTGACGCAGTTGTGTACAAAGTCTATGGAGAGTCAAGAACATTTTCTAAGTATTTCCTAACAAAATTGGAAATGTTTCTCAGTCCCGGATTTATGTCTTATCATCATTTTTGCAATTACTGACCTTCATTGAGATGATATATGAAGAAAAAAGCAGTGTCAGGTTGCAACATTCTTTCCCAATACAGTTCTTTATTTCCAAATTGCTATCCATGTTTTTGCACTGGTTTATCCTGAACCGATACTAGACAGGGCTCTGGAGTGCTCTGAAATGTGCAAAACTAAATCAGGCCCACTGTACTCACCGTTTAGCCAGCAAATTTCTCCAAAAATTCCACTGGGGCAAAGAAAATGTCCTCAGTATTTCACCAACCACGTTTGCAGACTCAATTCAATTTTAAAGGAGACTTTTCTTCAATATTTTTCACATGAGAGGGAAGTCAAGTGATTTCAAAATGAGGCTAAAGACTAGACTGGTACATATCCAACCATGGTCCAACTATTTGGAAAGACTGACCTCTTCATTCAGTGTAAGTAGTCTGGTGGCTTGACTATGGAGAAATGTGTAGTAATTTAAGACTAGTTCCCGCTTCATGCCACATGTGTCTTAAAATTCTTTTGGCATGGTTGATTGATGCCGTACTGAAGCTGTGTTGGACTGGGTGTTTTAGGTGCCAGTCTATTTTCTTGTTCTGCATGTTTTCAATACCTTAAGTTTTGGGACTCTCATACACAGTATTGAGAGTCCCAAATTTTCGGACAAAACCGGTACTTGAATACCCACCATAGTAAAGTTGCACGGCCATTGCACTATCTGCCTCTGCTCTGTTCCCTTGCGGATCTCTCTCTGTCGCTCCTTCTGCTTCTCAGCCTTCTTGCGAGCACCCGTCTTCTTCTTCGGCATGGTCAAAATGCTTGATACGACTACAACTTGGGGATACCCTTCAGCCTTCAACCAGAAAATGCTGCAAAAAAGATGTGATAATCAGAAAAAAAGTCACATTATCAATTGTCAAAGCTTGCAGGCCCATGTGGATTTTTTTCCCAAAAATCTATTCCATAATTCTTAGCAGACTCAAGACTCCGATTAGGCTTATTCTTTTCATAAGATGGAATTGTGCGTCGGGGTGATGTAAATCAAATTAGGTTTTGCCCTTCACCGACTGTTTGGGCTGGCGCATGTTTTAACTCGATCAACTGGTGTGTTTGGAAATTGAATATTCCAATATTCGAATTTCGATCAAGTCCAAGTTGGAATAACCATGGAGAAATAAAACACACCATGGAAATTATCAGGCATTATCTGTTCATCAATCATCTTCCAACATGTCCAAGTTCCATCATCAAGATTTAACATCAAGCTCTACCAGACAGAAAATCCAATCCAATCAAACTTATACTCTCTTCATATAATGACACCCTAAACCAACAATTCGGTATTATTTTCCTGTCTTAAAAAAAACCCTAAAAGCAAATACTGACCCAATATTTAACTCTGCAATGGAGGAATAAAATCACTGGTACAATGCGCGCGATGCATGAGCTGTCCTAAATAATAGACTGGTTCTGTAACAGAATTGTACTGTTTTCTAATTTCACAGAGTCAGGGAATCGGTTCATGTGTCATCTCGTTATTTTGGACAAGCGCCCTCTACAGTTGGCAGTTATAATATTGCAATACTTTAAAAAGTTTAGACAAAATCTACAGCAAGTTCTTTACGGAAAAACCGAATTTCGACTGGTGCAAATAAGGACGGACATTTATTTTTCCCCCTCCTGAAACAAGGTTTTCCTTTTGCTTAAATCAAACAAATCGAGACGGATGTAGGCCTAGGGCCGGGGGGGGGGATGTCGGGGTGTGTGTGGGGGGCTAGCTAGCTTGGCGGAAGGAAATGCAATTAATAATTTTTATTATCAGGGAATTGTAGGGCCAGATTTTAATGTTTCCTGTTGCATTAGAAACACTTGACAAAATACGCCCCAAAATTACTTCCCTTTGAGATTTCCCCGTCTCCCCCGTATTGATTTTTTGTTTTTATAATGGACAAGGGCGAGTCTTCTAGAATAATAAATGCATTTTCAGTTATTGACCATACATGGTCTCCTTTTCCTCTAGAATGTCGTAGGGAAATGGAAAATCGGTGGTTGTATAAAGGCTATATTTGGAAATAGAATAAATCCCTCAAGATTTTTTTCTGAGGAGATCGCGCACGTGTATGAATAGCCCCGCCCCCATTTTCCGGTCTTTGAAAGCCCGAGGCGCTAGTCTCTTCACCAGTCTGAAGAGACCGCGAACAGACCGCGAACACAGGAAGCATTCACACACAGTACACAAAAGTGACTGATGACGACATCACGAATGACTTGCGCAAGCGCAGTGGTATCTCTCGCCATATTGGGAAAAATGGGCTGGGACGAGTGAATTTGCTGTCATTGATGAAACCTTTAAGCCGGTCGTAACCCTTTTTTCCAAGCGAATTGACGCAGGATATCTCTATAAAATACTGCCCACAGCATGCCACGTACTGTGTGAACTTTTCTAGATCGAGAAAGGGTCCTGTTTTGCCGCCAACATGGTGCTTCAACCGCTGGAATTTAGCGAGTGCTACCTGGACAGTCCAGAATTTCGGGAAAGTTTACACTCGCACGAAAATGAACTGGAACACACGAACAAGGCGATCAAGGAGTTGATACGAGATGGAAAAGCGCTGTTGGCTGCCGCCAGAAGTGAGTACAGGCGTGTCCAGCACGCGGTCTTTGAAATGTTCATATTGCATATTTGTTAATGGAATGTTGTCTTTAATATCACGTTTATTTATTGAGAATTAACAAACAATTGAAGTCTTTCTTGTGACATTGACAGTCATGTGTAATGTGTGACAGTCAAGCAAATGGTGCTCGGCCTAGGCCTTGTTTCATTAAATCATGATTAAATGGAAAGATTCACATATCTTGCCAATGTACACAACACAAACCGTATGAGACAGGTCTGAAAATTTCCAAGTGTTTTCTCAGTAAATACTTCAATATTTTCCCTGCTAAATTTGACTTTTTAGGACATATTATCGCTTTCTCATTGCTGATACAGTGATACTGATAGATAGGTCACTGAAGAGAAAAATTAGTGATGGCCAGATATGGGAATCTTTTCGATTAAATAAATGTCATTTCTAGCTTTTGGTAAACAGTGCGTATTACCTACAAATCAAATCAAATCGTAAGAATGCACTGTCCGGCATATCTTTTTAAACCAAGAAGAATTTAGGACTTGAATTTTGAATGGTTTTGTAAACAAATACATTTTTGTTTTGTCTGAACATTTTTGTTGGAATGTCAGTAGGCTTCACACTTGTTGTGTTATTAATGTTTTCACTCCAGCAATATGTGTTCATAAAACTGAAGAATCAGTAAAACGATGTTGAGTTCAGTCCTTCCATGAATCAGTTAGAATCTAACATCAACTGTGAATACCACGATATGGTCAAGTCCCTGGTCCGTACTCAATTAATTTCTTGTGTTCTATAAAACCCTCAACAGCATCGCACTGTTTCAACAAACACGACTTCACTTATAAGACAAGATCAAGATCTTCACACTAACAGTGTGTCTTGGTAATGACAGCTTTACCGTCAAGTCATTTTGTGGTCTTCACAAGAATTTTCCAATGATGTAAACAACTGGCACATTCTTCAGAGTCCAACGTAATTGCACCATTCAGTTTCAGTTTGAAAGTAGGGGAATACCAATGCATATTGTAGATAGTTATTTGTTGCTAATTGGAGTACTTAACACATCCTGTAACATGCTGCTTTTCCAAGAAACTTATCACCTGTTTGGGATTTCCTCAATTTAAACATTGTAAACAACTTCCTTCTGAAGGGCTTGCAATCATATTTTTAAGGTTCACTGCACATTACACTTTTGTACAAAGTTAATGGATTTCTCAGTAAATAACTGTTCAATTCATTATCATTTAGAGTTTAAAACTTTTGAAACCATTTAGATGGTCCTAATTTTGCCATCAGGCAACCACTGTAACCTTCCTTAATTAAATCCAGCTTTAAGTTTTGCATTGATATGGCCTAGACTTCAAAAGTTTACCTCAATAGTGTTGTTTTATTTTATAGTGGTGGATACAATAAGGGTTGCCACAGTTATTGTGCTGAGGTGAGCCACTATCATGACTATTTTAGTCTCTTCAGGGTATTGTCTACATGGCCATTTCAAAGCATTTAAATGTATGAAAGTGTATTCCACATTGCCATTTTCAATGCAGGCATTTTTCAACTCGTGACAAATCGTTTATTATTTTTTGTCTTATACTGTTTCTGTTCCAGAAATGTTATGTCGGTTTTACATTGCAGACAGTTTCATTGTTAAAGTCTTACCTTACTGATTACACATAATTTGGTGGGCAGCCATGTAAGATAGATCAGTTACAGTTGATACTTCAATAGTTAAAATATCTAAACTAAAACTTGAAAAATCCAACAACAACTAATAATGAAGCCTTGTTGAAGTTTCTGCCTAAGATACCGTTGTTCAGGTGTTGGTCCAGAAATTGACATGATGTTCACCCACCCGTGTACCGGTACATTGCTGAAGATGTAAAACTATGATGATTTGGTGCACACATGGAAGAAACAGTGTACATGTACATTATGTACATATGTAAACTGAAGCGAACTTGAACATGAAGGGAGGCCCGAAGACACCTGTGCCCCGTCTAATTTTATAATCCAATGCATCCGATTGAAACAATACAACAAAAGGGCGAAGGAAAGAAAAAGCCACCCTACTGTCCAGTGTCTTGTGTGCTCCAACACTTTGTAAACATTAATTTAAAGGATGGCCTTTCCTGCCATTGTGCAGTGTGTACATGTCAATCACAATATTCCACCTGTGGTAGGCTGGATGGCTGGCCTACAGATGACTGATAGATAGGGGTGAGTCATCACCTCGTCCAATGATGGAATTAAAAATGACAGCTCACTCTCGCTTTTTAAAGGAATTCATCTGTCTCTTTGGGATGGGTTGGGCCCTGGTGTGTGTATACGCATGCCGAGGGATGCAGAGGAGTTGACAATGAGGGAGCACCTTTAAATCATCACTGTAATCATTGTAAGGAGAAAGTATTCTCAGCTTTGAGAGAGGTACAGGTTTGAATGTCAGAGTGGTTGTGATGAGCAGTGTCCTGAAGTTTCAATTCAATTCCATTATATATTCAAACTCACATTTATTTCCATACCAAAAACAGAGAATAAACGAAAACGGTTTTCTTCTATATCATGTCCTACAAGCATGTTTCTTTCGTTGTCTTTTAATTTCATTAAAGGGCAATTTTATTTTCCTTGTATTATCAATTGGGTACCAGGTAAAATGCTTGAGTTTTGTTAAAGTAGAACATTCCCTACTACACACAACTAAAGAAGTGCACACTATACACAATCTAGCACTTTCACAAAAGCATAAAATATAATATTCCCTTATCTGTAGAATTATTAGTTGCGCTGTGTCTATCTGGTTGCGTGTACAGTTGTTGTTCTACATGTAAAACAAAAATCTCATTAAAATAATCGACGTACACGCGCTATCATTCTAGTGAACTCTTGGAGACTGGTAAATCCGTAAGGTGTGAACTTATCATGCCAAGGTCAGCGTACAATAAAGGGCATATTGATTGAAATGACCAATCTCAATTGCTGGAATGACGCATCAAGGTGACTACAAGTAATCTTTCATACTTGTTGACTCTGAATGCATACGATTAATTGTCATGTTGTAATAACTCTCAGTGTTTGTGTTGAAGTATGTCCATAAATAATGAAATATTTGTATTTTTTTTATTTACCAAATTGAATAATGTATTAAAGCTGAGAACACTTTGTAATATTTTCCTATTTCTTATTCCCAATGTCGTTGTTAATGTTGAACCTTGACCAATAACCTTGACCTTTGAACATTGTTCTGGTCCAATGTCAAATTGTTAAAACTCTCCCATCAATGCGAAAATATATTTTCCTTTGATCAAAGTTAGCAAAATGCTTATTAGAATGCATGACATTTGAACAGTTTCCTTGTATTTCATAAACAGTGGTACACAAACAATTATGCAAATGAATTATTTTACATCAGATGTGAATTAACAAATGAACGTGATTTCATCTGGTCAATTTACTACATGTAGACACTAAGACAGTTTCATTTCGACTAGACAGTTTCATCATGAGGGACATATTTCTCCCAAAAGGTACAGTGTTTTTTTGTTTTTTTTAAGACCCTCCAGACCACAGTCACTTGTGGCCTTGCATTATGCTGTGTCCCCAGTCAAGGTTGACTTCAAATACACAAGGGCTGGCATGCATAAGTGTAGTACATGTACTGTACATGTACATGTACATGTATTGTACATGAATTGTACATGTACATATCGTGGTCAATGACACGCACTGTTGCCACAGGTACAGCACACATTCATGCACAATGCATTCAGTGTGACGGTTTTACATGTAGTACCATACATGTACATGTACATGTACATGCATCCCCGCATGACTCACCAGAATACGAGGCAGTCAGCCTATTTGTTATTGTGCTAATTGGCGTGGAGTAGAGAAGCCTGTAGCACACTGATTGACGAGTGACATCATTGCAGAGAGAGTTTTTTTTTTCATGTTCAGTAATGAGCTGGACCCAGGCTACAGTTTGTTTTTACAGCGTATTCATACGTACAATGTACTGTGTAATATGTCTTGAAATGAAAATGTTTTTGTTTATTTCAAATTCTTGAATGCCTGTCCTGCCCCTCTCCAAATAATTAATAGTCATAATAAACCAAAAAGAGAAACATGTAGGTGCATGCATTATAATTATACGGTAATTATAGAGTAAAACAAAGAAATTGACTTCAGCAGGCACTGAACCTGCAACCTCAACAACACTGCACGGGTGCTGTACCACAACTGTACAGTAATCTGCAGGTTACTTTACAAATTCAAATCATGCCTTAGCCACTTTCTTTGTTCCGCTTCCAGGTAATTTTGGACAATATCATACTCAAAGTAAATCATTTACGTAATAAACCCAATACTGCATTTTGTGATAGAAAGGTTCATTCTTATTAATTGAGGAAATGAAATGTCCTGTACATATTTCAAATGGGTATTTAAGTGTCTGCATGCCCAACCAACCTGCCTAATTAATGCGGTTTTAAAACCGGTGCGAAGTCCATTGTACTACTCAGTGAGCACTTAGTGAAGTGGCCATATATGATAAATGAAAACCGTTATCGTGGTTGATAAGGCGTTTATAAAGGCATACATTGTTACAAGTATTTGGAAAATGGTTCTAATACACTTTAAAAGTCAAAGACTGTTTTGCTGTATAAAACAGTGTAAAACTGCGCGCACCGATTCACGCCAAATTAAAAATGAACTAAAAAAAATGCATCTTTGGAAACTAGAAAGAATAATTTCACAGACCTGTGCAGCCACTACTACATGTATCTTTAGACCAAGTATGCTTTCCAACAATAATTTTGTCAGTTAGTTTTTGGATAGCTACAAATGATATATTATTTCTGCCTTCAACAAGACAAAACCATTTTTGTTACAGTGGGTGTTAGTGCGATTTGCTTTTATCTGTGCGGATAGCGAGGAATATTTGTTCATGGAATGGATCATATTTGTTTTGTCCTACAACATCATCTGATAACCACATTTGCCTTG